TCTGTTTCCATTCACTTTTGACTACAAATTGACTTCATTTGCCGAAATGAATTTGATTTATGGAGAGACCACAAGCACACACAGTTTGGCGCATTATCTGTGGTCTTCCGAGTGATTAAGCAATAAATATACAAGTTGACAGTAAATTATTAACGTGGCTAAAAGGGAAGGGAGCTGGGCAAAGGAGCAATGGAGCAGCAGCAGCTTAAGGAACCCATTTCGACCTGGAGCAATCTTCGCTCGGTTATCGCTGCCATCCTTGCCAGGACCTGTCCCTTGCCGAGGCGAAGCACGTAATCCTGGTAAATATTTGAGCAAATATTAAAAGTAGAACAAATTCGAGACGTGACACACATTTTGGGTGGCGGAAAGCAATCGAATTTTCCTTTTCCCGCAGGCCGATTCCCGGTTTTGCCGTTTTGTGGGTGTCAAAAATGAACTTTAAGTGCATAATTTGCGCTCGAATGGGTGGCAATAACCGGAATGCGATTCAAAAGTCATTTGTAAGCGACACATAAGACCGTGCAGCGAGCAGCGGGGTCAGGGACTCGGGGTCCTGTCTGTTTCATCGTCTGGCCTGAGCTGCGATCATAAACGTAAAACGCTTAGCCCCAAAGACAAAGCCAGCTCACAAACACATATACATTTACGAGGACGAAGGAGGTGGGGTGGGTGTGGCAGGGGCCGGAGCAACAATGCCGCCAAATGAAACAGCAAACAAAAAAGAGCAGGCGCGGGGCTGGGAAAAAAACATGGCCATAACAATAAAAGCACAACAATAAGCAGTAACAACGAGGACAACATTGCCGCGCTCTACGGCTCTGCGGAGGTAAAACACACAACGCCAGTGATGGCATTCCGAAAAAGCCACATCAAACATTCAAACACCCAAAGGCTTGTCGATGCTTGGCCACACTAAACTATTTAATAAGCAAAATATGTTTTATTATTCATTAAGCTACTGAAATATATTTTTGGGGTGTGTTGGTAATAAAATGAAATTCGATTCAATAAAATTTCCAAATTTAAAACACCTTCAAATAATGTCTAATGTAAATAAAATTATTTTAAATTTACTTAATAATGTGGTAATATGAATAGTAAACTTATACATATGTATATTACAATTTTTCTTCTTCTTATGTATATTTGTTTTCCAATTTCGAGCTATTTAAAGATATACTCCTTGTTGTATAAACCCAGAATGTTATATTTTATAGCCAAGTTGGCAGGCCTGAAGGAGGCACAAATACTGGCGCAGGATCAGGATAAAGCAGCGGATGTGGGAGGCAGGCTCGTGGCCATGGCGCTGCCAAGTGTAGCAGATTAACGGAATGTTTGTTAAATGGCGCACGGCTGTGTGGCAGGCGAAGGAGGGGAGAGGGGCGGGGGAAGAGCAGCAGAGGAGTAGGAAGGGTGCAGAGTGCAGGAATACAGGACCAAGGGAGGTGGCGGGCAGGACTTTCGGTAGGCGCGGCTGTGGAATGCCGTAATTCTCATAATTTGGCCCGACTGTGAGCCATTGTGCGCTCCTTTGGAAAAGACAAAGCAGACACTAATAAGGCAGGCAGACTTGCAGAAAACCACTCTCTATTTTATCCTGTCCTTTTTAAAGCCACCACTCGCCGTTAAGCTCTTAAAATATTCAATTCCGCAGCTTAGTCGGCGTTTTAGCTAATTAAAAAAATCAAATGAAGGTCAAGTGTGGGGACAGCAGTAAATCGAATCGAAAAAGGGCCACAAATTTCTGCCGTCGAGTATTTTCATTTGCCTAATGCTCCTTTAAGCCGCTTAGGTGGTTGTATGTGGTCTCCTTTGTGTATATGTACACGCTCTTAAGTTGCTCAGGCGTGAGAGTGTGCGTGTTGACAGTGATGGTCATTTAAGTAGGGATTCATGGGGTGTTGAAAAGTCAATGGCTTGAAAACAATTTGATCAATAAATCACCAGTGCCTCCATTTTTATACCAAATGTATTTATTTGGGGTATAAATATATTTATACTATAAATAAATATCAGGGATTCAAAAATGTTTTTTTTATGTAGGGAAGAGAGACATAAAAACAATTCAAACTTTTTTGTTTCAACTGTTTCTATTCAAACCGCGGACTCTGTATTTATGGCCAACGCTTGAATTCACATGAATGATTTCATTGTTGGCTGGCTGGAGGCAAAGTCAATTCGACAATTCGAAAATCCGACAAAGGCATTCTTGTATGAGCTTATATATTTGTACACAATTTCAATTGATTTGCCGTCAATTTCATTTGCCAAAGTGAAAATACGAAAGTCCCAAAATACGCCAGAATTCGCCGTATATATAGCGTGTACATAAATGGGACAGACTTGCCCCTCGGCATGATGAATTATTATTTTCCCTCATGTGCAAACCTCGCAAACCCACTCGTTTCAGGCATTACGCATACGCACCGTGTACTCAAATCCAAGTCGAGGCCGCCTGTCAGCATGTTTGTCCGTTGTCCGTTATTCGCAGTCCGTTTGTCCGCTTGTCCGGTAACCCAACCACAATCATTCATCATGCTGCAACAACAACACGGCGCAACAAGCAGCACATTGTTTTGTTGTTGTTTGGTTAGCTTGAGCCCCCCATTTTCCGCTCATTTTCCACTCTGTCCCTCTTCCTCCCCCAAAAACCACCGGCTTTGACATCGATATGGTGTTGATACACACGTTCATCGAACGGACATTGTTAATGTATTCTTCGTATATGTTTTTCTTTGCTCGATGCCCACACACCCACAAGTATTCAAGCGGAGCCAAAGGCAATTATCCTTGCCTAGCAGCAAACCCAATCCCCAAATGTGCTAATCCATCACCAGGACTCAACGGGAGCTTCAACACTTTGTCTTCTTTTGGAGCCCGGAGAGCCAACCACATTTAAACATGCTCAATTGTGCGCCAAACGGAAGCTGCAACTTATTACAAGTGTTCGATAACTTTTTTTTCTCGAACAGGAAAAGTATTGTCTTTTAAAGAGAGTCCGAAACAATTTAGAGATTCTATTTAAGAAGAATCTAAATTTAGGTAATAAAGAAAAGGCTAGTCACGTAAAGTATCAGAAACAATTTTTTTAAAGAAGCTTTTCCATTTTCCTCTGCGGGAAAAAGTTCTTTGGAAAGTTGCGCTTTTTCCAAGTCCGTTTGCAAAAGTAGACGAGACAAATTTCGCAGCCATTAGTGGAATTCAAATATAATTGCCCGGCAAAAGAATCCGCCAACTGTGGGCCCATTAAAAATCACTCCAAACTGCTTAGACTGCAAATTGTGTTTTACATTTTTTCCCCTCATTATTTGCACGGAAGTTGGACACGAATTATGGCCAATGTATAATAGCCATTAAAAACTTTCTTGTTTGCCCGGCAAGTTGAAAGGAAAAAGGGAACGGGAAGGAAGGAAAACGTCGAGCGAGCCGGAAAATGGAAAACCGAAATAAGTCAAGGTACGAGCTTGAGGTGGAATACGAGTGTTAGACCAAAAAACTTTTGCAATAATCTTTTCGCTCCCTGACTGACTGTCGCTGTCCTTGGACAGGACATACAGAGCATTGGCAGGATATATATGCTCGAAAATGGCTATGTAAAACAAAAAGACAAAAAATCCGGGGAAGGAAAGAAGAGCTCGGATAGAAAAATTCATCAGAGCGGAGCTCCGCAATTGCGCGACTGTCAATACAAAACGAACAATTAGATGGTGGCCAACGGGGAGAGGGGAGGGAGAGGGGAGGGAGAGGGGAGGGGAGGGGGTGGGGGAAAATGGCAAAAGGAGCTGACCAACTAGCTGCCAATGACAATGGACAATGGCCACACACAACGGCAACAGGCTACAGAGTGTCCTTCTGAATTATTGAGCGTGCAACTTGTTGAAATCCAAGGATACCGCCAAAGGAGATGCTGCGGGCAAAAGCTGTGTGTGTGTGTGTGTGTGTGTGTGTATGTGTTACCTTAATTTACTCATTTCAACAAAATGTTAAAAATTTACCAAGTTATTTCCCCACGGGAATGCTGCCTAGAGAAGGAGGTAGCAGCGGAAAAGCAGCGAGTTCGCTGGAAACAATTAAAAACTTTGAGGCGCTGCCGAAGAATGCGCCGCGGAATGTGGATGGGTTTATGGCGTTTTAATGGGCGAAGGACTTGAAGGGACGAAGGATGCCAGAAACTAGAAGCAAAAGGTGTTCGAGCTTGTTACGGCAAACTGCCAGGGAGTCCTTGGAAATCAATAATACTTTGAGCGTGCTTTGATTGCCATTTATTTTGCTGCATTCTCAATATTTCATTTCCTGTCATCAATCAGCAACATTTTCCCAATCATTTTTAGAGGGAAACTGAAGGGAAACGCGATGATGCTGAGCAAAAGTAGCAGGAAATAAAGTGATGAAATTTAATGTTTGCAACTTAAATTCGAAACCCAAAATGGTTAGACATTTGAAGTACAACAGAACCTCCAACACTTTATTCGGGATGTTATGCCACACATTTTATGTTGCTATTTAACTCCCGCACTTTCGCCGCAAGTGGATATCCGTTAATTTCATTCTTCATCCTTGGCAACAGCAGCTCGCAGCTGGCCTGAATGGCAGTCACGTCGATATTGTATGGCCAATTTGTTCGTGACTAACACTTTCATGGGCTGTTAGCCATGTCCAGTGGAGGAGCATAAAACTGCCACTGTTTGCTCACCAAAAATCGGCGAGTGGTGGAGAGTAGCAGCAAAGAATAAGCCAAGTATATGTATTCAGTAAGCTGAACAATCGGAACACGATTTTGTGTCAATAGAAAAGTTATAGAAGATAAAGAAAAATACCATACAAAGTTGTGTTTAACAAGGGATTAAAATTGTGGATGGAGATAAATGTATGATCTGAGAAAGTTGAAAGGAAGAGTTAAATTCATTCATTGTAGCTTATGTTAAGCTGCCTTGAAGTAATTTTATGATATTTGCAATCAAATTAGTAATTAAATTGATTTATTATTTTGCTTGCAGAAAATGTTTGAATAGAGATGGCCAAACTTTCACGACGTGCCTCGTCGTCTGCAGCAACGCCCTCCACAGCAACAACAGCAACCACTGCGAGTACCGGAGCAACATCAGTCAGTCCAAGTCATGCCACAGGCGACAACCTTCATCGAGAGGAGCAGCATACCAAGCAGCAACATCCGCCGAAGGAGCAACACCAGCAGCAGCAGCAGCAAGACCAGCAGCAACATCAGCCGGAGCAACAGCAACGCATTGCTCGTCGTGCAGCCAACAGCAACAGCAATAGCAACAGCAATAACAACAACAACAACAACAGCAACAAACCCCAAGCGGCAGCTCTCATTGACACAAGTCCTGATGTCCGGCACGAGAATCCACCGCCATCACCGACACCGGCGGCGCTGTCAAATTACAACAGCAACAGCAGCAACAACAACAGTAACAGCAGCTACCACAGCAACACTGCCACGCCCACAGCACCCGCCCACGCCCACGTCACGGCCACGCCCTACATGCCGCTGCTGCCGCCGGGCGAGCAGAATCTGACGGAAGCGGAAAGCGCAGCGGAGCGGGCCAGGATCCGCGAGGAGTTCTTCGCCACCTACGACGTGATGACGGGCGTGCGGATTGCGGCCACCCTGGGTGGGTTCTTCGGCCTGATGGTCTTCCTGATCGTGTGGAAGAGCCGCAGCAGCAGCAACGAGACCCTGAAGGTCCTCAAGGATCCCAAGATGGCGGCGGTGGCCGCCGTCTGCATGCAGGAGGAGGAGGAGCGCGAGATCCACGACGCCATCGTGGCCACGGGCATGTCCCTGTATCCGGATGAGTACGATGCGATGGTCTACCGAAGGCAGCGGATGCTCTCGCTGGGCAACGTGAGTGCGCCGCCGCTGCTGAATCGAGGATACCGCTGCGGGTCGATGGGTGAGTTCTTCGAAGGGGATTCTTGAATGGAGGGATACCACTTATTCAAAATCATTTCATTAGTTCACTATGGCAGGAAAACTAATTTTATTACAATAATTAATAGGAAAAAAAACATAGAAAATAAACATTTGGTTTTTTATTTTTTATTTATTTTTATTTTTTTTCTTTTTTTGCAAGAAACAACCAAATTTTATTGATTTCTCTGGATGTTTTGTGAATCATCTTTTTAATGATTTATTTTCTCCAGGTGGCGTGGGCGTGGGCGTTCCAGTGGGCTACAGCTATCTGCTGGAGCCGCCGCGCCGCTTCTCCTACTCCTCGATGTCCGGAGGACCCGGATCCAGCCACGTGGGTCGGCGCAAGAGCGGCTCGGAGTCGTCGCGCATCTTCAGCAACTATCCGATGGGCGGCAGCTTCGGCACCGACGACTACTTCGTGGAGACGGAGGACGAGCTGGAGGCGGAGGAGTACCTGCAGCCGGGTGCCGCCGAGGAGCCGAGCCACCAGCGCACGGATTCCACGCGCAGCAAGCCGGGATTTCTGTCCGTACCAATGGCGGTGAGTGGTGGTGGTTCTACCCCAGAATGAGCTTATATCGAAATGAGTTTGTCTTACCACCCGCACAGGGTCAGGACTCGCGGAGGAGCAGTGCCATGACCTGCTGCAGCACGGACAGCTCCTACCTGGAGCGGCGCACCTCCGCCTACATGGGCGGCTGCATGGGCAACCTGCCGCCCACGCTGCAGAGGAAGCTATCGACCGCCTCGCGGACGTCGAGCATCGACAACTGGGACTACTACTACCCCGACATCCAGGTGATCCAGCCGACGCCCAAGGCTTCGCCGTGTCCTTCGGAGCGGAGTGTTCACGAGGGATCTGGCAATGGTAGCCGCACCTCCACCGCCAACCTGAGTGCCACGAACATCAAGCGGAAGCACAGCATCGTCTCCTACGATCCGGACAGTGCGCAGGCGGGTCGCAAGCAGCAGATCCACTCGATCAGTGCGGACACCGTGGACGTGTATCCCTACAACCAGCGGAGCACCGTCGACCTGGCCCTGCCCCTGCCCAAGCCGGTACAATCGGCCCCGCCCACCAGCGCCCATCAGGCGTTCCACTTCTGCGACTCGCCCTCCGAGGAGCTGCGCCTGGGCGTCCGCCGGAAGCTGACACTGGTGGAGCTGCAGCGCAACGAGAGCAACAACAACAGCTTCCCGTACACGGCGAACGCAGCAGTTCCTGCCGGACCTGTGGTTCCCTCCGGAACTGCGGTTCCCTCCGGAGCAGCGGGTACGGCGGCCAGCTCGAGCAGCCTCAGTGTAGACAGCACACCGGTGAGCCTGGAGCGATTGAACGGCGCCGGGAGCGGCGGAAGCGCCAGTTTGGCCACCGTTTCGGTGTCCAACAAGCTGCCCCTGGCGATGGGCAATAACAATCCGGAGAAGCGAGCGCCGCTGGCCTCACTAAGTTCCTTCAAGATCTCCTCGCTGGAGTGTCCCGACTCGGAGCTGCGCTCCCTAGACGAGGACTCGGTGTTCGGGCTGGAGAGTCCAGCGGACACGGACGACGACATGCAGCAGCTGAGCAGCGACAGCGAGGAGCAGGAGGCGGCTGCCCAGGCCGCCGCTCAAGCGCAGACTGCCGCCGTTCGGGTTGCTAGTGGTGGCTCGGAGGCGAAGCCCAATCCTGTCCAGCTGGCCATGCCAGCTGCGAAGAGGATGAGCCTGAGTTCGGTTCCTCCGCCGCTGGCTGCTGGCGGAGGAGGAGCTCGCCCCCGGAGGCCACTGCTGCAGCGACACCGCACCATAAGCGCCACCTCCTCCGGCGATCGGGTGGCACTGATCAACCAGCCACTGCAGCTGCAACAGTTCCACATGGGCCTGCCCATCCAGTCGGAGGCGGCGCCTCCGCTGGAGACGCACTTCGGAGCGGTGGTGGTCAGCCAGAGTCCGCCGCGGCGGGGGCCACTCCTGCAGCAGTACAGCGATCCGCAGACGACGACGACGACCACAACGACCACGACGACGGAGGAGGACACCTGCTCCACGCTGAACACGGAGCTGGGCCTGGTGGAGGCCTCGGGAGCTGCGCTCGGAGGAGGAGGAGCCGGTGGACCGGAGTCGGCCACCCACACGCAGTACAGCAGCCTCAACACGGTGATCAGTGTGGGTCGCTCCACGCCCAGTCCCGTTCCTGTTCCTATGCCTCCTGCTCTTGCTCCTGCTCCTGGTCCCGCTCCTGCCCATTCCCACATGACCAGCAGCCAGCAGCCAGCTCAACTGCCAACGAACGCCATCCGGATGGCGCACGATCCCTGCGCCTCGTCCGTTTCCGATTCGGTGATAGCCACCCGGCAGCAGAGCATCTGTGTGCCCGCCTCCCTTAAGGATCTGATCCTGCGCAAGGCGCCGCCTGCCCAGCCCACTGGGATCAGCCGGAGTGCCACCAATCTGAGCTGTGAGAGTGGAGCCACCGGAGCACTGGCGGTCACAACGACCGCGACGCCCGCCGTCGTGCTAGAGCTTCCCCTGATCCGGCTGCCCAACCAGGAGGACCAGGACTTGGGTCAGGAGCCCCAGAAGCACCACTCGGAGCAGCGGGAGCGCGCCAGGGAGCTGGGTGGCGAGAAGCGGGACCCCAGCCTGCCCGGCACTTCCAGGAAATGGTCCAAGGAGACACTCTTCTAGCCCAGCTGGTTTCCACTGCTCCAACGAAGGCAGTTCCCTGGGCCACGCCACTATTTAAGAGCTTAGCAACTGACTTTGAACGCATGCTGAAGCGAGCTACAGTGAAGACTCCCTCATAACTCCCTCATATTTGAAAAATGCTAGAAATTCTTCCAATAATGCAATCTTTTACTAAAGATCCTTTCACTTCTTCTAAGTATAAAACCTTCTTTACTCCAAAGGTAATCCTATTCTAAACCTTTTTCATCTTTCAAAATATATTTAACAGAGAGTTTTCACTGTAGTTTTCTTAAGTGCTTGGTCTGGCAACCAAATTCCTGGATTGCTAAAGACCCGGAACTATGAAACGCGAGTATTGACGAGTATTTAGGCATAGATAATATGGATTAGCTTAAGCGCATTTAGTCGAAATATGAGTTAGTTGGGTCTGGCGTACGAAAGTTATAGTAGATCGATCCAAATGACGAAGGGAGTTATGGTAATGAACAGCAAGATGAACAACAACGTATTCGTACTTAGAGACTGTTGTCTATTATTGTTAATAGAACTCTAAAAGTTAAGTAGTGATACTCGGATTTATTTTTCACACTTTATCTATAGAGCGATAGGAGAAAGTTTATATATTTCTATAGGTACATACCATATATCGCCAGGCGCCAGCAATTGTCGCTCCTTCTATCTCTATCCCTCACTCGCCCTCTCTTACGGAATGAAAACTCTTCTAGTGTCTTAAACAGCAGCCAAATACTTAAAGTATTGTAATTTAGAAATTTTATAGATTGCACAACAACTTCGACAGAGATCGAGTGTTATCCTTGCAACAGAAGTACTCTGACAGAAGACCTTAAGGACCTCGAAAGGTCCGCCCGAAGATGCCTAAATGTCTTTTACGCGTAGCTAGACAAAAGTTGCAGACTTTCTAGGAACATTTTCGCATTTCCCCCCGCTCCTGCCTGTTCGAAAACGAATTGTTGGAATTATAATAGAATTGTTGTCAGAATATAGAGTTCTAAAATTGAAAACCAAAACCAAAAATTGAGAAAAGAAACACAAAAAGTACATACATATATGTAAACAACTTCCTAACTCATCCCACCTACGCATCTCTATTTTTCTATGAAAAGCCAAGGGAAGGATGGAATATAGACGGTACGGAAAATAAATCAAATAACTTGTATTATTCAAATCAAAATATTTAGTGGACAGGATATTACGATAGAGCTGCATTTTGAGGTGCCCCGCCCCCTAGAGACTTTATCACACGCCTGAGCCTCAGCCTGAGCCTGATTTGTACCTTTCCTATGCATAAGTATATATTTATATACACCACACATGTATGTATAAATCGAGCCCTATTTGAATATTTTTTAATACTAGTAAGTGTTTTGTACGACGAGATCAACTCGAAAGGCGCCTATGAAATGCAAATGGTATATCAAAAGGAAACCCCTCAAAAAAACACAAAACATCCAATTGTTGGTTAAATGCTGAAGAACGTACGAGTAAATGAAATTCGAAAATATTGTAATTGTAGCGTTGATTTGTTTCAAATGAGCAGAAATATACATATAACTAATAACGTAGCTAAATATACATAACTATATTTAATGAAACCAATGAGCAAACCTAACTTGTGTAAGTCAAAGAGTAGCGGAACCAATTGTTAAACCTAAGCATAAAAAATCTGTAATAAAACTGAGCTGTTGTATTAAATGAACAATAACAATGTTGAAGACAATGTTTGGACAACGACGCCAAGCCCAATAAATGCGTAGAGCATTCAGTTTGTGAACTAGACAATTCCTCCTTCGACCCCCCTTTTGTTGCGATGTTTTTTTATACTTTTGTACTAAGTAACTCCCTCTTTTTGGTCCAATCTGATTTGCGTAATGTTTATAAACTCGATGTCTATATGTACCTCTAGCTAAACTCAAAGCATAATTGATCAAATTGGTAAACGAAAGCAATTCGAAATTAAAACAAATATGTGTACTACTAACGCGCAAAAAAAGAATTATTAATGCAAGATTACTTTAAAGAATGGATTAAAATTTTTAAAAAGTACGAGCTATTAAAGAACAAACTTAGTTAAATGTTATATATATGAAAAACAAAGAAAATTGATGTACATGTTAGCGATATTAATGAGAAATGTGACAAGTGAAAAATAAACCGGAAGAAAATACATATACACAAGTTGCCAAGAGACTGTCGCTTGTATTTGGGACTATCAATTCTTTACGACTAAATGGGATACATTAAACTAAGCTCAGGTGAAAAGGTGGCCGACCTTAGTATCTGTACTTGGTGGAGTAATCCTTCGGGGAGACGACCAAACCGCGACCTTTGCGGGCTCCCCGATACACCGTCTCCACGATGTCGATCATCTCCTGCTTGTCCTCCAGCGGCCAGTTGATCTTGTTGTTGTTACCCGTGCCCAGATCGATCATGATGTGCTTGTTGCGGAAGAAGAACATCACCGTACAGGGATCGTACAACTCGTACATCTTGTTGAAGTCTGGCACCTCCGTGATGTCCACCAAATATATGACCGCGAAATTCTTCACCTTCTCGGCGATACTGTACATCACCTCGTCCATTTTCATGCAGGCAGGGTCCCAATCGTGACCGAAGCGAATCACCTGGAACAGAAAAAAGCGGAGGTTACGAAGTGGTTGCAGCCACTGATTCCAATCACTCACCACCACACGGTCCTCCTCGGAGAGAATGGCCTGGTCCACCTGCCAGCCATTGTGCAAATGTGGAAGCATATAAGACATCTTGAAGAGTTATTTATTTCCAGACTATTCAGCGCAAAAATAATTGAACAAAACGTAAACAAAACCTGCTAAATTAGAGATGGACGCGCCTCGATGTTTTTGTCTATAAAAAATCGATGCTTTTATCGATGACTTCTTGTAGTGTGGCGCTTTGTAACGACTTTTCAAATGCAAATGTATAATAAAAATGTGGTTTCAGTTAAAGCAGTTTCGAACTTAAGATTAAAAATTCTTGTTTATTTGGTGTAAAAGTAATTTTTTATTAGTCGTTAGGAATTGGTTAGCGTCCTTATCAGCTCAAGTATTTCTGCTTAAAGCTATCGATGTGTTCCAGCACCCTTACGGTCATCTCGTTAATGTATTCGTCCCGACCTTGATCCGTAAACGGATCGGGCGCACTGCGTCGCGAGACGTAGTGATTGGGCAGGTTGACCTTGTGGCGGCCGATGGACTTGATGATGAGCCACAGGATGTAGAAGCTGAACCACACGGTGAAGTACAATGGGATGTACCAGAGCTTGCGGCCAATGTAGAAGTAGCTGTACTTCTTAACACGAGGCTCTGGCGGCGGCGGAGGCGGTGGTGGGGGTTCGGTGGGTGGTGGTGGCGGCGGTGGTGGTGGTGGTGGCGGAGGAGGCGGCGGCGGGTGGTGAACATGGTGGTGGTGATGTGGATGGTCGTCGTATATCACATCCGGATACGAGTCATCCGGATACGAGGGCTGGTAATCAAAGTGACCAGGATAGTGATCGTGGTGGTGATCATGATCGTGGACATGGTCGTGATCGGGTGCATGGTCGTGATCGTGATCCTCTGGCTTGGGGGCAGCCGATTCTGGGTGAGATTCCAGCCATCCCGGAGGTGGTGTGGCATATTCCATATTTGGATCGTACTTGTGATCGTCTTCCGGATGCGAACCGTCGTTGTGGAGAGCTGGCAGGGGACTATCGTCGCCATCCCCTCCGCCGCCACCGCCATTATCTCCGCCATCTGCCGGACCCATATCCATGCCATCTCCCATTCCAGGAGCCGCTGCGCCAGCATCCTTCGCATCCTGATCCTTCGTGGGAAGGTTATCCATGGCACTGGCGGGCAGGACTCCAATCGTATCATCGTTTCCGGGGTCGTCGTCGACCGGAGGCGATGCACTCGCCATACTGGCCGCCGCATCCTTGTCGCCATTGGAGTTGGCCAGTGGTCCTGGGTACTTGTAACCCGGAAACGAAGGTCCCGGATAGTTGTACCCCGCATTGCTCAGTCCTCCAGAGGCGGGTGGCAGGTAACTGGTCACAGTATCCGAAGGCAAGGCTGCCTTGGGATCCTGCGAGGGCGACGGATATTTGGTGTTCAAGGGCGGGAAAGAGTAGGTATCGCCGGGAGCGACATAGGAGTTCACAGAATTGGATCCGGCGGCCACTTTGCCATCCTGGCCATGGGAATGATCGTGACTGTGATCGTGACTATGATCGTGGCTGTGGTCGTGCTGACCTTTGAACAGATTGGCGGCTGTTCCCTCGCCAGGAGCAAAGCGATCTCTGAATCCTGGTAAAAACGAAATAATGTATTTTAAGAATGTGATACAACAATTTTTTAAATAAAAACAGTAATGGAGAAGTTAATAATGAAATTAAAAATGAGTGTTAACTTAACTGGAAAATTCAATTAAACTAAGCCAGTCATTAAAGATCAGTTAATAAATCTACAGGGTATCTACTTTTTGGAATAAGCCGCTTTAAATACCTTTTATATATGAATAGTTTTAAGCAAACCAAAACCTAAACCTTAAAAATGTGGATGGTTATGATACCTTTTTTATAGCTGGGCCTCGAAGACTGATAGCGAGATGGATTTCGTGACGATGAGGAGTAGTAAGAAGGTCTACCTTGCGGATAAATACGTGTCTTGGAGGGTCTTGAGTTGTACTGTTGTGGTTTTCCGCCTCTCAGCAAGGGGGTAATCAGTTGACCGAAGGGATACGCTGTCCGGTAATCCACGGCGCGTCCTGTGGACGCTCCTTCCACAACTGGTTCTGGTTGCTCCTCGGAAACAGGACCCGGTTCTGGATCAGTTTTAGGATTGGGAGCAGGATCACTTTGTTTCTCCGTCTCCGAGGCGACCAAAGGGGTCACAAAAATGGGCGAGTTTGTTGTTCTCTCGGGTTGATGGTTGTAGGGAAGAGGATGAAGGATAGTCGAGGGTGTGGAAATAGTCGCAGGAGCTTCAGTAGTTGAGAAGACATTCTCACTGGAGTTGAAGCTGTGTGGGCAAGGATTGTCAGGTATATCGGTCACCTCCACTTGAACTCGGTAAACTTACGTTTTTGGAAATATTAAGTCCGTATTAAGAGCCTTAAATATGCGCGGTCCCTGGTCGTTTTCAGCTCCATTGCCACTGACCAAAACCTGTGAATAGGCCTGAATCCGAACAGATAAAGAAAAAATACCGAGACACACCAACAGCGCCCACTTGGCGCTTTCTAATCTCATCGTTGTATTTTTTACAGATATTTAGTTTCACACCAGGACACTTTTGTAAATATTTTTATTTATCCGCACTATCACTTAATATCCTTAGGGGCTATACTTTCCCCATATCCGCCGGAGCTCGAAAATAAAACTACCGATCCGAGTCGCGTGAAAATGTCGAATACAGCGGATCACTTGGATGGCCATTGGTTTTATTCAAGTCCGTTCAGCGGAGTTCGTGATTTCGTTTTTTCATGACCCAGATTCCCGGCAAAAGGTGCTACTAGAAGTGATCTATATACGACGAATCCGAGCGGGCAGAACAGCACTTTCATTTCGTCGACCTCGGAGGTGCTAATTAATTGTTACTCCACATTTCTGATAGCATCTTCCGTTATGTGCTCCCGGTTGCCTGGTATTCGAGTATCTGGAGTGCGGAGTGTAACTAGACTTCCAATCCGTGACTATTTCATAAAATGCTTATGTGGTTGGGAGCGTGTGGCTCCAATTTTGCAAATAGTTAGTAGCATCCTCATGGCATGTGCCTACAACTTTATCATTATGATTCTAGTTAATCAGTAAAAATTTAGGATTACCATAAAAAAATACGTTCTACCAAAACCGGTTATACAAAAAATTACTTTTATTTATTCTCCTTAAATATTTATTCAAAGAATTCTCCTTCTTTTACGCAAACATATGCATAAGTTTTACGTTATTCACTTTTAAGAAATGAATGACATGTGCAAAGAATTCCAAACCGGCGAACATTCCCCTTTTTGGCGCCACAAAAGTGATAATTAATATAAACCCCTTCAATCTTCTGGTACTACTACCATGTGTAACCCAAATTATAGATTTCTTAGTACAAAATAAAGACAATAATATTTGTCAACTTTATATGCTGTGGATGTGGGTCAGTTACTGCGACACTTGTTGCAGCGTGTCTCCCCCGATTATCACCTATTCAGGCGTGCTATATATATGTGTTGACCATCCTATTTCACAGCTCAATTTTAAAGTATCTTCAGAGAACCAGTTCTGGGTCTGCCACTTTCCCAATTGGTCCACTCAAAAGGCCAGCAACTTTTACTTGTTTAAAGATGGGTATAAAGATTTACCATACATATATTTCATACAATAATTGCAAGTCTTTTAAATGTTAGTACACAAAGTCATATTATTGAAACAAGGAACTCGGAACAAATAGTTTTAGAAACAAGAATAACAAATGTGTTTCGTTACTTTATGGTGGTGTCAAATACTTTAAATGGGCGAAATAACGAGGCTGAAGAAAAAAAAAGTCAAGCATATGTTGGGAGAAACAGCGACGGTATTCATAGTCCCAATGGTTAGTCGGAAGAATGGTAAAACTAATAAGAAGAAGCGTTTTGAGTGGTGGTGTTATATACAGCCTTGGCACTAAGTACATGTGTAACATTGGCGTCTTTTCGTTTGGTAAGTCTTAGCCGTGATTCTTAGAAGGGCGAGTTCATTCCCAACTTTGTGCCAAAGTCAAGACGCGCTCGACGCTGATAGCGCGCATTAACCCTAAAATAGACGAGGGACACATTTAGTAGATTATCCCCACAGAGTAGGTAGCACTTACTTGTTCTCCTGGAACTTGGCCAGCTCGCTGACAATCATACTCAGCAAACTGCCTCCAAATAAGATTAACAAGGCCACCCATAGATTGGGCAGCTGTTCCTCAAAATCATGAAGAAGCAGTTGGACACTGCATATTACACCATGGGCAAGGACTAAAAACAAACAGGTAGTAGCCCAGATACGATTGGAGAAGGGATTGCGCTGCCAGAGCGCATGATCGCGGTGAACAAAAGTAACAGAGATGAAAACTGAAACAGAGTAATCCAGTTAAGCATCGAATTGAATAATATGCATTAAGTTATTTTACCAAAATGCAGGATTATGCCCAGTACGGCACAGCTTCGAGCATAGTATAAAAACTGATAAAAGTCCTTGTCATCATCATCATCATCTTTCTCGCGTTCCAATACAGGTTCTTCTGTAGTTTCAATAACAGGGCTCAATTGTGGCTTAGGCAAGAACATCCAGTAGGAAACAAGCTAAAAAAATTATATTGAATGTTAAAAGACAAGAAATATTTGAGTTTCAAAAAAAGCAAACCTACCAAAGATGCGAGAAGAATGATAAACTTGCAGCCGTAGCACCACATGACAAAGGCAAACGCTCGTGAATCATAATCCGTCTGCTTTTTGCCGGTGGCCCGATTCATGATCTTTGGATCCACGTCGATGTGGGCTAGCGAGAAGGCTATTAGCGGCACCGGAACGCACATCAGATAGATGGCCATCAGCGGGGTGAGGAGCGGCGGCAGTGAGAGGCACGCGCACAGCACGTTCAGAATGGAGATAGAGCCGGCACAGCAGGCCCAGTATTGAATGCAATTCCAAAGACCCAGAGAGAAGCGCCGTGACAGCTCAATTATGGCCACCAGCGAAAGCGGGTCGTCGCGGCAAACGGCAATGGAGCAGGGCAGGGAGTTGAGTAGCCGGCTGAGGTACAGTGGCGAGATGGTGTGAGCGGGTGACTGCATAGCGAAACCCTGAAGCCCGCCCTCCAGCAGCTGCTCATCATCGTGTGCCTTGGACTTCCCAGCCTGTCGCTGCCACAAGAGTTTGTTTTGCGCAATGTTCGCCTCCGTGTAGGCGTCCACGTCCTGGCACACCTGCGGGTATAGAGGCTCCACGGCTATGCTGCAGTCAGCCTGAAGAAAAATGTCCGCGTTGGCATTGCTCGCCGAACTTCCCAAACAGACAACGATCTCGCCGTACGACTGCATGATGTCCAGCATCTGGCGTGTGGCCTCCGCAGAGCAGTCCGTAAACAGTGAAACCTGCAGAGGCACGTTGTCCACCTGCTCCAAATGTGGCCTTATGTTTTCAATGCCTCTGGGCAGCTTCGCCCTGTTGGACATGTCAAAGTTGATGGGTGCACTCTGGTCTGTGCTTTCTGTGAGTGTGCTCAGTGAGCGGCAGTTTTCGTCCATGGCGGAGTCCAGCGAATGGCGCTGCCTGTGCTTGCTGGGATCGGGTTCCGCATCCAGCTCAGAGTCTCCGGGCAGATTGTTCTTCGGGGTGCTACCTTGCGAGCTGTCCTTGCTGCCCTCGCTATCCGGGGATTGGGGACCCTCGTTTTGGAGGGCAGTATTCAGTGGATTGCACTCATCTGGGTTGGAGATGGCACCCGGTGCCGAGGAGCTGAGGTTTTTCGAGGACTCCAGATTGGTTGGCGGCCCCAGAAGATAGCTTATTTCTGGGCCATCACCTACAATTTCAGTGGCTTTAGCTGCAGATATGGACTCGGATACGGATGCGGTGGCAGGTGCGGGTGCTGGGGGCGATATGTACATGACTTTGGCACTGGGATGATGGCTATTCTCATGGTCAGTTGTGGTGGTGGTGGTGGTAGTGGTGGCAGTGGTTGAGGTGGTGGCTTGGGGTTTACCAATATGTTCCGGCAACTCCTTGGCCTTGGCAGTGATCCGATCCTTTTCACCATCGGGCTCCGGTTCGCTTAGCAGCGATATGTGACAGTTCCAGCCGGACTCGAGACCCATTTTCTCGGAAAAGACACGCGAGCGCAGCTCGTTCTCCTTGCTAAAGTGCACAAATCGAATACAGGCCCGTTCCAGATGCTCCACCAGCCGAACGATATCGTTCTGCGCCTGGTACTGCATTGTCACCATGCCGATAAACACCTGATGGCACTGCATTTCGAAGCAGCCCTCCACATCGTTGCACTCTTCGTCCTTGCTCTCCGAGAACAGCAGTGAATCAGTGCTGATGCTGTGGCTCAGCTTGACATGGTGTCCGCCCTGGAAGTCGCAGTGCGTCTTGTCCACGTGCTGCATGCGCAGCTTTGACTCCGGCGGCAGCTCCAGATACAAGCACTCGCCTCCGTTTCGCTGGGGGCCGCTCAGGGCTCCGTGGATGCCGTGCCTTAGAGGCCGATACGCAAAGGCCGTGCAGTAGGAGGTCAAGGCACTGCGCTGGTAAAAGTCCAATGCCCGCTTGCGATCCTGGGCGGAGAGTGGGCGCAGATCCATGCCGTCCCAAAAGTCATCGCAGCAGTCCAAGATGATGTCCGCCGTGCCCTGGGTGAAAAGCGACAGATAGCCACCCGGATTCTCGCGCATAACCACTGATAGGGAATGCGGAAACGGAACCTTCACCTTGGAGGACAGCTGCAACTGCCGGGCAAAGCGAATGTCCCTGCGTACCACATCCGGTTGCTAAAAAAAACAAGTTAATTCTCAACAAATTTTTTTTGAATAACCTAGTTCAAACCGCACTACCCAATGGTAATTTCCTGAACTAATTCAAAATGAAACATTTTCATTGTATTTGGTCATCTGAATACTAACTCACCAAATGCCGGTAGCTAGCTAGCTGACCCTCCAGTGCGAACCGATCCGTGGCATGGTCGGTGAATCCAATCTGCTTGGCCAGCTCGCAGAGACAGCGCCTGTTTATAGAGAGCAACCGATTAGAACTGGTTCCCACTGCCGCTGGATGCGACGGCGGTGCGTGAGCATGCAGGCAAGCGTGGCGGGCAGAGGTCGGCGGATGGGGGCGGTGACGGGAATGGGGCTACTATATTTAAGCGTTCTTGAACGTTTGTTACTTAAAATAGCATGCCAACGAGGATGGGAGGAAGGCTAGGGAGATCGATTTACGAGTACAAACAAATTAATATAGGTAGAATAATAAATACAAGGTTGATGTGTCGGCATTGCAGTTAGTTTTAAGGCTCGAATGATATGTGGGAAATTATAGAGCAAAACAATTAGAAATAGCGAGTTATTTCAAAAGAAAAATACGTTTTTCTTACGCTTGTAATTTTTAAAACATTACCAATCACTTGTGTTTGTTTTTGTGAGGGAATCGTCCAATTGGATTCAAAAATCAAAAATACCCAAAGCAAAAACTAATTTGATCGGGCTGGCTTTGGATGCAATGGTATGCAATACCACTTTGGAGAAAATCATTAGACTATATAAGTAGTAGTTTTGTGGTCAATGAAATCGACCACATATATGGTTTGGTTAAACAGAAACTAACGATGAGTATGGCAATGAACTACGTACCCATGCAAAAAGCTTTTACTCGACTCAATGAGTGCATACGCATACCGATTAGTCACAGGCACCAGATCTTTGTCGAGCATGGCCACGGCAGTTACATGGCCACAGAATTGTGCGTAATGCTCGTGGGTAAGCGGAGAACAGGTGTTTAGCAAAATGGCGAGGCCTAAAAAGCAAAAAAACACTTTAGGGAATTTATTACAATCAATTGGAGTCAGTAGTGTCACCCAGTGGCTTCAATGACTTGATGTGTGCTTTCCACTCGTGATCGTCAAACTCCAGACGGAAGGGGCAGTGCTGGTCGTGCGTTAGGTCCAGCACTTCGGCCACTATGCCCCGCTCCTTGTGATCCTCGTCCACGTCCGGCACATCGTCGCTCTCGCTCTGCGACGACGACTGACTGCCCGCTCCGTCCTCGCGCGCTTCCTCGTCCGTGTTGTGTAGGAAGAATACCTTCTCGGCGGTGGGATTGGGCCACGACAAAATACCCTTCTTGTCCACACAGCAGAGAGCCGAAATGGAGCCCAACACCTGTACGAGATTTGCGGAGCGCGGCAGAAGTTCACTATCCCCGCGCCAAAGATCCATCCAGATGCGAAGTACATTGGAACGCAGTATCGACACATTTTGGTAGTTGTAAAATGGCGTCTCCAGATCCTCCTCGAACGATTTGCTTGAACTCCTCTCCAGAGGAGCCTGTGGCGTTTTCAGAAAGCACTGCAACCGGGCAATTCCCCACAAATTCATGGATATCCACATGAGCGGAAAGATCAGCGGCAACAGCGGGATGATAGCCGCCGCTGGAGACTCGATGAGCACGAAGCGCCAGTTGTGCTTCTCGTCGGTGGGCAGGCCGTAACCATGGAGGCGAAGCAGACCGGAGATGAGCGTGATAACCAAAGCACTAATGAAGCCCCACTGCTGTATGTACTTGGTCACCAGCTGTCAACACAAACTAAGATAAGAAGGGGTTTCATTTTCCTTCGAAGATCTGCTTACCAGATAGCGCTGCTGATTGTAGATGGTGGGCGGGCGCTTAAGCGAGTTTTTCAGACAAACGCTCAAGTTGTCCAGGTAGGGCGTGCTTTCCAAACAACAAATGAGATCGGGCAGCGGCGGTCGCGCCACTGGCTTCACGGGAGGATCGCCATGGGGAGCCGCTCCATAGATTTCATTCACCGCGAAGAACTTGTTAGTCTCTACTTCGTGACATGGGCCGGGCGAAATGTGACCCGGCCGTAGGACGATGTGGTCCCCGCGCACTAACAAAGCCCACGGTAGATTGACAATTTTCCCGTCGCGATAGGTCCACTGCAGGGAGACGCACGGTGACATGGGGTTGCTAAGGTGTGGGTAGTTGCCCGGCTGCCAGTCGTCACTGAAGTGCTTTTCCGCCAAATGGAGTTCCCCAAGGGCATGCCGCGTTTTTCGATAAATCTCTGTACGGCGCAGATTGTTTTCCCGGACCACCACGAAGAGGTCAAGTGACAGGATGACTAGCAGGCATATGGCGGGCCACAACATGCCCGTGATGAGTAGTGCTCCACTGGCCAACAAAGTGGCGCCTATGGAAAGCCAGCCTAGCGGACTATCGTACCGCTTTACAAAAGCCGCCCGCAACTTCCGATAGGAGCTGTGAATACAGGGGATTGCGTTTTATCAGTGCCTATCACCAGATATATACTGACTCACCTCTCCGCGCCATACTGCCGCTCCTGCTCCAGCAGCACCCGTTCTATCTCCTCATGCAGACGCCGAAGTGCCACCCTTGTGGTAAGTCCTCGCTGCTGGTGCTCCGGACTTCTTCGCTTTTCGGGACTTTCCGCCCGCTTGGCTGCCATGTTTCTCGTCGTGCTCCTGCGACTGCAGTTTAAGAACTCAAATCTGTCTACAGCATAGTTTTAAGAATTCGCGTCTGTTTAGATTTGGGTTCGCCGATCAAGTGTTCGCAACAGCCGTCTGCAGAAAGTGCGGTCACTTTGGGATAGAGCTGTCCCTTTTAGCGGTTTTAACGACAATCGGCTTGCGTGGTAGAATTTGAATTTAATTTTAGGTAAACGATATTCATATTTGCTACATTTTTAAAAATTGGTTTTTTATTATTCTATTAGTTTATGTGTCCGAAATTAACAAAAAATAATTCAGTTTCTTAATTTAAGTATATAATATTTGTGGTAAATTAAAAATTCTACGTCTTAGGTAACCGCAAAATTCAAACAGTGTGTACAGTATGTATGTATATCCATACACATACATATGTATTCATATATTTAAAACAAAGCTTGCAAAGCATTTTATTCCAAAAGCGATTTCCAATGAATTTGATATGTAAACAAAGCAAAAAGCAATATTCTTTGTATTTGTTTAAATTAAACTTCATAAGAAATTAGGAATTCATATTCGAAAGGCCTAGTTTAGAGATATGTAAACAAATTCAAAAACTTAGTTTGGAACGATTTGACGACCAAAAAGAGGGCGAATATTTGAAGTAGAGAAAAAAATTCTGCACATCGGGCAGTAAGGATGTCGCAAAGCATATTGTTGAATACAAGAATTTCCGAAGAGATGACCACATGGCAAAGAGACGACTCTATGATCTCCAATCTCATCCCAAGTCACAAGGCATATGGAGCAGGTTATGCTCTCCTGGTACTTATCCTCTAGGCTCTTTATTTGATGCATATGCTCCCGCTCTTGAGTTTCGATCGTTTTAAGCAACTCTTGCCTATTTGCATCTATTTGAGAAATTTGTTGTTGTGACTCCGAAATAATGACCTGCATTGACCGAACCTGTTCCTCTAATTTCGCCACGATGCCTTTGAACATGATCTTCTGCTCTTCCAATTGTATTATCATGCCATCACGGTCAATTTGAAGTTCTTCCTTTAACACACTTTCAAACTGAAGGCCATAAGTAGCCTTTTCAATCGCCTTTTGGAGTTCCTGGTTTTCCAGGTTTTCTTCTCTTAACTGCTCCTTTAGTTGATCTCTCTCCATGACGAGCTTCTGATTTTGAGAATTAATGAAATGCAGCTGCATTTCTAGGTCCGTATTATTCTTTTCCAAGTCCAGGCAAAAAAGCTTACTCCACTGCAAAAGCCATTCGAACTGTTCTGCCGCGAAGGCATCTTGCAGATCAAAGGAATCTGTGTATGTCGGAGTTATAATTTTGTGTATGGCGCTTGGGTAATTCATAGTTCAAAGCTTTTGTGCGAATTCAGGTAAATGGGAATCCCTTAGTTTTGTTTGCGCGAAAGTGTTGCCAAGCCTTTTTTAAGAAGCACGCTTCCTAGAAATTTGAGACATGTATGTACTAGATTTCACAGGTCTTTATTTTCTAATGTTTTATAACTCTCTATTTGCTATGATTCTTTTTTTTAAATTTTTATATTCTTACCCTTTAAATTACAATAGACAACAGTTGTGGCGGCCCGATTTCTGTTTATCGATAACTGATATCAACGATTTGGAGCTTGGCAAATCACATCAAACGGTCTCACTCTTATTTGCTGGCGTATTTACTGTTTTTTTTGTCCATGTAAACGTAAATTATTTCAAAAGAAAAATCTAAACCAATGGACTCCAAGCTAGACGTGAGTGTCAAGCAATAAAAGCTAAAAATTAATAACAACCATTTTGTACCCGCAGATGTTTGAGGACGTTAACACGTCGCCTTCTTTGGAGGGCGACATGTCAATTCCAGGCAAAAGAACTACAACTGCAACGTCCGCGAGTGGAGTGCCGGACTACAACACCCTCGATGAACCTATCCGAGAGACAGTGCTTCGGGACATCCGCGCCGTCGGCGTCAAGTTCTATCACGTGCTTTACCCCAAGGAGAAGTCCAGCCTGCTCCGCGATTGTACGTCATCAGTTGGTTTTCTTCTGCATTCGTGGACAGTTTTCTTATGTGGCTTACCCGCTTTTCAGGGGACCTTTGGGGACCATTGGTGCTGTGCACCTTTATGGCCACCATACTGCAGGGCTCATCATCCGCCGACAGCATGTCCGATAATGGACCGGAGTTTGCACAGGTTTTCGTCATCGTCTGGATAGGCGCGGCCATAGTCACACTGAACTCCAAGCTGCTTGGCGGCAATATGTGAGCAGAATCCCGCCCATAAAATAACCTAGAAGTTAATGTCTGTTTTTGCAAATTCCCGCCAGCTCGTTCTTCCAATCCGTCTGCGTGTTGGGCTATTGCCTCACGCCTGTGGCCATTTCCCTAATTGTGTGCCGGGTTATTCTGCTGGCCACCCAAACGCGACTGCTTTTCTTTCTGCGATTCGTGACCACCACAATGGGCTTTGCCTGGGCCACTTACGGTATTTGGAACACTTCAAAAACCTGCAGATAACCTCTTTAACAGAAGTGTTCTTTCAGCCTCCTTTGTTTTCCTGGGCCAGAGTCAGCCACCGCATCGCAAACCGCTGGCCGTCTACCCAATCTTTCTGTTCTTCTTCATCATCTCGTGGCTGGTCCTGTCCCACAACTAGCTCAACTCGTGACGCTTCGTTTAGTGATTAGTTCGTAAACAAAACCGTGCACGTTCCATAGCGTAACCAGAAAAGAAGAATCCGAAATCTATTGTACATTTCTTTAAGCTATGATTCATTTTTTATTCTTAAAATCCTACAAGTTATCTGAGTTACGGGGTTGCCAATGTATATCTGGGTTCACACCTCCAGGCTGTTCACAGAAGAGGCCACCTCCAGGGACATTTGCATTTGGACACCATCGCCCTTGGTGGGCCGGTAGGTCAGCGAATTGGCGCGCGCCTTGCGTCCCATGAAATGCCGTTCCACCCATTTCAGCAGCGTGTAAACGGAGTCTGTAGAGGGAAGTCGGTGATCCGCAGCGGTCTTCACAATGTCCGACGAGGTCACACGGAACGTTCTCGCCATTCCCTTGAGAGCCTGTTCAGGGAAACAGTGTAAATTATCGAAGAGCAGTAATTTAAACGGGCCTCTAAAGACTACTTACCACCATGGCATCCTCGTCCGTAAGATCGTCACCCACGTAAATGATCTTGATGCGCTCGTTCCAGTCCACGCCGAAGGAAGTGCGCAGGATGTAGATCGAGGCACGGCCCTTGTTCCACTGGACCGGCGGACGGGCCTCCAGAGCGCAATGCGCCTCCGTGGCCCGGAAGCCGTACTTTTCGATCAGGGAGCGCGCCTTATCGACCATCGCTCCACGCAGGTGGTTTGGCGTGTCGCGGTAGTGGAACGTCAGGAGCGCCCCCTTGTTCTCCACCCAGGCGCCGTCGCGGCATACGGAATCCTGCAGCGCCTTCAGCAGGTCGCTGACCTTCTTCTCGTACTCCATGGGCATGGGATGCACGAACTTGCTGCCGTCCGGATGGAGGATCTCCAGACCGTGATTGCCAGCGTAGGTGATGCCCTCGATGCCGACCATCTTCTTCACGTTGTCCACGTTGCGACCGGAGATGACGGCCACGTAGACATCCGAGTGGTTGGACAGCTTGTACAGCACGTTCTTGATCTCAGGGGAGAGCGTGGCCAGGTCCGGATGCGGAGCAATGGGCGCCAGGGTGCCGTCGTAGTCCAGCAGCAGAGCCAACTTGTGGTTATAGCCGATGTATCTGTGAGATACGAAACGTGATTACCTAATGTTATTCCTGTAATTGTAATGTCAAGCCACTTACTTCAGTAAGTAGTCATCGAAGTCGTCCACAGAGACCGGTTGCATTATGGTGGTGCCCACGTCGTCCATCTCCAGGGCGCCCACCGCCTTCAGGAAGCAGCGCATCCAGTGGCTCACATCGCATTCGGCCTCCCGCCGGCGGAGACGAGCCATCCGAAGGACGCGCTCGTCCTCGGGCATGGTCAATGCCCGGTGGATCACCTCGGCGGCCTCGTTCACCTCGTACGGATTGCAAAGCAGCGCCTCGTGCATCATCTCGCCGGCTCCCGCAAAGGGTGAGATGACCAGGACACCAGGCACCTCGTTAATCTGGCAGGCGACGAACTCCTTGGCCACCAGATTCATGCCATCGCGCAGCGGAGTGACCAGGCAAACGGCAGCATCCCGGTACAACGCAGCCAGTTCGTCCTGGCTCACGTAGTCGTAGATGTAGCGGATGGGCGCCCAGTTGGCGGTGGTGAAGCGTCCGTTGATGCGGCCCACCAGCTGGTCCACCTCCTCCTTCAGCTCTCTGTACTCCTTCACGTCCGTTCGCGACGGCACCGAGATCTGCAGCAGGCTCACCTTCTCCTTGTGCTGCGGATACTTGAGCAGCAGCGCCTCGAAGGCCATCAGCCGGTGGACGAGGCCTTTGGTGTAGTCCAGTCGGTCCACGCCCAGGATGATCTGCATCTTGGATGTCTTGAGCACCTTGGGTGCGGTCGTGGCCAGATTGACGAAGCGCTCGTACGGAATGCCAATGGGCAGCGGACGGACGCGCACTGTGCGACCGCCGTGCTCCACGAGCAGGTTGTTCCTGTCCACACGGCAGCCGAGGTTCCGCTGGCAGCAGTCCACGAAGTTCAGGCAGTAGTCCTGGATGTGGAAGCCCACCAGATCGCAGCCCAACATTCCCTAAAAATTCAATTGAAAAGGAGTTAACGCCGATCTTGGAGTTTAGACTGATATTGACCCACCTGCAGGATCTCATCGGACCACGGCAGCAGGCGGAAGATGTCCCACGGCGGGAAGGGGATGTGCAGGAAGAAGGCCAGCCGGCAGGGCAGGTTCTTCTCCTCGGCGTGCTCACGCACCCAGTTGGCGGCCAGCATGAGATGGTAGTCGTGGATCCAAACGATCGGTGGACTCTTTTCGCTGCCCTGGTTCTTGGCCAGACACTTCTCCAGCGCCTCGATGGTGCGGACGGCGAAGTGCTTGTTGACGGTCACATAGTCGTGCCAGTGCTCGCCTCCAAAGTTGGCTCTGCCCGGCATCGAGTGGAACAGGGGCCAGAAGATCTTGTTGCAGCATCCGTTGTAGTAGCTGTCGAAGATCTTCGAGTCGATGTTCACGGACACCACCTGCTCGGACTTGAGGCCAGCGGTGGGCGTCTGGTCGTTGGGATTGGACTCGGGAATGGCCTCGTTGGGGTCCTTCAAGTGGATGCCCGACCAGCCCACCCAGAGCCCGCTGCCCTTAATCACTACCGGACACACGGCAGTCACCAAGCCACCAGCGCTGGAATGTAGAAGAAATATTTTAAGTGTCGTTTCTTAGTGTCCGAATTTTATCCTCGTACAGATACAAGATATTCAATATATCTTTTATTGAATATAATGGGTAAGTGGCTATTCAAACAGTTTATAGCAATTTTCAAACCCTTTCAAAAATAAATGTCTCTTAAGTGCTAATCAACAAAAAGGTTATCATTATAATTCCAAAACTATTTTTTTTTAAATCATTTTCCTCAAAAACGTGCCCTTCCCCATCTTCAACATATGGAAGATGTAATCAGGTGTGCCACAACCACTGGACCGAACGGAATAGGCGAATGTGTGTGTGTTGGTGAGGACCCAGCCCATTTTGTGCAGAGTGCATGACACCCGTGCGCTGATAACGAGATGCCCATTAAGCCAGCGATTGTAAACAACAAGATCTGGACTCGGCCCCGGTCAATTCCGTGCGGAATCCGGAGACAATCTGGAAGAGCGGAGGCCCAAAAGAAGCGCGTTCCTGGCATAGGTCGGCTCCATACCGGGGCAATCACATTCACGTGATTATGGCTTTCAGGGTCAGGTTCAGGTTCGGGTTCCACGGGACGACGACAACAGCCTCGCCATAACGCCTCTCGTTTTGACCCTTTTTCCAGACACTCGGATGGGTCAAAAACGCGTAACAAACCTCGCTGATAAGGCCCCGCCATTATTATTGAATTTGTTTTCTATTCCAGAGCCCAGACTCTGCCCATCTCGATTCTCTGTGTATTTTGCACTGATAAGATTGAAAGCCTTGCGGATCAACCGAACTATAGGTATAGTTGGATCGAGAATCGGTTGGGGGCTGCTAGTTGGGTGGCGATTGGACCTGCCTGCTTATCTATTGTCTATGCAAATTGTGGGCTCGAGGATCGAACTGGGTTACTTGGGATTTTCGGGAGTGCGAAGAACATGAAAATTCGCCCTCGTTCGGCTTTAGCTCACCAGCTCCCGAGAATTGATAAGCGTGCTTACGAAACGATCGGAAATTTCGAATTACTTGATCTCGCTGACAATTTAAAACTTTCCTTTGTTCAGTTCAAATTTAATTTACTATTGGCTTAACCTTATTAACGAATTTGAACTGTGTATTTAGGTTGATAAACGAAATGAAACTTTTTCTTGCTTATACTTCACTCTTAGTTTATAAGTTTTGCTTATTATTTTTAAATGTATTTTTTCGGTCAGAAAAATTTTAACATTTTAAGCCTTTCAGTACTTTGAAGCAAGCTTAGCAGTAGAAGCAATTTAAGTAGGATTACATAAGCAAAATTAAACATTATTTTAATACGCACATTTTTTAAATATACACTTCAAATTAAAAAAAAAAAAACGCGACTCACCTGGCCCTGCGTTCCAGTTCATCGGTTTTTGGGTTCCGGATCAGCACAAATGGCAGGCGATTGGAAACCACGATGAGACTCGCCTTCGTGGACGGCTCTCCGGCATTGGTGACAATAATCTCCGTATCAGGCATAGCGATCCTTGGTAAATCAGCTAAGAAGGTAAATCAGCTGGCGAACTGGTTAAAAACTTCTGTTGGCGTCTGCGATCGAAGTTAGAACATAATTTTTGGCCAAAACTGATGCGAATGCCCGCGGATGTGGACGTTAGACGACTGTCTGCGGTGAAACCTGGCTTATCAATGGGTCTCTCGAAGGGAGAACGACCGTTGCCGAAATTAAATTCGAATTCGCTGAGCAAAGACTGGGAATCCGACCTGTCTTCTTATCGGTGCTTCTCCGAGATGCAATTCTACGTGGAAATCAGTTTTCCTGGCTGCGTTGCGGGTTGGTTTGTTGGTCGCGAGAGCCAGCAGCTCCGTACCCTGCCGAAAATAGACAAGCACTAAGCCAACTAGTCGCTCAAGTCGCACTTTTCTGCTAAAAATGAATGCCGCCCAGCCATCCCCCTCCATACTCTTGGGTTCCACAGTCCACTCTCCGGCTTATCAGAAAATCGCCCAGCTTCTGCTTCTCCGGCTGATTACGGTTACGTATTTTCTACGGACTTGTGTCTGTGAAATCTGACGGAACATGTCCGTCTGCTGGCTCCGGTCCTGGTCAACCGACCAACTGGACACGGGCATCCTTGAGAAAGAGGTGTCGGGGATCATGGTGCCCGCTGTGATCTTTGCGAGCCACACCTCACACATCGCAGCTAGTTTTCTAGAATTAACTGGCCGCGCCTGGTATTATCAGTTCGGGAACATTTCGCGGCAATGGCGGCTATATAGCCTCCACCCCCCAAACACCACCACCCATCGATGTTGTCTCCCAAGGCGATAAGTCAACAGAATCGATGCTGTTGTTTACGCTCCGGGTCTCTGCCTTATAAAGAACATCCGAATTGTACACAGAAGATTTCTATTTTCGTTTCTCTGTTGAACTTGTCTGCAGATTGCAGTTGGAAATCTCTTGGTTTTCCTGCAATTCTAACCTTGCCGTGACCGCCGTTTCATTACCTTGCGAATAGTTTTATTTGGCCTGGTATTTGCCTGAAAAGATACAAGGCTGATAAGACTTGCAGCGCTATCTAGTGCATTTTAGTCTAGGATTTACAGCGGTGTGGTGCAAAGGGATTACGGGTGGACTAGCTTATATATTATAATATGGAAAACTTGGCTGAACTTGAACGCTTGATCATGTTTGGCATTCATGCGCTTATCACGACGCCCGGCTGGCGTTTTACGTGATTGTTGGTGATAGTTCCCATTGCCCCTTGCCTTAGCCGGAATCTGCAATAACAGTTTCGCATCGAGAGCACAAATTAGTCAGCTCCACCGGTGCAGTGATGCGATCTGATTCGGATCGAACCGATCCGGCCGGCGATAGTGAGATAACCTGGCCGGAGGTCGCCGTATTACGCTTGCATATTTATAGTTTCGGTCTGTGGCTATTAAGTCGCAGGCGTCTATGGTTTGACGTTATTAAGCTGACGCAGTCTTCAGGCAATAGCTTCGTGATGCAAGCAGATTGATTTGAAGAAGCAAAACGATTTGTAACGGTCGATAGTGATAGAGCTATCCACCTTCTCGAATGGATTCCCAATGGTGAAGGATCGATAGTAGGCGATAGCCATCTCTACCACACAGAGTGACCGTATTGTCCCGCATTTGTTTACTTTCGGCGCAGCAACTATGGATCCTTCAATTATTGAATTTATTGGCGAAAAGTGCATGATCAGCATTATACCGAACTTCTCCAACGAACCCCTGCATCTTATTTACGGATCTGTGGGCCCTTTCCGTGCCGGATTTCCAGTTTTCGTGCCCCTGTGGATGGCGACGCATCTGCGCAAGCAACAAAAGTGCCGGATTGTGCCGCCAGAATGGATGGACATGGACATACTGGAAGAGATCAAGGAGGAGGAGAAGCGCTCGAAGTATGTGTTAAAGAGGCTGAACCTTTAAGAGCGCATTCTAAATATATTTCTTCCCCAGATTCTTTACCAAAATGCCTTGCGAACACTACATGGTGGTGGCCCAGTTGGTCATGAGCACAGCTCCTGATGATGTGCCCCGCTGCGAGGAGCTGCGCACTGTGATCAAAGACATCTTCGACATTCGCGAGTCCAAGCTGCGAACCTCGATAGATGCTTTCATTAAAGGAGAGGGCACCTACGCGAAGCTGGACAACCTGACGCTGCTGGAGATCCACAGCGTAAGGCCCATCCTGCCGTACTCCCTTGACCACATAGCTCGTTATCAGCGGACGGCCACTGCATCTCAACGGGACACCTCGATGCTGAGTGCCTCTATGGCGGGATCCAGTTCGGGTCCCAATAGTAACTCGCTATTTTCTCAGTGATATTAACATATAAATATCATTGCAGTTGGTTTATAAGTAAAAATAATTATGAGTGAAGATCTGGTTGCGTTTTAAATATATTCATCTAACTTCCATATATGACTGATAAGGCAATTTGAATCTCGATAACCATTCCGATAACCATATAAAGTCATCAAACCGGTCTGCTTCTAACAGCACAATAACAGTGGAATCAGCTGTTATTAGATAGTCGCATTCTCCATCCCTGGCATCCACGAAAGAAAACAAAAAGTTTTTGTAAAAATTGTTTAGGATAAAGCGAAATGAGCGAAGCTGCGGTAGCTGTGGAGGGGGAGGAGAGAATGGTGGCCAACAACAAGATCCATTTTTCAAAGGAGGTAAAACAGGTCATCGACAAGGTGAGTCAGTCAACATATGTTTAATATGCTTTTTACCCAACCCAATAAAAATCTCCCTTTAAGGTCCTTAAAACAGACGACCCAATGGATGCGCCGGACTTCAATACCGTGGACTACATCAACCAGCTGTTCCCCAATGAGCAGTCGCTGGCGGGGATCGACGAAACCATCCAAAAAATGCAGTGCGAGGTGTCGCTGATCGACGACAACATCCGATCCGTGGTTCGTGGCCAGACAAACACCGGTCAGGATGGTCAATTGGCTTTGTGCGAAGCGCAGAAGGTGATCAGCTCCCTCTTTAGCCACATCATCGACGTGAAGACGAGAGCGGAACGCACCGAGGAGATGGTCAAGGAGATAACCCGCGACATCAAGCAGCTGGATTGCGCCAAGCGCAATCTCACAGCTGCAATTACCACGCTAAACCACCTGCACATGCTAGTGGGCGGAATCGAGAGCTTAAACAAGCTGATCGAGCGGCGATCCTATGGAGAGATACTAAATCCCCTGCAGGCCATTACCGAGGTTAACCAACACTTCCAGCAGTTCTCCGACATCGAAGAAATCAAGGTAACTCAAAAGTCTAACAAAAACCATTTACTTACAAAACTTTTCTTTCTTTCAGAATCTCTCCCAGAGCGTGGACAAGATCCAGGTAACACTGGCACAGCAAATTACTGAGGACTTCAAGGAGGCCTTTTCGGCCAAGCCTGCGGCACAAAACCAACACCGTTTGGGACTCAATCAGCTGGCGGACGCCTGCAAGGTGATGTCCGTGCTGGATCCCAAGGTAAAGAAGGAGTTGCTCAAGTGGTTTATTGCCCAGCAGCTTGAGGAATACACACATCTGTTCCACGAGAACCAAGACATTGCCTGGCTGGACAAAATAGACAAAAGATACGCCTGGCTGAAGCGGCATTTGCTGGACTTTGAGGACAAGTACGGTCCGGTCTTTCCGCTGGACTGGGAGGTTTCCGAACGGATTACAGTCGAGTTTTGTCGGCAGACCCGCGAGCAGCTGGCGCTGATTATGGCCAAGCGCACCAACGAGATCGATGTAAGGCTACTTTTGTTCGCCATCAATAAGACGCAGGCCTTCGAGCAGCTGCTCTCCAAACGCTTTACAGGAGTCACTCTGGGAGCTAAGCCGGGAGAGCCGGCGCGGGTGCTCACAGACCCATCTGCGGGAGATGCTCCCGTGGGCGTCACCGTCTTTCATGACCAAATCGGGCAATGCTTCAAGTCGCACTTGGATATTTACATACGCAGCATCGATCGAAACCTCGCGGAGCTGATGGACAAGTTTGTGGAGATGTCGCGGGAACCTTACAAGTTCGCGGAGGCCAAGACCACCGTGTACCCAAGCTCCGGAGACCTATTTGTGTTCTACAAGAAGTGCATGGTGCAGTGCAACCAATTGAGCAACGAACAGCCTATGTACGACCTCGCCCTGGTTTTTAAAAAAGTATCTTCGTGAATACGCCGCTAAAGTTCTAGAGGGCAGTACCCCCAAGCTGGTGCCAGCCACCGCGGGCAGCTCCATCGGCAAAAGCGTATCGCTTCTCACGCGCGACATGCAGAACTTGTCCACTGCCGCTGGCCAAGTGTTTCACAATTTCCTAAAAGAGGGTGACACCCAGCGATTCACCAGGGATGACCTGGTGCGCATCTGCTGCGTCCTGACCACCGGTGAATACTGCTTGGAGACTGTCCAGCAGTTGGAAGATAAGCTCAAGGAAAAGGTGACATCTGCCTACGTGAGCAAGATTGACATGAGCGAGGAGAGGGACGTATTCCATCGGTAAGTCAGACAAAATTTATAGTACAGTAGTTTTTAATTGGATATCGTGTTCTTTTGCTTCCTGACAGTATCATATCCAATTGCATCCAGCTTTTAGTCCAGGATCTTGAGGCTGGCTGCGAGGCCTCGCTGCAGGCGATGGCCAAGGTGCAGTGGCAGCATATAAACAACGTGGGCGATCAGAGCGCCTTCATCAACAGCCTTTGCGGCAACTTCAAGCAGACGGTGCCCACCATCAGGGACACTTTGGCCAGTTCGCGGAAATATTTCACACAGTTCTGCCATCGTTTCGTGGCTGCCTTCATTCCGAAGTTCATCAACGTGCTGTATCGCTGCAAGCTTACACTCTCGGATGGCTCCAATAATGTTCTGGGCTGCGAGCAGCTCCTGTTGGACACCCATTCGCTAAAGACTGCTCTTTTGGAGCTTCCTTCGGTGGGCTCAAGCGTAAATCGCAAGGCGCCCACCAGCTACACCAAGGTGGTGGTCAAAGACATGACGCGGGCCGAGATGATAATCAAGGTGGTGATGACCCCAGTCCAGCCACCTGCCCACTTCACTCAGCAGGTGCTCAAACTCCTGCCCGACATCACCATTGCAGAGTATCAAAAGATTCTGGACATGAAGGCAGTCAAGCGGGTGGATCAACTGCAGCTAATTGATCTCTTCAAGCACACGGCTTCGGCTGCTGCGGTTAGTGGCTTAATAGAGCCCACAACTGGTGATGAGGAGGCTCAAGGGGGAGATCAGGGTGCCGCAACCTCTGGAACCACCGACGATGCCGAACCCTCGACAGGAGCCGCAGAATCCGGCACGACAACGGCGACAACCACAAGCGTTGCATCTTCATCCACACCCAAGCGAGCCTTCATCTTCAGCGTGGGAAGTTTCACGGGCAGCGCTGACAAGAACGCCGATGGCAGTTCCCAGACTGGAATCAGGAAGCTGGAGAGCCTGCTGAAGAAGCGCTTTCCCTAAGCCAAACACCTATCTACTCTAAAAAATCATTCCACATAGTTTGCTTTAGTTTGACAACATTGGGTAATGCTTATTTGTTTAATTTATTGTTCCAATCCGATTGAAATGGTGTATTTAAGTTTATTGAGACAAGTGACACATTTAGATTTGTAGTTCTGTATTATTTTGCAATCCATCCACGTATGTATTTAAAAATTGTTTATTAAAATTTAGTCTGTTGTTTAACAAGACTTATATAATTTAATATTCTCCTCTTTATAAAAAATAAATAAAAGACCCAAACCAATTTTTGGCATGCCTTAATCTTTTGGCGATTCCCATTTTCCCCCAAATTCAAATAAACACTCAAAATTGTTATTTGCATTTAAATTACTTCGTTTTATTGTATGTTTGACTTCGTAGCTTTTAAACATAAACTTATTTGACTATGTTGAAACTTGGATTCTCATGTTTATGTTCGTGTTGATGGTACTAATGACTAATGCGTTGGCTTAGGCTACTAACTAGGTGCTACATCTAGAACTAGGCTTGCGGTTGCTGCGGCTGCTCCGCATTCTAACGCTATGTACATGCAACTTATGGTCTAACTGATTTTGAGCGTACGGTCTAGTTTGAAGATCTTTTGAAAGTGATCGCATCGCGCGCAATAATACAAATCTCTAAACAAAAGACTTAAGACACGAACTTAGGCGTACAATTATGGATGAACTGAACGAGCGAGCTCTTAGTGTATCTAAATCTATGCGTAAGTATGCTTTGGTTTAATTCCAGCACTGCAAAAACCTAAACGAAACGATAGTATGTATGACTATGACGCAGTGGCCCAGCGGTCGGCGTTCCAAGGCCAGTTAGCGCCTGCTGGCCAACATCGCCTGAAGCCGCCGCTGGGACTGAAACGGGCTAGACTACGGGCTAGGCTAAGGGCCTCACTCGCACACTTAAATACACGGTATTTACACAAGGCGAGTAAGTGTCTTAGATATCTAAGTGGATTTAAGTGCACCTAGACGGCCACTATCTTGCTGGGATCCACCTTGACGCGCAGGAACACCGTGTCGCCCTTGATGAAGGGTCGGCTGTGCAGGAGTTCGTGGGAGATGAAGCGCGGGAAGCCGAAGCCCAGCTGATCGGGCTCGTTCGACGGCCTCTGGAAGTTCTCCCAGGTGGGGTCCGGAACGAAGGACTCCGCCACGCCGCCCTGGCCACTTTGGGCGCCCTGCTCGAACAGCGTGAAGGTGATGGAGTGCGAGAAGGGCCACTTTAGCAGGGCGTCGTACTCCCCGGGCAGGACCTTGATGTACACGGATACGTGTGTGTTCTCCCCAGGTCCGTTGCCGTTGAGGAACATGGAGGCCTGCAGCTTGTAGCCATACTGGGAGGTGTAGAAGGGCGGCGAGACCAGCTCCAGTCCGTCCTTGCCCCGCGCCTCGGCCATCTTGGCCGACCAGTCGGTGATCTTCCACAGCAGAGTGCCGGTGTAGTTGATCGACAGCTTGGACACCGCCGACTTGAGCATCTGGATCTGCTGTCCCTGCCGCGAGCTCAGCGCCACCATCAGCGAGAGATGGGCGGCGGCATTGCTCTCCAGATGGGCCTCCAGCATCTGGCGGGGGCCCTTGAAGCGGCAGCCCGCCTCCTTGAAGCTGCAGGGCACGGCCAGCGACTGGCACTCGTCCCGCAGATGGGCCTCCAGCTCGCCGCGGGCAATCGGACCCGCGTCGCAGCGCTGCGGACAGGCCAGCGGAGCCCGTGGACACTGGGCGGCGTGAAGGAGCAGAGTGTCGGCGGAGAACTCCCGCTGGCAGTGGGCACAGCGGCGCAGTCGCTTGGCGCAGTCCTTCGACTTGTGCAGGGTCATCCTGCCGCGGAGCACCCGCTGGCCGCACTTGGCCTCGCAGTAGACCGGCTCCTGGCCGCAGCTGCCGTTGTGCTCCTCGAGCCCGGCGCCGGAGAACTCGCTCTGGCAGAACTCGCACCGGGTCCGCCGCATCGTGCAGGTGTACTGCAGGTGGTCGGTCATCATGATGCGCGGGATCTGGGCGCCGCACTTGTTGGGGCACTGGGTGGCGTCGTGCTTGCAGGTGTTCAGGTGGGCCTTCAGCTTGCGCAGCTCGTCGGACCATTTGCAGCCCTGCTTGTGGTGGATGCAGAACACCAGGGAGCCCATGATGTGCTTCGGATCGGGGCCAGGATATATCTGCAAGAAGATCAGAGGAAAACCAATGGGTTAGATTAATCGGAAAGAACACATTATTAATCAGTTGCATTTCAGAATTGTAAAGTAACAAATACATTTCTTATTTGCCTATACCCTCCATTATCGATAAAAGTACTTCGACTTAAGACATGGAGTTTGGGATACTTATTTGTAAATATTTATATTTGTACTATTATTTACCTTCTCACAGCTAAGAGCAACCCCTGTCTTGCCAAATCGCTTCCATAAACCCATCGAGTGCGAGTGCGAGCTGACTTTTTGAGTGCGGAAGTTGGACTGAAACTAATGAGTTCCCTGGGCGCCCCCTCCTTATAAAGGTGTTTTCAAGATTTGCTTTCCCAAGCTGATAGACAGGAGATGGCACCTCTTATCTCGACGATCCCCTCGACCTGCTGTTTATCCAGTCCATCGCTGATATTGATTTTCCAGCTACCTGTCCGGCACCTTCCTCCTGCCAGCAAATTCCCTTAAGGTTCTTGTTTTTCACACTCGACTGCTCCTCAGGTTCCTAGGCACACCCAGACAGGCACTTCCTGTCCTACCTTCTAACGTTCTTTTTGGGCACTCTCCCAACTTCGTCGCTTGACTGCCTTTGCCCATACTCGCACTTCGGGTTTCAAGAACTAAAGAACTGCACCCGCTTCTGGTTCTGCTCCCCAGTTCTCCAGTTTTTTTTCCCAATGCACTTCTGTTTTATGCTTTTAATTGCCGGGGAAGGCGAGAGGAGTGCGACTTCACATCCGGTAGATTAAAATAATAAATTGCGTTGTTGTGCGAAAATATTTATGACTGGCTCCGGTCGTCAAATCTAATTAAAACGCCCCCATTTCTCGGATGCAAAGCCAACCACCCACATTTGGGTGTTTGTATGGTAATTGTTCGATATAGAGATATTTTGACAAACAATTAAAGTGATGGGCAGTCGAATTGGAGAAGAACAGAGATGTTGTACGGGATCTGTGGCTCCTAACCGAGCGTCGCGACATTTCCGGTTGACTCTTTTAATTGACCTTATCTGCAGTTTGTCGTGGGGCTTGTCCCAGAGCCTGACTTTTGATAAATGAACATGTCGCTGCATCTGGGCTCTGGTCTCTGGTCCCAGAAACAGACTCGTAGAGGCGACATTAAAACGAAGATATAATAAGCAATTAACACATGGGGAGGGAGTAGAGTGGAGGGGAAGGGGAAATCTCGCTCCGCTTCGGATTGCTTTGGATCCCATGTGCCCTCCGCTCCAAATGGGCGCAGTGAGGAAAAACAAAATAAAATATTATTTCTATGGAATCGCCTCTTGCTGGTAATTTCATTTAACGTGAAAACGAGTTTGCTGCTCTTTTTTCTCCGATCCGCTGTTTTATGTCAACGTTTTTTAGTGCTGAACTCCGCGTTGAACTCTCGATGGGGCCATGGACCAATTAGGCAATTGGAATCGCATTCGAAGAGCCAAACCGATCCAAACCAAGCCACCCACACACCAGATCGTTGAGGAAGTAACTGCCACTCAATCGGAGAGATGCCGTAAACAAGCGGCGGTGTTTACACAAATTCCAAATATCATGTAGTGGATGGTTTAATGGAGAGCGTGCAGCAGCATCCGAGAAGATCAGAGATCAAAAGCTGCCACCCGGCCAACTGTTTGTCAACCGGCTCCGAATGTTTACGGGGAAACCAAATAATTATGGTCCAAATCGAGGAGGAACAACAGGGGGAGGAGAGCCATTTTTTTAGTGGCAATTACTTGCCGCTCTGCTAAGGTTAATTTACTTGGACTTCCACAACGGGGACCACACAAAGCTGGAGATGGAGGTCGTTTGCCAGATTTCGTCGGATGATTATATAATTAAGCGATCTTTTGGGCAACTTTTGCTTTTTTCCTAATGCCAAATAAACGCAGGGAAGTAAAGAATATCGTTATTCAACTGCTCAGAGTCATTCAGTTTGATTGGTTCTTATGTAAAGCCGCAGACAAAACCAATTGAAATTCCGATTCGGACACGAAAGCGTGGCCAAATTTCAGGCCGCGGTAATTAAAAAATAACATAAAAACGAATAAAAAAGAGGGACAGCAACTCCAAAACAAATCAATGTTTGGGCCAATGAAAGTGGAAACACCGAACAGAAAATGAGTGAACAACGCATTATTTATGGGCAACAGCAGTTGGCGCATTTTGTTTCAGTTTTATGGGACGCAAAGCCTCCTGGAGTGGCAACTTCCCCCCCTTCCAACTGCACTCGGGAGCACAGATCATAAAAATTAAGTTAGGAATAGAGGCAGGAAAACAAATTTATAATTTTAGACATCGAATCCATTCGATTCCGTGTAAGACATGTGCCTCCTACTTGGAACTGTTCCCCCGCCCGACCATTATTTTCAATTTCCCTCAAAGTTCAAGGCGCTCGTAGTCGAAGAAGTTTGTTTGATTTTATGGCCTGGCCTGGCTTCAATCAGACAACATCCCATGCCAAGGCATTGTTTATGCTTCTGCTGAAAGTTTCTGGCGGCCAAAACTTTGGCTTCGAGCCTGTTTCCCGAAGGTCTATTGCTCTTGGGGCTTTATTAATAGACAAATTGATTGGGAGGCACTTTAGTTTGAAGGGCTGCAGTCCGTTGGGATAAACTGATTTGTTTGTCCGATTATCCAAATGAGTTCTGAAGCTATGCGGGATCTGGCTGGGTCTATTTAAAAAGTGGCTCTAAATAATACTACAATAAGGAAGGGATATTATTACATGTTCCCACATAAATAGAAAGGAGTTTATTAGTTGATCAACAAGCACTCTTTGTTATTTCATTTGTAAAGCAGCAACTTGAACCCAATCTGAATATAGGCATTATCTTTTGTGCCGTAAGAATGTTCTATTATTTTTCCAGAGCACGATCTCTCGGGCTGCTAACCAAAAGATCACCAGGTTCTGGGGCAAGGGGACTTAGCACCTTCCATTATTGGTAAGCCCCCATCCCCGAATTCCCGCTGGGAGAACTTCCGTTTGTTCAGTTAACACAGAATATTCCCAACCAAAATATGTTGACGTTCATTTGTGTAATGCACAAAGGGCGGAAGGGGAGGGGAAAGGGGAGGGGGGAACTTGGCATGGGTCTGAGGCACACAAACCCCCTCCAAAAAAAAACTCCACTGGCATGCTTTTTATTTGGTACGTGAGCATTGGCATTCGCTTTTATATTTCGAGACCCGGACTGTGGTGTTTGCCCAAGAAATTCTCAGCATTCATATGGAGCTACAGTATCAACATTATAAGCTCTATGAAAACTGTGCTAAATGTTTTTGATATTTACCCGCAGCTGGAACACTAATTAGATTGGTTTTTCAGCTTTTCGGCTGTTTGCCTAAGGCTAAAACTTCCCACAGTCCAACAGGTTGCTAAACTTGGCTAACTGAGTAAATTATTACTGCTGCTGTTGCTGCTGCTATTGTTGTTGTATTTGTTATTATTATTGTTGTGACCTAATAAAATGCATCGATGCCGGATTTAAAAGTGCATCGATGGCGAATTTGTAAGCGAAACGGGCGAGCCACAAAGGAAACCGATAAAACAGCTGATGCGCAGTTTTGTCAATTTCACAAAATACTCGGCCAGTATGTAATTTCAGCAATAGCCAACAGCAACAAAAACAAAGAAACAGCAGCAACATCTTCACAATGGGCGAATGCGAGAGCCCAGACAGCTGCAAAATACAAAACACAAGCTGCCGAAGAGAGGAAAAAAAGTGATGAAAACAAAACATGGCCAAAGCCAGAAACTGGTTTCACCTGGGAAACACAGAGGGGACAAAGCGGAGCAGAGCAGCAGCAGCTGATTTCTAAACAGGTAAAAACACCGTGTTGCCTGTATCTGTGTATCTGTATCTGTATCTGTATTTGTTGCTCCCTCTGCACCTGCAATACCGCAACATCCATTCCGCTTAAATGCCGCTTTTTGCCGCTGTTAATCACGGTGATGAATTTGCATGCGTTCGCCGCAAGAAATGGATAAATTATGACTCCGATCCCCAGTGATCAGATGTTCTAGTTTCGACATTATATAGTAGCCCCCTCGACATTGTTGCCAAACTTCTGCAATTGCAAGCAGGTGAACTTTGCCGCAGCTGCCACATTTTGTGGCTCTTTTTTCATGCGGGTCTGACCTTTATTCAAGCCTTGTTGGCAGCTGGTTGTCTGGAAAAGCGACAGGAAATGCAGTTAACCATCGCTCTTTTTTGTTTTTTTTTTTTTTTTTTTGGGGTCGTCAGACTTTGGACAAAATTCTTGCTGCCATTAGCGTAAATATTTCGCATTGACAAGGTCCCCAAAAGTCGGAGAATGGGAGAAATCCGTTGAGTCAGCGAGAGAGGGAAATGTGTCATTACCAGCAATATGTTAATTGATTGCTAACCGAAAGCGAAATGTTTATGGAAAAGAGGTATAGCACGTTCTATAGGCTGGCAAAAAAATATAGTATTCAAGTTGGAGAATTAACAGTATATAAAATTATGTTATCAGTATCTATGAAAACCTAGAAGCATTATAAGGATTCCTTAAACTTCATTGAATATATAATAACCGAGATCTCATGGCAAACTAATTTGCTGACCATATCTTTATTAGGCTTCCACTGTGGGAAACGCAACGGGAATTGAGTGGCTGGATTCTGGATCGGTGGGAAATATTTTCCCAGACGGAAGCACCCATTCCGCCACTTAACGGGTTGCACTATAATTGCGAAATTCCTGGAATGCCACTGCTGGGGAAACAGGGCAGACGCCCCCGTCGTCAGCAAGTTGGCAACTGGAACTGGTTAACTGGTTTACCTTTGGCCAAGGATGTTTGTACTTTGCACCGCAGCAGCTGAAAAGCCGTTGGGCAACTTTTCCGACCGATTCGTTATTCGTTAGTCTTAAGACCAAAACCAAAACAAGAAACTTGTTTTTGTGTTTGCACTGCCGATTTGTATTTCTGTTGTGCTTTTCGCAAATGGCAAAAATGCGAGCCTGCCTTACATAAGCCCAACTTAGGCACTCATTTTCGGTTTTCCTCGGACTAACGGTGGGCAATCGTAAGTATCTTAAGTGCTCTTCAACTTTGGCATTTTCCGCAGATGCGTCGCCGGCGCCTCGTCGCCGCTGGTCACGATTTTCAATTTCCCTGCCGCCGATGAAAACTGTGGCATGTTCATGTGCCGTCGAAGTTTTCAATATTAATGCCTTTTTTTTTGTCCAGCCAGCGCCACTCGGTCGTGCCGCGTGGGTGTGGCTCGCAGTGGGTCTGGGTCTGCAAATGAATGCGGCTCCGTCTGCGGAATCCACTGACCGGGGAGAATGTCAAAAGCGGATTGCGAAAAAATGCCAGCGAAATCGAAGTACGGGAATTCTGATTGCATGGCCCACTCGGATCCGCATTGAAATGGGTTTAGTCGGTGGGAAATTCTAGTTTGGCTTTCTTATTTCTTTCACAACAAATAATAAATAATTGAAATAGTTTCTAGGTAAGTCCTTTTCCTCAAAAGTGCAGCTTGTTTATGCCCCTCAATAAACCTTTTTCCCCATTCGATACGACTCTTCTTCCCAGTGGAAATCGGGCCACGTTGCGAACATATGTTGTCGTTCAAGATCGGCCTGTCTGTATCCCTAAAAAGATTCCCAGACGCGCTTCAAGTCTACATCCTGTTTGTTTTCCAGATTTTTATTTCCATTTCTTTCGGTTTTTTTTTTGTGTTGTATTCCTACTTTCATGCCATGTGTTTGATTGAGCCGCGGCAATCTGTCGCACAGCTTTGGCAATTTGCTCTTGACTTGGTCATCAAACGGCGGGGCTCAGACCCGTGAAATATGTGATAGTTGTCAGTCCGCTTATCGGGTGAGGAAATCCACTATCAGGCGAAGTCCCCACGCTCTACATACGGCTATTTGCTTTACGAAACTGATTGATTGATAATGATAAGGGCCGGCTAAGCTCTAGTATCTGGTCTCTGCTCTAGGGCCCACTCAATTGGGTCAATGAGCTTTATCTGGAATGGAATGGAATGCACTCGCGTTGGCAACTTGGCAAGGCTTTTATGGCTGGGAAAATTACTATACGGGCTTTAGTTGTTAAATGTTTGCACAGCTGGCTCGCCAAAACAGGAAGTCCCATCCGCAGGGCAACGGATGCGATCCCTACTGGTACCCACTCCACTCTTTACTCATATTGATAACCTCTTCATACCCATCATATTGTGAAATACATTTAGAAGGTTTTAAAAGGTCCTAATAATTTTATAGATTTTTATAGATTTATTGAAATAACTATGACTAAAGTACCCTTTTTTTAGAACTGACTCTCCATGAGATAAAAATTCTTGATTACTCTGATATATTTACCAATATATCTTTTGACAATCTGTATATAATTCTAGCCGACTTTGTGGTAAACTTACAATCTGTTCCAGTTCCGTGATGGGCATGTTGTTGTTGTTGTTTCCGGGAGTGGGTGAACTGTGGGAGGACGAGTGCGAGGAGGACACCGTCGAGGAGGAGGATCTCGAGGTGGCGCAATTGCCACTGCCCGAGGTCGTCTTGTTGCGGGGCGGAGTGGGTGGTGGGGCAGGACCTGCCAGAGTGGAGCAGTCCTTGGAGTTGCGATTCGGCGAGAGGCGCGAGGGAAAACTCAGCGTCTTCGTCCACTGGGCCAAACTGCGAACCATATTGTTTGTGTTTGTTTGTTTGCTTTGAAACTAATCCAAAAGTGTTTCAATTGGCAGGTTTGAGGTCTTGTCTTGCTAGCTGATTGCTAATATTCACTGTTTATAGGCACATCACACAGATCTTGACTGTTTCAAAACTTTGCGAAATTCACACGGCGCACGCGCATCGTTTATCTTTTTCTCCGTTTAGATGCGAACTTCACGGATACGAACCGTTTTCGTCGACTTCTCGAAAGCAATTGAATTCAAGCAGCCACGGCAGAAACGTCCAAGCCGCTCTGAAACTCTCGCTCTCTCACGCACACAAGCGCACCCGGATGCTCACGGACACGGCGTAGGGGTTGTGGAAGCGAGACAACATCTACCGATCTCCTCTGGCAATGCACTTTAGAGCGAGATGGAACTTGGTTTTTGGGAGAGAGTGTGGAGCCAAAACAAGAGAGAAAGATAGTTTTGTTGTCCAACGGGTTGCACAGTGGGGTGGGATTGTGTTTATTCTGTCTTCGATGTGATGAAAATTGTTAATTATATACACCCCTTTTTTCACATATTTACAGTTAGCAATAAGTAGCTTGTAAAATTCCGATTTATATATAGAAACTTGCAAGCTGGCTTAAGCTAAGCTACGAAATACGAGTAGTCTTTCCAAATATGAGTACTTTTTTACCACTGTGCGGTGGTTGAAATCGTTCAAGTTGACCAGAAGGTGGTGGTTGATGGGTTATAATAATAAACTCTTTTTAATAATGCATTTGCAATGTAGGACATGATCATTAAAGTATCCTGAACTTATTAATTTAAGTTTTTTATAAAATTTAAAAATGCAATAAATATTTGCAGACTTTTTAACCCGCAATAAAATAAAACATTTTCAAGCTAATGTTTGAAGCAGCACTTTACAACCCATTTCACTGGCTGATTTTTCCTTCCACACAAAATATCCTTAACTGTTAATTTCTACACTCGATTTCCTTTGTCATTTTCCATTTTCTATGGGCTTCCCCTTCGCGCTTTCCGCTCAATTTGGCAACAGGACATGCTGCGGATATAGTAATTGCTATATTTACCAAACTCGGCTCTAATGATGCCAACAAGCCATTGCCAAGTGCAATTATCCAAAGGGCCACAACATCTGTTGGCCAGGAGTGGTAAGAAGGGGGAGAGGGATCTGATCGAGGGGCCAGGGGAATAGGGATGTCGATTATGACCCATTCCCGACTTCCGTTGGCCACATACCAAAGAAAACCCACGCAAAAACACACAGCCACAGGGCCCACTCACAGATACTCACTCACACGCGCACACAGCAAGCATAAAAAACCGGCAACAACGGCCTTGCCAAGGTTGACTGAGCATGTTGCCGAAAAAAAAGAGCCATAAAACCAAGCGGCAACAAGAAAAGTGGCTGCCGTGGATGTTGCTGCTTCTTTTTCTGGCCAAGAGGAGAGAGCAGAGAAGAGCCGACTCTCTCTCCGCTCTGTTAATGGCCAGATAGCCAGAAAGCCGCTAAGAAGCTGAGCCACCATGAGCAATGGGAAATGAGTTCATTCAGCTTTGGCTTCAGTTTCCAGCTAAAACTTGCTCAGGGTGACCAGATCTTTAGAATTTGTTTAGTAAAAATAAAAACAATTTAAACCTTTTTTTTCGAATGCAAAGCAAGGGGAAAAACTGTTCGCCATAACTACTAATTAACTGGAATTTTTGGTCACATAAATAACTGACATCTAAAGTAATTAGTACTGCCCTCCCCTTTTCGACCATTTCATTACCAAAATCCCTGTGCTAATTCCAGTTTACCGCCAAAAACCACTCGCATCTTGCTGGCACATGTCGGCCATGACAGATGCAGATGCTCTCGTTCGATCTGTGATTTCTCTGCCTGGCCAATAAGCCGTCCTCTGGCTGCCACATGTCCTTGCCGGATCCTGTGCCCCGGCTTTGTTCCCAGGCCTAGGAAATGATTCGCAGTTCGATGCCAAAAGGCAGCTGCATTTCGATGAGGTCGAACAATGCCCTCGCTTATTGACAGTTTCCCAAAGGTGTCGCACAAAAGAGGATCAGGCTCGTAGCAAAAGGATCCTTCATGCCCGATGTTTGACAATATGTCTGTTGCTGTGTGCAGATTTCCGGACAAATGTGCCGTGTAGCCAAAAGAATTTCGGATCTTTTGTATCCACTTTTTTACATTTTGTATAAAGAAATTTTCCTTTTTTTGGCTTTGTGTTATATATATCTTTTTAAGACATATAATACCATTTTTTACATGATTGAATCAACGAATTCAATACCTTATTATTTGTAACCATTTAAAATGGAAAAATGGAAGTTAAATATAAAAAAAATATATAAATATAAAGATTCAATTTTCTTTTTCTTCAAATCTATCTTATTTAAGCTTAGTCGATTTGGTCCATCTTAATTCTTATCTAATAAAAGTTTCCTATTTGCATTTTTTTTATGATAAAACAGAGCTGTTTCCCACTCCCAGACATTTCCAGTCTAAGCTCCAGTTTTTGATCTCCACTTAGGCACATCCGCTGCTTAGCCAGCCCACAAATCAAAACGGAATTCGCCTAATTAATAGTTCAAGATCAGAGGAAAGTCGGCGGTGATGTAACTCGTAGACGAACTGAACTTTCGGAAGGGGAAGGGCGATCTTTTACGAGGAAGGAAGGCGTGCGCCTGACCATTAATCTTGCACAAACAATTAGCGTTTGTACAAGAAATCATAACAGGCAGATCAAATATTTGGGCCCCTCTCGCAGATATGATAAGATTGGTAGTGAAACAGCCGGGTGGGTATGTTACTTACTGAAGACCCACAATCAGCCTGTCAGTCACTGAAACGGAGACCCACATCAGCGGTTCGGGCGGGAACTCAATTCAACGCGGCTTCCCTGAGCTAATGGTCCATTGATTTGCATTTGGGTGGGGACTTGGGACCTCGGACCTTCATCGGGTGTGACCTATCTCTATCTGTGCCCAGTTTTCGGATGAAAACATTTTCGCTTCTTATCTAAATTCCCGAAAATTCAGTTGTTGTTCCTACCGATCTTGCTGCCGCTGCTCGACGTGCACATAACAAGGCCTTTTGTTTATAGGCAAACAGTTTTTTGTTTTACAAATCAACACCTCGGGTATCAATTACCCAGAGTGAGATGGCCAGATGCTCGAACTGTGAGTGGGAGCGAGAGGGATGAGCATGAATCACTGGACCGCACTCTGTGTACGTTTCCCAGCCCAAAAGATCCGCTTAGTTTCGCTTTATCTCGAGCAATTAAAGTGTGACCGACCCTCGGCAGTCCCCGAAAATGTAAATCTCCGCTGCCCGTCTATTTGTTTATGATCTTTTATGATTTCCCAACAATAAGCAGCCTGGCCAACCGCACACGCCGGGCCTTCCGTCTCCGGCTGATCCTTCAGATCCATCCGAGTTTATCTTTCCTTCTGCCGCATTAGTTGCGGATGGTTAGCAGTGCCAAAATGACGAAAATCACGAGGTGTACCCTCTGATGTACTTGAAACGCTCGTTTCTGGGAACAGAACTCAGGACGGGAGATCCGTGATATGGTAGCAAGATTTATGATCCAAGCAATTGTACTTCTATCAGTCAAGGCTTCTTTGAAGATATGCATTTGTAAAAGAATGGCGCTGATCGGGATATAAGATTTACTACAATTAACTAAACCCACAATAAATAATTGGAAAACTAACATCATATATGTATTTGAACAAACTACATTTATTGAAGGGATACTTATATGAAAATATATAGCTTTTATTTTTAAATTTATACTTTAAAATATAAATATATGTATCTTATCATGGATAAAGTAACAGGCTTCTCAGGTAGTGCAAGTTGTTCGCTCCTTTTTCAAGATATTTTAAACTCAATTAAGAAATTTACTATGCATAATTTCCAGACCACTTCTACTTCCTCTAACTCATTAGCAGCTAAGTTATTTGTGCACCTACTGATCCCTCATTAGAGAGCAAACTGGATCTTTTGGGCCACAAATGGTCCGTAGGAGACCTCGGCAGACACCTGCCACACTCCCTCGCAACTTCATTAGAAGTAGCGCCTGGGTTCGTTTGCTCACAGAAATGTGTAAATATTTTGGTCACCCAAGGAACAAACTAATGTGGCAAGAGGAAAGAACTCGTGTGTTTCTGGTGTCTGGAGCCAACGAAATTATGCAACGGAAACAGGTGCCACTGCGATCGATACGAGTGACACTCATTAAATGCGAACACGCATAGTTTTCCCTGGCAGCGCGGGAAATGGAAAAGTGAAGTGGGAAACTCTTGCAGTGGCAGTGACTCAAAGGCCGTTCACTTGCCCGAAAATTGTTCTGACTAATCGAGCATGACTCAGAGATCGGTTTTCATGCCACCACGCCAGCCATTACAAAATGTTACACATTTATTACCCGACTTTGGAGCGGTGGAAAACTCAGTGCTGTTTAATCAAAGTTCAGACACGTCCACCTGCAAAGTGTGGGAAAATTCCAAACCTGGAGGCGTCTGGGTGCTCTGGGTGCATTTCTCGCTTGCAAATTTTCCTTCCTTGTGGAGCGAGGAAAAACAATTTTCACCTCGGAGCAATTTCGCTGTTTCGTTTCGCTCATTTTGCAACACTTTCACCCGCTGATTTGGCACGTAAATGCGCTGATAAAAGCGGCAGACGAAAAAGATACAAAGCCGAGGCTTTGTTTTTGTGTTTAGGGAAACTTTTCAAAGCCCCAAAGAAACATTAATGGGTTCTGCCTACAGTGCCAGTTGACAACTTGGACCGTGTTCATTGACCTCGTTTTCGGTCTTCGCATCTCCGCGCTTTTTGCCAGCCGAATTCACTTTCAGTCCGGCTCAGTTTTGATTAAGTTGTGTCATGCAACGTTGATTTAATTATCATTAGCGACGAAAAGCAGTGGCAACTTGGACCAGCTTCCATTGTGCCGCAAAAAACTAATGAGGAAATGCTGTGAATTTTGTTGACTGAAAAACAGAGGAAAGCCGCAAAAGAAAGTTTTTTTATCTATGAATAGATCATAGAGGCAACAGTAATCAGCTTGTGATGGATTCAAGACGATTTGGTTCTGAGTATAAATAAATAAGCAAACTACTTAAGAGAAATATAAAGAACATTTTCATAAAATATAGTTATTAACCCTGATAACCCAACCATAATCTTATCTTTGTAAACAAAACAATCTTGTCATAATTTCCCTAGCTGATAAATCAATCAGTTCTAATGGACTTAACTGCGGATCATAAAATTATTTTAGCTGGGTTTGCCATTTTGCCATTGTTTCGGCACCCTGCACCCTTCATTTGAATGCCTTCAGGGACCACCTGCCGATAAAAGGCCACACAGGATTTGCCCGAAATGTGTGCAAAACATGTTCGGAACCCAGGACTTTCCATTTCCCAACATGCTGGGACAAGATAAAGTCAAGTGCGGCCACGGAGACAAACTAATTCCGGCTAAAAAGCTGCTAATGGCCCGAAGATTCGGTGAGGGAAAAACCCGCGCCAAACAGAGATAGTGAGATGTTTTCTCGGTTCATTCACCAGTTTCCCTCAGGTAGATTTCGTGTGCTCCTATCATCCAGTTTGTGTCTTCTTTATTTCCGCCGTATACGATTATGATAACGACGAACTTCGAGATGCGCCAGCATTTTGTGAATGAATCTCGGTTCGCATGTGCATTTTTCGCATATAAATTAAACTATAAAATGTGTACAAATAATCAGCTTGCGGTGTTTTGTGTGGGCTGGCATCGAAAAATTATTTAAATGCCGTACATTTCCCGCCGCTCGAAAAAAGCGTGGGATCTGCGGAGCGGACTTTTTATTTTTTCGTTAATTGTTCGGAGCTGAGATACGGATTTCTGAGCCGCTGTAAAATGTCTCAAAACGCTGCGAGTGCGTGCCGTCAGCTCGGCCAGCAATTTTATTGACAATTGTGCCTTGTCCTAGTCACTCCACTCCAAAATAAAAAAAGCGAGGAGTTCAAAATTATAAGCTTCTCGTGATCGGCATGCTAATGAGGAGGCCTATAAAACATAAAACGCATAAAGCAAAGGCAAACAATCTGAATTCACAGGCCCCCCGAAAGCCGAAAAAACCAAAAACCAAAAAAAAAAAAACCGATCCCCATGTCACGTTGTTTGCGCTGTGAATTTGCGGCTCTCGAGAAATGTTATATGGAGAGGCAAAGGCAAGAAAGCAACACACAAAGCTGCTTATTATTGTCAAAATATGTTCGGCTAGAGGAGCTCACGTTTTAATTTTTTTATAATGTCACTAATTTATTGTACGTGCTGCACTACAAAGCACACGGACCCACGACCCATCCCCACTTCGCAGTGCCCACTTCTCGGCGACCCATTTAGGTGTTTTTAATAATAACATGGACAGATCAGCGGATCGGGGGATCGGGGAATGGCAGGGCGTATCGTAACTGTTTGCATTTCAATGAGGTCGGGGGGCGAACCTCCTCAAGAACCCCCTGAAAAGTAGACAGTAATGAAGGGCACATGACCCGAAGTCCGTGCAACCATCGCATGTTTGACTTGAGATATCTCCTCGATTGGAAACCTCTACAGTTATTGAAGGCGACATTATTCGGTCTAGCCAAGTGGGAAATCTGGCAGGGAAAGGGTTGGGAAATCCGTGGGATCATGTCGGAAAACTTTAAAGAAAACCAGATATTTACATTCTATATCTAAGATTTTTCGGGGATATCAATTCATTAAGTTTCGAAATTGATAAAATCTCAGAATATCATTAATATCATAATTTACAATCAAATATTTGCTAAAATTTGATGTTAAACTATACTTCTATACTCCCATTTGATAAATTCGGATCTTAAATTTTCCATTTCTTAGCCATAAATCATGTAATTAGGCACAGAAATTGAAAACATTTCTGGATGGTTCGTCACCCCTTTTAAGCACTTGAAGAAGAATGCAAAGTAGTGTAATTTATGAGGCCCATTCGACAACAAACAGAGCAACTGATTAGAGGCTATCAATCCGGCCAAAGTCAACCGGATAGTTTGAGTCCCACACAGAAGTCGAATGCACTGGGTCTTGTCAAATATTTGAGGGCACCCAATCAGTCTACCCAACTATATAGTACTCCCATTCCGATCCGATCCAAAGACGATGAACTGCAGCGGAGCAAAGGCCATAAAACCCTCGAGGCGTACAAAAATATTTGATTTGTGATTAGGCCGCTGCAATAAAACGCAAACAGACATAGAGAAATATTTGAGTAGAGTGCACTCACTTGCACTTTCCAGAGATTAAGCGATGAGGTTTTCTTTTAGAGGGGAAGGGGGTTTAACTTGGTTTAAGTCGGGGTTCACTAACTTGCATACGAGTATATAGTAAATGCAACATGAGACCGCCTGTCAATGATGATGATTATGATGCCATTGCCCATTAGAGATCGCCGTCTGCCTGCCACACGCTCAACTTGAGATCGCCTCCATCTTCGTTTGCGACTTCATCTGCATCTGCATTTGTATCTGCATCTGAACGGCATCTCGGATTGCATCTCCGCCTGCCTTTTGCGGTCGCGCAGATTCAAATGAAATCGAGTCAAAGCTGAAGCTTGAAATCGTCATACGAAATGCATTCGAGCGCGGTAATTTGCTATTTTATGCGTTTTACACGCGTTGTCTGGCTGAAAGTATCCATGGCGAGCTGAATGTATCTGCCAGATACATTTCCACGCAGCAGAACTACTTAGTTGGGCATGCGAGAGTTTTGCGGTCGCTTTGCATCGAATGACTTGCGGATAATACCTTCTGGCTTCACGCTTTGCATTTGTTACACAATTATAATGTGGAGTTTGTAAACAATTCAAGCCCAATGAAAAAAAGGAACTTATTTTAGTGCCCCACAAATAACTCTTCCTTTAAGGATTAAGGTAATTGTTACTGCTCTCAGGACTGTAAAAGTCTAGAAATAAACCCAAATACTCTTGCTGCTCTGATAAGATCCTGATCCTTTTAACCTCAGACAGCATTTGGCTGGGCCATAAAGATTTCTCCTTAACCGGAAACAGTCAACAATCCTTGCAGGATGCCGTCGACTAAACTGGCTTATCACCTTGTCGCCATCGTTGGAGTGCAGGGAAATTACATTCAATTATTGGTCTGTTGGACTGGCTATCGAAAGGACCCGCTTTCAAGCCAGGCAGATGTTTTCCATCAGACAACAGGCAGCAGAGAAACCTGTATGGAATGCAGCTCCATCAAGCATCGACCTGATATTCCCCGAGTCTTAGAGCGATGAGCGCGCCAAATCGAGGACGACGCCTGTAACAAAACGAAAAAGGACACCCGGGCGAGACTCATAAATATATAGTAAGTATCTGCCGAGACGATCCCTTTTGAAGACGAGGGCGACAGATGTTTTCGTTTGGCATTCCGAAGCAGGTCAATGCCTGCTGTCCTTAAAGATGCGGTGCGTTGGTCCTGGCTCCTCGCAGCTTCTTAGCAATAGGAAAGGTATCTCAGAAAGATATAACGCATCCCAACGGCAGCTGGAACACTTGAGCGCGGCCTGTTTATAAATCGATCGACAGTCGACGGCTCCTGGGCGAAACCCCATCCCGAAAATGGCTCAGGTTACACACCGCGCACTTATAGATACATAGCGATACGTAAGATACAGATAGGTCCCCTGAATTGTTTATAAATAATATTCCTTTGATGGCCTAGCTAAAAGATTTTATTATGAAAAGCAAATCAACTCGGAACGCCTGGAAATTCGAGAGTTTTCTTCTCCAGCTAACGGAAACTTCGCAGGAATTTTCTCCCCTTTTGCGTCTTGGCATTTCGTTTGATTAATTAGTCGAATTGTGATGGGCATTCAACAAAAGACTTATGGGGCAGGTAGGAGCGATCAGTTTTCCATCTCTGGGGTTAATTCGAATTCCCTTTTCTTTGCCGCCTCCCCGCAAGATCTCAAGACATTTCACGCACAACACTTCATTTATTATTTTCCTGATCTACATTTACAATTATAATGGCTTATCTAAGGATCATCTGATGGGTATTCATATGTTAATATATCTTACCTCCTCGTAGGTATTTTCCCTGGAACTGGATTGGGTGCTGCTGGCAATCGAACGCCGAAACATTTCGCTGTGAATACAAGACAATTAAACATTGAAACATTGTGGGAATATTTTATTTGCTCTAACAATTGATATGTAAATTATTATCTGTATTGGTGAATTGTAATTCATTTGTTGAATTTATATGAAAATGTCTTACATCCCAATTTATTTTTGATAGAGTAGAGAGATCCCCCATTTCAGTTATCTCAAATTAAACAATCCGTTCTGGCATAATTTACACTGACAAATTCCATTTATTAGCAGACACACAATTAGCCAAACTCTCCAGATGGAACCAAACACACATCAGTTCCCAGGGCTCTCGAAGACCCACGCCACAGCTTAATTTATTAAGACGACAATCGGGGAAATATATAGTAGTTTCTGCCCGATAAACTAGTTCCAATATCGGAGACGAAGAGCTGTTAAAATCGCATACCTTAATCGCTGGCAGGTGGTGGGCGTGTTGACGGCCAGATTGGTCCTTGAATCGCTCAGATGGGCGGTGGAGTTGCACAAGGTGTGACTACTGTTGTTGCCAGACTTGCCATTGTTGTTCAGCTTGGTCGGGCGACCAGCAGAGCCAGGCTTCACTGTGGCCGACGGGGCGGGCATCTTGCGACGACTTTGATTCGGCCAAATATGGGGATTCGCTCATTAACCAACAAAGCTTCAGCAAAGCCGATTGTTAGTGTTATTTAAACTCGTCATTTGTTTGCTTTTTGTTTGCCTGACTGCTGCCCACACACACTTTTCGGGGCACACGAGCGACTTGCCCAATTTGGAGTCTCGCAATATCGAATCTCCGCGAGTCTGCGAGCCGTATCTTATTTATGTGCATTAACTAAATGTTGCTAATTTTTGGTTTATTTTCTAGCGCTGCTGCTGCGCCTTTTTTGGCCAAGGAATGGCTGTCCAGCGCTCCAACATAAATCAGCCAAACAAAACAATTCGTTCCCCCGAGCACACGACCCGAACTCTAATTAACTCGTTTGCGAAGTTGTCGCCGTCCAAAAATGTTTTTGTGAAGAAATAGCAGAGTGTCTGCCACCAGTGGGGAGATGCCTTTTAAGGTGTCACACCGCGATCATTTTCAATTATGACGCAACACACGCGAAAATCTCAAGATCACCGCGATGCAAGATTCGAGCTGCAGACAGGTGGCTTCCACTTCGAATTCGACTTCTTGCTGCGCCGATTTCTGAAACAAAACTGATTTATGCCTGTCACAAGGCGAACGGCGCAGCCAATTGCAGCCAGAGTTGCTGCCAAGTCGGTTCCAGTCTTTCCTCTCCCGCCCTCCCCCTTCCCCTTCCCTCCTCCTCCTCCTGCTCCTCGGGATCTGCCCCCCAGTGCCTCCTCCTGCGCCAAGTCGAGGTTACCTCGCCAATGTGGACGACAATTAGTTCTACATGTCGTCACACGTCGTAAGCTGCAGGAAGCCACAAGTACACTCAGAAAAGTTAATGACTTTCCTAACAAAATAAGGAGAAAATGTATTAGCTTTTTTCTGTTACGATGTAACCTATTTGTAAAGCTAAGCAACATGAAATAATATTTGTTAATTTGAAAAGGAAAGCTAGTAAATGCCTACAAGAGAAAGACAGTAAATATCTCATAATACCTAAAAAGAAAGGTTTCCAGTAGAAAACGATGACAGTTTCTCTTGGTGCAAAAGAAATAGTGGAAACAACAACTTTCGGCTTGGGGACCCAGCGAGTGCTTTGTCTGCACTTTCATCTTTAAATCTTCTTTGCACTCCCCTCATAAAGATACTCCATCCCCGGCACTCCTCCCCGGATATCTTGCGGTTGTGTAATGCCTCGACAAAAAGCGATCAGATGTCCTTCTACGGATGTGCACTTTTCTTTTTTCTCTCCCTCTGCTTTTCCATCTCTTTCTGGTCTGGCGTCTTAATGATCTGCAGAGAACTACACTCCAGAAAAAATAGATGCAAATCTGTAAAGGAAGTAGCGAAATTCAAGAAACGAGAAGCGACCTACAAACAGATATCAAGTATCTTAAGTAAAGATTAAAAAAAGGTGTTGTAAGAAAGCCATTGTAATTCAGTAAGTAATAAAAAATAGTTCCTTTGCTAATGTTATATTAAGTTTCCCTTTTCCCAACTATTCAAAGTATATAACATATTTAATTGTTAATTAGAAAAAGCATCACTGGATCCAAGCAACCCTTTGGGAGAGCAGAAGTGGAGTTTTCCCAACCAGTTGGGCTCGAGCCTTGTCCACATCTCATCCTTGTCATAACATGCCCGTATCGAACTCAGTGGCTCTCCAGCGATAAACCACATTAATGCTCCTTAAGTATGCCCATGTAGGCTACCTCCCAATACGTGATGAGTGCCACTGGCTTGGTCCTCCGATCCCCTCCTGAATCCCATACCTTTTGGAGCCTAACAACTGGCAGCTGGCCATGTAATTGCCGAGTGGCCCGCACTGCCATTTACCATTCATAGCTGCCTTCTCCGCTGCTAAATGATCTCCATCAGAGCCACCGGTTCGGCTCCATCTACCAAGTGCGACAAAAAGTGGCACTGGAACTGGTTGCAGACTCGATTTCGGTTTGCTGCACTCGCATTTCTTGGGTTTCTGTGCCAGACGAAGAAACCCAAAGGTCATCGCTAATAGAGGGCATCTTCTACCTGTTCGCCTGGCGACACTTCCGTTTCCACTTTGCGGTTGTCCAGCCTCTTACTCAGTTGGAAACCCGAGTTGGGGATCCCGATCTCGATCCCGAACAGGATGAGTTGCCCAACGGAAGTCAGAACATTTTGTGCTTTTTTTTCCTGGCATTTTTTTGCACCATTTTGGGGTATCATAATTATTATTAACGGCTATACAAAAATCTTAAACTCTATACTCGTGTGCCATTCGGGTTTTTGTTTCAGATCCGAGATTGGAGCTGCTCACTGGCCCGGCAACAATCGCTGGAGCTTTCGGCACTGGAAACCTGACCACCACTTGTTGGACTCGGAACATTCTCATCTGGCATCTGGGTGCGGCCTATGTGCTCGATTACGCTGATTGCCAAATATAGTTGGGCTTGGATTTCAGGTTATTCAGGGGGCATAATTGCTGGGAGATTTGATGTGCGCATAGAACACAGAAAATTGTTTACTTGATGTTACCTTTGGACAGAAAAGATTGTTAATCATTAAGCTAAAGGTCATAAAGCAAGTTCTGATATGAATTATAGGATATACTGTAAAAGATTCTAAAATAAACTAGCACAATCCAACTTGGTGCTGATCAAAATTAATATGATAATTGCTTGTCAAAATATTATTGAGTTCAGTTCATTCCCAGATCATTCCGATACCCAAAAGTTATTTAAGCTTGTTTTGTTGTTAATTTGTACTGCATTACCTAAGCAAAACTCTCCTAATCTTCTATTTGCAGTGGCTCCCACTTCTAACCTTCTTAGTAAACAGATCAAATTAGTGGCTCGCTCCGCTGGCCCCTTTGATCTTGTTCTGGCGAAACGCTCGGCTGCATTCGGAGGAGAAGATCGCTTCCAAGTACTCGTATCTGCAATCCAAACTGGCCAAGTGCGTCCGCCAGATAGAGATATGGAAATCAGCTCCCGTCTGCCCGTCGACTTGGACACGTGTTGTCCGTCGGATGGGTTCAACCAAGTTCACTCCAACTCCAACTGCGACTCCGAGTCCATCAATCGATGGGCTTGCAGCGGGCACTTGCATAGTTGGAGTGACTATTTAGTGCCCCGACTAGCCCTATTCCTCGACTAGTTAAATGCAACTTTAGTTTTTGCGGGCAGCGGCATCGTCTGCGCACGAACGACGACGCATTTTTGTGCTTGTCATGCCGGTAATGACTGCAGTAACAGCAACAGCAATAACAACAAATACCCAGCTATACTATACTATATAGTATATGCCAGAACAAACGGCGAGCGGCAACAAAAACACTGCGACATGCTACCGCTTTGGAGTTCGGAGCTGTGGAGCTGCGGAGCTGCGAGCCCGCCCCAACTGATCCATGAAAGTCAACCGAGCGCGTCGCATCCATCCAGTGCCAAGCCACGTCCCCAACTGCCAGCACACTGAGAAAAAAGTGTCTCTTAAATAAAAGATTAAATACAGAATATTTTGAAAAGATACCACTTATGTTACTGAAGAAGAAAGGAATGTAGCTTCGGCAAGCCGAAGTCATTACAAATGTCAAGCAAATTGCATTAAGGCAAAAAAACATTGAAGCTATGACGATTTTTCTATATTTTTACCGATTTTTTCTAATTACCAAAAAATGGGTTGGCTGAAAATTGATTAAAATTCACTAACTCTAAGTCAATAACTTTTCTAGATTTAATCAGAATGGCATACCTCTAAAAGTTTGTATTTTAATCCTATATCGAACTGCACCATTAGTTAATTTTTTATTTTTTGGCCAAATTTTTTTCAGTTTTTTTGATGCAAAATTTTCCATGTTTTCCGATGTTTTTGAAATGAGATGTTTCTCCATCGTATTGGTATTTTTCGCAGTGCACTTCCACGAGTTCTACTTGGCCGACCAGTGCGACGTCAGCAGCGAAGTATTTCTTTGTTGTTGTTATGCTTTTCAAATTCCTTTGTGGCATTAAATGTAATGAAAAGAGCTCTGGAAAATGCCCAAGAGAAGGAGACTGAGAAGGAGAACAGACTCGTCGTCATAATTATAATGGCTGGTCGACATGAAAGCAAGAGTGTGGTGCAACCAAGAGCGGTTTCGATCTGGAGATGCATGGTGGTTGGATTATGCCAGTGGCACCATCAGATTCGCCAAATGCCTCGGAGGGCTGAGCTTCCAGAGCTTTGCCCCTTTTAATCCGTCCGAAAGCGATAAAGTGTGCCCTCATAATTGCTAATTAACAGGCAATTCCACTTTAATTATGAACGTAGAACAACTTATAATTGCTACTTTTATGGTTTTTCGTTTATTTAGTGATTTATGGTAATATCTTTAAAATTTGATGCGGGCAAAGTTTATTATTCAAAAGAAAGTGCTTGTGACAAGGTCTTTAAATACTTAATATTCCCCTTACTTCGATTTCACAGTTCTAAAGATATTTTTAATTCCTATTTCTCTGGCCTTTGCAATTTTCCCTGCCTGAGTTCCAGCATTTGCATTTGTAATTGAGTTGTCAGGGGGATTCTCTGCGCCCTTGATTGATTTGCGAAAGGTCTCCCCCAAATCAGCTTAGAATTTACCACCAGCTCATGGTGTTTAATGGGGCTCTGGGAATCTGAGGGACACCTCACCTTACACCGAGTTACATAAGTCAATTCCCACGCTGCTCCCAGAATATCACTCGTTCTAGCCGCCCTTCTTTTGGATCCCTCGCAGATCTTCGTATTGTATTGTATAAATTGTATAAATCGGCTACTGGTATTTTCATGTGTAAACAATGTTTTACCTAAGCCCCTTTGCCCTTCGAAACTACAAATCATGTTGGCCAGGCCTTTGGGGGCTAACCAAATGAGTTGTTGCCTTTGTATTCTCGTACCTTTGACTGGAACCCGGCTTCTGTTTCTGCCACTGTTTCTGCTGTTTCATCGTAATTATCAACTTGAAAAAGCGCTCATTACTCCTCCGAGGAAGAAGCTGAAAAGGGAAGGTGGCCAACCAATCATGGTTAGAAAGTGAAGATATATGTTTGGGTTACTCTTCTCCGCAAACAAGTTACCCGGATAAACAAAAAAGTGATTAAAGACTTCTTGCCGTCTCATCAGTGTGTGGTTTTCATTTTCAGCCGAAAACTTTGACTGTGGTCAGTGTGTGACAAAAATTATAACTCGATGTTTAGTGTTTAAAGAAGGCCAAACGAACCCTTATAATCCTGGCAGCCCTCAGTTCCCACAGTTGCAACCCTTCTCGGAAGCCCATAAATTTAAACAAGATCAGCGAGGCACTTGTCGCGCATAAATCAAAACTAATTTAATGGGCGAGTACAGTAAGCCTTAGATAAACATTTCAATTTGGCAAACCCCTAACCACCCTAACCACCAGAAAATATAGATCACATCTTGATAATCCTGGTTTTCACTTTAAAAAATCAATTGAAGCCCGCAGGCCTATAAATCAATGAAATAAAAAGCGAGGGAAATTGATTTCAAAGTCAGCTTGGCTCCCACGATGTGTCTTTCTAGATATTTTAATTAGGCAAAAGGAAGCACAAGGCCGGTTAGCGGTTGCTCTGGAAAGTCCCCTGGGACAGGAAACGCTTGGTCAACTAAAAAGAGTGAAACACCCAAATGGAATGACAAGCTGGCGGGAAAGGACATACAAATATGGGTAGTTGGTCGTCACGTGCGCTTTTAATTGATTTTTGGCCGGGCGATTTGCATGGGAACCATTTGATTCCGTTTCTGAGAAAGACCAAGCCCGCTAATTAACCAGGGAGCGACAACAAATATTGTGTTAATAACCATAAATTGAGGCCTGGCCGAACCTTAACCCCTTCGTGCCACTCGATTTGCATAGCTCTGCGAAACGAGAACCGAAAACCGCCCCATTGTCTCCCGATCTTCGAGAAATACCTGATGGGCAGCCGAGCGGAAACCAGAACTCAGGGGATACACCTCAATGTAAATACGAAATTTATTTATTTTCGTTTAGTTGCACGCGTTAATTTATGCCAGTCTCGGCTTCTCGACGAGGCAACCACATCCGAAAATTATACAATAAAATGTAAAATAAACTCGCAGTTCTGATTGCCAATGGATATTTATACGAGCAGCTGGACGGCCATCGAAACCACAAGAAAGTGCAGAGTCCCCCGATGAACCTTGTCAATCTGCCAGGGAAAATCAGACACATCCACATCCACGAAGACATTTATCGGAGGAGTGACCGACTGAGTGACTGACTGACTGACAAACAGACACTCCAGTCCAAAACGGAAGCAGTTAAGCTTTGAATAATTTATGAAAAATCACCAAGGCTTGCGAGGTGCAAAACTGGCATATCAATTTGGCAAGAGGGAATAAGAATTGGACAAGGGAAATAACTTGATTTTGACACTTTTTATTTGCTTTTTTAAAGGAGCATAAAAGGGGAATAAAAAAAGGGAGATATTTTAAATAAATTGGTAAAATGTAATCAAGTAAGTATTTGTTAATAAACAGTAAGGAAGCCACCACATTAATCACTTCCATTATAATTAATATGCCACTGACAATTTCTCAGGTACAGTGAGCCCCCAAATAAGGAGTTGGGGGACTTTGTGGTGTGGCCACTTCCTAATTTGGTTCCGCTATTTGTTGTCGCATACTCTTTTTTCCCCTCGTATATTTATTATTTAATTTTCTTGGCTGTTTGGTGTAGAATGCCAAGTGTCAAAATCGTTTGTATGCCAAATGCAAATCATTTTGAGGGAAATAGAAGGCGGCACCCATCACAATAAACGGAGGAGTATCTAAGAACTAAAAACAGTAAAAGTAAATGAAATTGAGCCATAACGGATGTTGGATCCACACCGTCCAATTTGGGATGGCCACTTCCTTTTGGGAGCGGTGTGACCGCCACTTGACCTTCATGCCAAAATATTTTTGATATTCCCGCTCCCGCTGGCTTTCTATTTCGAAGCTAATCTGCATAAGTCTGCGCAATTAACAAGCCGAGCAGGAACAGCACACAGTTTATGTCGAGCTAAGCACTAAATTAGCCGCTTAGCCTGGGAATCGCTGGAGGAAAGACGCCGGCGTGGAATAGAAGAATGCTCGCATACCAGAGCCTCCACTTCCGCCTGTCTTCGGAGATGGGAAAGAATGCGACCGGCGTGGAATTCGGATTTACCCGGCCTGCTGAATGGCTGGGAATGGGTTGACAGAGCCGCCAGCGAAGTGGGTTACGTATTCCGCACCTGTGGGTGAAGTCGATGGGCCACGATGAATCCGGTGGCTCCAAAGGGAATGGAATTCCAAGCGAAAACTAGAGAAATATCTGATTATAAATAGTCAAGGAGCTATCTGAAATAGGGCACTCTCACAAAAATATTTTAACACTTAAAGTACCCCATTAATATAAGCAACAACAGTCATGACATCATACTATTAGGTTAATAGCTTCTTTGTAATTGCATTATTAACAATTTATAAAAGGAAATAACAAATGAGTACAAATTAAAAGCTCATCATCTTTTGGCAAATTGCGCATTCCAGCCGTATGCAAATTCCAGCTTCTCCCCCGTTAATTAGCAACTTGGCTGCTCACTCATATAGCCTGGCCTATTACTCGACCGAGTCCACAGATATGGCTCAATACACCAATGCACTTTGTTTACCTACACAGGCAATGAACTCTGTGTCGCTCCGAACAAAAGACTTAGGCAACGAACTCGGACGAGTTGGGGGGCGATGTAGTAATGTGGAATGCCAAAACAGGTTTGGCCAAACGATAAACGCAATGCCATAGAGCGGAGCCAGTGCAATGGATTTGAAGACTTCTACGCAGTGGCGAATCCCCCTCCCCACCACCTCCACCTCCCCCTTCACTTCACCCACCCATTAACAAAGATCCCAGAGCGCGGCAGGTTCCCAATCCCAATGTTCGATACTGCTCCTTTTTCCCAGGCCTCGACAGGCGCAAACGTGTTCGCAGACTCGGGTGAGTCATCTCCTGGAGTTGGTGGTGCCAGGCACAGAGATTCTGATTCTGAGCTGCCCAGGTAGGAGAATTTCACCAGTTTCTGCATGTCTGGGATCAGTAGTTATTGGGTATTAATTCGATTTGGCGGATTTCATTTGGGTCTGTCTTTGTTCTTTATTTGCAACTTAACTTAAAAGGTTCAATAGATTGTCAGCATGTTTGGGCTTAAGATAAATATTGGCAGACTCGTTGGAAACCATTTCTACAAATATATATTACTTCTGCTTTATAGCAATTTGTACTATTTGTGATTTAATTTTTTGGCGAAATTAGAATACAACATTTATGTTAATTAAATTACCTGACTGACTTTAATGCCTACATCTTCTTTTGAGCCACTTCCTATAAGGCACATGTAGTCAGCGACTCCCTGAGGTTAATTAGACTGTTTGTTTTATTCAGATCGCGATACGCACACTCGCATCGCCGACCTTCTGCTGCCAAACCCCTCGACTTGTCAAAAATCCCACATACTCGGCGACTAAAATATTTCACAACATTGTTCAAGTGCCAGATTCTTAGCCTCTTTTGTCGCAATGTAAATTAAGAACACAGCCGCAGACCATTTATGGTCCGGCCTGGCCCAAGCCCGTAAATCGAGCTGAGCCAGCAGCACAAACAGGTTTGCAATTAAACAACTAAAAAAGAATTATTAAGCAAAATGAGTCTGAAATTAATTATTTATGCGCCCAAGATAGCACAATGCCAGTCAGCGAGGCCCCCACTTTGGTGGAGATCCGAGTAAAGTGGGCGTCTCTTTTGCTTCCAAGAACTAGGCACCATAACTTGCGCCTTGCGGAGTTCTGGCTGTAAAAATAAAAAAAAACAGTCGGAGTTCACAGTTCAGTGATCACTCCCCCAGAAAGGCAACGCGTGCCAACTGGGCAGCTGCAGGCGCTGTACCACTCAAGTCACTCCATAAGTCCAGAATACAAAAAGTGGATATAGTATTAAAACACAGACACCCTGATCGTCATACACGAGTTCACAGCTCCACCGGCCCGCATAAATTAGAGTCGCGATCAGGAGCAATAGCATATAGTAGCTATCTAGCTGAAAGTGCGACCCTGCTGCACTCTGCTGAATTATTACCGCCTGCTGTCGAGCATGACATTTGTTGAAAATTGCCCAAAATACCTGTAAACTACCCGAACAACCAACCGGCAGCCAGTCTAGCCTGAAATGAGCTTTACTCGCCCAGCCAAACAGCACAACAAATTTTCAATAACAATTAATGGCAAGCAGAATCAAGCAATTGTAATGTCATCTGTGTAGTAGAGCCAGATGGAAGGCGGTGGCAACTCAAAGGTGCTGTCCTCCTCGTCAATCAGTCCGTTTTCATCCAGGGTGCCATTCAGATCCAGAACACTACAGCTTATGCCCTAGTTGGAAATTAAGAAATATAAGAAATATTAAAAACTTTATAGCCAAATTATTTCAGGTTTTCAAGATGTAAAAATTAAATGGTGTATTAATTTATTTATCTTTTCGTTTCATTTCTATTGATCAGTATATAGAAATTCCCCAACTTGTTTTTAATAGCTTGTAATATTTTTAATTTGTAGATTATAACTTACCCCATTCGAGAACTTCCGCCACTCGTAACTTCCTGCATGGTGGTTGTATCTTTGCTTGTACTTCTGCTGGATATCGTAGATACTATCCTCATTGCAAACGGTCATGTATTGCGTTTGTGCAGTGAGCGTATTTAATATCCTTATTAGCCTAGGACGCTTTGTGACCCTGCCGATGTGGTAGAAAGGATCCTGGCTCCACATGGCTCCCGGCGTTTTGGAGAACTCCGAGATGGCAACCTCCAAAATGGGAGGAAAAAGGACTCGTGGTCTTCCAGTACTTGGGGATATTTCCGTTCGAGGCTCTCCGTTCTCGTGGAAAAAGTGGGTCAGGTCCTTGCCAGCATGGGCCACCAGATAGTCCAGGGTCTACAAAAACTATTTAAATAATTATTAGTTACGATAAAAGAACCGATTTTACCCACGCGATTCCAGTGATCCAAGCGATCCTTCAACATGGGCGTCAAATCGAAGATATTCGTGTGTATAATCACCCAGCAGTCGTCCTTCTTATTATGCGACACCACCTCATCCTTGAGATAGTAACGCATTTTATTAATCGGCTGCTCCATTTCACAGATTTACACGGAAACAAAACGGAATGAAGTGTAATTTGATTTTCTCGACAAAACTGTCGCCTCTTGACTCGTCCCATTAATTTTGAGTTTTCCAGCAGTGCCGACTGATCGTCATTACTTTCCGAGGGAGCGGGTCTTATCGCCAGACTTGAATCTATGCGCCTCCGGCCGGCGGACCAATTAATTCCAGCTGCCACAGAGCCCAAGTTTTCATTCCTGGTCGACTTTTCGGGATGCCATTGCATAATTAGCCGCCAATTGTCAAGTCGTCGGCGACGCTCGTTCTTGGCCCATCAATCGTTTGCCATAAATAGGAAAAATTAGATTAATGACTGGTGGCATTTTTGGTCTAACCTCCGAGGTTGCACTCACTCGGAAGACATTCCAATTGATGGGAACTCTGTCAGCGGAGATCGCGGAGCACTGCACTTTGAAATATTCCCCTCCAGTTATTTTCGAGAACATTCAGCTTTTTCAAGTGAATGGGAAGCGTTCTTAATGGCTTGATAGGTTGATTAATTTGTTAGGATTTCTTGTTTGTTTTTAAAACTTTTGATTGGAATAAAATGTAGACTTAACATTAAACTAAGTTGTGGATTAGAAAACTCTCATTCAGGTTCATGTATCTTTCAGCAGCTGTTGGAAAGGGGTTCCAGTTGTTTTGAATTCAAAACTAAACCAATAAAACCCTTTTCATTCGAGTGGTTTCGGTTTCCTTTGCGTTCTGAGGCTGAACTTTGAACCCAGCAGCCGGACTCCAGGTTACCCAAAGGTAACTAATGGACACACGTGATAAAATCAACTTCCGCAGGATTACAAAGCCATCGACCTGGAGGTCATTTAGTCCAAGGCGCACAGTTCACAGCTGCCACTTTCCGTCGCGCATGCGCAGACATAGAATTCGAGGGATTTGCCATGGCAACTCCCAGTTTGGTCAAACAAAAGGGGAACATACTAATAAATAATAAAGTGCAGGGGAAAGGGGTGGCTGCCTAGAAAAGGATAATGTGGCAGGGTGCCTCGAGTGGCATCTCATATTGCAATTATAGGGCATAGTGCTAAAAGGATTTACCGATGCTCGGTGTTTACTTTAATTGCTCGCCACGCGTCGCTCTAAGTGGTTTTTAATATTTGCTTATTCGGTTGCAGGTCGGCAGACTGCGTGATTGTAGCAGCTGTTGGCGGAGAGCCACAGACGCCATCCGTTGGCAATTACTCGGGATTGGGATTGGCATTGTGATCCGCCTCGTCCCGAGAAAGCTGCATCCTTTTTGCAAATGCCAGACGAGCAGCAGAAATGGCAACAGCAGGACTCGCAATAATAGCCGCAGACATGGCAATTAATCACGCAAGCCACAACATTGTGTGATATAAGGGAAGGCAGACAAAGAATTGATCGATGACTCGAAAAAAAGAGAACAGAAAACTATTTAGGTTCAAAGAAAATGCCAGCAATATCAATACCAGAATATAGAGTAAAACTTTACTCCAAGTTCAGTCACATGTAACACCCCGCATGAAAAGTAAAAAAAACGAGAAACAAATTGTTGACAAAAGTGGCCCACAAAAAGGGATACTAAGAGTATAAATATCCTGGACCTGAAAACCAGCTGCCAACGCGGTGGTAACCCAAGGGAAAACAGGGCTTGGCAGTGGGTTGAATTGGTAATCAACATTCTCTTAACTCATTTGCATGGGCGGAAAGTGGAAAGTGGAAGTTGAGCGAGGGTGCGAGTCCTGCTAATTGCTTCCAAGTCAACTGTGAAGCTGCACATATGTCGTCGGCAGGACAATAGTTCTAGGATGATTTTCCCATTTCCAATTGTTTGCTCTTCGCCTGGTTTTGATTTAGTGGGATGGCAACAGCTGGTGGTTGGCCATTTGACACGCCACTGATCTTTGGCCAAGGAGTTGCTGGTGCAGCTGCAGCTGGCATTCGGGTCTTGGGTCTTGGATTTTGGGTCAAGAATGCGTGTGGCAGGCACAAGCGAGGGGCACAATGCAGGCGAGGCAAACAATCCACCGAAGCTGGCAGTGCTGCGGGTAAGAAACAACCCCATTCGGGTCCCAACCCCTACGCACCACCGAACCCCCGTTGAACCACGTGCGTCACGCGCAGACGCAACCGCTGACACGTAAAAAAAATATGAATTTTAAGTTATGCAGGATTATGTGTGTTTCTATTATTAATTCAACAAATATTGTGTACATTTGATAATATTAAATTTGTATAGAAGCAACAGAAAATTATTTAATATTTTATTTAACAACCCTAAAAAACCAATTATGGTTATAAACTATTAATGTTTTTTTTGGTTTAGACATTGTATTTTACATACGAGTATACAAAACAATTCTTGGACTGAAGCTTTCAACAAAATAAACATACATTTCTTCAAGCCCTACTGTTTATGATATTATTTCTTGCAAGTTATTTTTATTAAGCCTTATTTTTTTCTGTGTACCCTTTTAGGAACTGCTAATGGGACTCAATCTCCGGATCCTCAATCTCCAACCCCGTTTCAATTCAGAGGCCCCGTTACGATTCGAACAATGGCGCATGCTTTCGAGAACCCATTGAGTGCGTTGTGAAAATAAATAAAAACTAGCAGAAAATACTTTGTTAATGTAAATGACAGGAAGTGTGCACTTGAGTGCCAGCATCGTCGGCGTCCCCCAGAGGCTGCAATTAAATAAAAAACCGAGCGACACAAAGCACTCTTGCCACAATGGCAAGTTTAGCGGAAAAAGTGCGACAAAAACTGCTGCAGCTGCAGATACATTTGTAATTTCAGCTTTTTTCCTCCTCCTAATCATTCGAATTGCAATTGCATGGCAATTGTAATCTGGACCGAGCACTGTGCGTAGGCAAACGAGTTGGCCAATTGCGGGTCCGACTTTTAGATGTAATTCCGATTGCCTTGACACATAGACAAAGTGCGGCGCCAATTTAAATACTTTGATTAACCGAGAGCTGGCATGCTATTTTCAAACTCATTGAATATTCGAAAAGGTGGGCTCAAAGAATTTTCTGTGAATAATAAAGGGGACTTTTCAGCACCTTAAATAATATCGACAATTGTGATTAATCAAGTGAATGGTTGAAGTTTAATTAAACATCTTTTATGATACAACCACTTTCCAAATTTTATTTCCAAGTTTTTATTTTATAATTATTTAAAAATAATAAAACGATTCAAAATATAAAATGGAATCATCGCCTTAGAGTTTGATTCATCACGCTTATGGGCCTTCAAGAAGCATATCAATGTACACCATAATCCAATTATAAAAACTTCCAGTTTAATCTGCAGCTATTGTTCACAATTCGTTGTTCAGCCAGACACACTCGATTCTTCAAAGAGTGGTACCTCCACGAAGGTTTCTTCCAAACAATTAAACACCACCACAGGGTGGCTTCATTATAGTTAACACCCCGCGCAGACTCTTCAGAACTCAACAGCTGACGGTCTGTATCTCTGTTTCTATCTCCATGAGTTCCCGGGAATCATCAAAATTATTGTATAAACATGCAACTAATTAAAAAGTGTGCCGTAATTCATTAGAAGGCTAGATACAATCGGGCAGATCCGCTGTGATAAAGTACGTGTGGCTGACCAACTGTTATTATCTTTGAAGAGGGAGGATCTGACTCTCTACCAGTTGCTTAGGGGCGTTATTTCTGTCAGGATACGAGGGTTGCATCACAGATCGCATCCCACACAACTGTTCCTAGTTTGCCATTCGATTTGAGACGACGCGCCTGCGCAAATAGATTTATTCAATAAATTAAATTGCCAACATATGCGAACAATAGAGTTGAGCAGTTAGAATCGTTTGGCTTAAGTTTCTAGCATGTGGACCGACATCTGTTGGTAGATTGATAGTTTCAGGTGGAAGCATTCCCACGAAGATATTAAAACTTTTTATAATACATTTTTATCACAACTCAAGTAACTCAAAACTAGAATTCATTTTTCATAAGCTATAAAATGAGCAATCTTGTTCCTGCATAAATCTGCTTAAGTAATGCTACAAAATATTCAGCTTATTTAGCCATTCCAGCCTCGTTTGCTAACATTGCTCCCTTACACCGTTTCCAATTAATTCCGTCGTAATTGAATCCATTGTTCCGCAGGTCACCTCGGATTTCCGCAGCACCGCAGTTCGTTCGGCATTAGCCCCAAAGCCCCAAAGTGTGTCCCAAGTAATTAGTGCTCGACACATTAGCTAAATCTGCAGGCAGCCCATGGCTAAGGCCTGTTAGCCCGACTAAAATTGCATTATGATTAGACACTATTTTATGGAAGGGAACGCGGAGGCGGTTTGTCTCGGAGTGGCATGCAACATGCAGTTAGATTTGCCTCTCGCATCGCATGTCGGAATGCAGTTGGGGGTGGTGGGCCGAGCCCAGGTCTAGGCCCAGTTAACAGTTAGTTGTTGCCAGTTGGTTTTGCCAGTTGCCAGTTACCAAGCCAAGCAGACAAATGGCGGCAAAGTTAAGAGGCAGCCAACGACTCGGCTCATCATCGTTGCGACATTGCAAGGTCGCTTCTGCCGCAGCTCCCCAAACTTCCTGCCATTCATGCCGGCTAATTGCAAGCATTGTGAATGCTCTTGAGCACTGAGAAAAATATATGAAAAATTTACTAGATCATAAAACAAGTATTTTACAATAACTAATTGGACTCAAGGCACAATCATTTTCTTGGAATTTGTGATAAATATATTTGTAACTTTATTTCTGCATATATCTTACAATATTTTCTTGGATATTTTTTTCTGTGTAGTTATTGTTACTGACGATGTTCCGGTTGTACTTGCAACTGCTGTTGCCTTCAAGCAAAATTCCTTTTTGGCGTTTCACATTGTTGTCGAGCAGTTGGCATATTTTATAATCGCCGCAGTGCATCCGCAACCAGTTCGCCCCCGTTTCCCCTTTTTAAGTCCATCACTTCCTTCGTCGTCTTTTTGGGCAATTTAATTAAACTTTTCGCCCGCTTAGTTAATATGATTACCGTTATTGCTCCCCGGCGGTTCTCACTCCGCTGGAGCTTGGATCTGGAAACCAGAATTCTTCTGAGGCGGCTCAACCGCTTTTGATGATCGCGCCCTGCTCTGTAAATATTTTTATTGATATTTATTGAATTTCGCTGCTCTTGGGGTGCTTAAAACAAGTGCCAATTTGAGGTAGTTTATTTTGGGACCAAGTTAAGTATATTAACAGCTCTTATTTGAATTGCTATCTGCAATAAGTTCTGTAAAAAAATAAAATATAAATTGCAGACTAACAAATATATATAAGTTTAAGTTTATTATTTGCTTTTCAAGGCTAGTAATGAGCACGTTTCAAGCATTTTACACAGACATTTTTGACGCCTCGCTGTCTGCAAAGATCGAAAGGAAAACACAGTGGAATAATCTCCCACCAGCTGGTTGGCTAACCAAAAACAAACACCGATTGCAACATTTGTTTGAAATGCCAAAAATGGAGAGGGGATAAACAAAAAACACTCGCACATCGCAGACTAAACAAAGCAAATTTAACCAAATGATTTTTTTTCCAACTCACAGCAGTTTGAGCACGCGCCAAATGGTTTAGCGAACTCAATGATGATTTTAGCACCTAAACCCCTTACACTTTACTTCGCATCCAGACACGCGAGTGTGCCAAATATAGTTTGTCGGGGTTACGTTATGGACCAGATGGTGCTATTGGCATTATTTCATTTCAACAGCCAATGCGGTAATGGGAGACGAGGTTATAATTGATGATGAAGAAGTTTGCTTACCCTTTATCAAGTTAAGGAATTTTTAAATACCTAAGTTTTGAAGACTTACTGACAGGTGCCCAAATTTCTTTTCTTGAGTGCACAACTTTGCTAATTTTTAACCGTTCATCTCTTAAATTTCTCAATTATATTCTTAAACCCATTTCAAGGTAAAATATTATTGAGTTTCCGAGCCCCATAAAACAGTTTAAGTATTGCTTTAAGTCCTCCCACATAATTCTTTTATTTCGAATCTAATCCCATCATCGCTCGTCCCAATAAACGATTCTATTATTTCGCTAAATTTATGCGAGGGCCCGCTTTTTTATTCATCAAATTTTATGTTTATGCGCGTGTTTATGTCAGGCCTTTTTTGTTTGCCACATTAATGAGATTTTTAATGTTCGACCAAATTTGGTGGCGACTCGAAGGCTTTTTTGCCAGCTCGTAAAACGCCGCCTATTGCTTTATGGCCGGGCCGAAACTATTACAAGCCGCTCGACGACACCGGGAAAAGCACAGGTCGGGAAATGGCGGGGAAAAGCTCACACAAATCGCTTGCCAAATGGATCGACGTCAGCCAGCAGCTTCCCATCGATAATTTACGTGTGCCCGTGTTCGTCTGTGTTTGCCATCCACATATGAAAAGCGAATTTTCTCTGGCCGAGCGCGCGCGCAAAAAAAAAGAGAAAAACAAAAAGTAAACGAAATCGTCGGAAAATTCGATGTTCGGGGTTGAGTGTGTGTTTGGTTTTTCTTTGGTCAAGTTTTCCTGCTGCTGGCTGCTGGTTGCCTGCTACAAATATCGGAAAATTCCTTTGAGGATTTGCCACAAAGGCGGAAAAGCCGCTGCGGCAAACCTTTGATGATTCTCCACACATATCTCTATCTCTCTCTCTCCCTGTCTCTTTTTCCCCTCGCATTTTCCGATAGTGTGACATCCAGTTGCAACCCCCTCAAGAAACCACCCCTCGCCATCGGCGATGGCGGTGGAAAATGTGAAAATGTTTTATGGCCGCTCGATAGCTCGCTCTCTCTCACTCCGCTTTTCCGCTTTTCTCCTCATCTGCTCGAGTGTGTCGTCTGCGTCTGCTGCTGCCGCCGCTGCTGCTTCTTCTTCCACGTACTTAATACTTTTTGACTTTTTGGAGGAAAAGCATTTCCCGGGGCGAATGTGTGTGCGAGAGTGAGAGTGGCGCAGAATGTGGATGTGGCTGTGGATGTCGATGTGAGTGCTCCTAAGCGGTTTTCCCAGCTGCCTCCGTTTTTGCTCCTGCTTCTGTTTCTGTTTCTGCTGCTGCTCGCCAGCCGTTCCTGTTCGCCTGCTACGTAATTCGCGTAATTTATTCAATTTTGAGAATTAATTTAATTTTTCAATTCACACACGTGACTTTTCCGGTATTTGGTACTATTGAAGCGTTTTTCGGCATAAATTTTAAAGTAAAATAATGTTAAATTGGTTTAGAAGCTTTTCCTGATTGTAGCTGTTGTTAGAAATGGATATTTTTAATTCTGAACAGATCAAACCTGAAGAAATCTTGAAATCTGGATCAGTAAATTAACCCCTTGAATACAAAAACTTCAGAGGGAAATTTGCATACTTGCTTTTTCTGAAAAGAAATATTTGAAGAATGCTCTCTTGAACCTACAATCTTGCAAACAGGTATACCAAATAGGCAAATTTTATGTTTCTATTAAAAATTGGAACAAATAATTTTAATTTTTTATCTAGATACAGGCAATACTTAATGCCCAGAAATTTAGGTAATTGCAACACCTTCTTTTCGGATTCCAACTGTAATTTTTTTTGTATGTGAGACATCTAGATTTGGTTTGTAAAAGCGTTAAACGCCACCTTTGCTACAATTTTGTTAGTTGATTGCGGGCGGGCGAATTGATTTCCTTTCTTTAGATATCGAATTAGTTGTATACTAGCTTTTATCTCTTTATATTATATTTTTAATTATTTTTTCAGATTTTTATGAAATTTTGAACCTATTGTCTTTATTGTTTGTAAGGAAATACAACATTTTTACTTAAACCAATAAGGATTTCTCAATTCGCCGTATCTGTAAAATTGTGTAAAATACTTTTCAAGCCTGTAGAAGTTGTGTAGATCATCATGTAAAATATCTGTAGAGTTGCTTAATTGTATATACAAACTTTTTTCAGAGGGAAAATTGGCATCACTGGAAAATAATTCGAAAGATATTAACAAACTTTATAGTTTTGATTTAAGCTAGTATCTCAAAATAAGAAAAATTTGTAGTAAATATGTCTGAACCGTTGATTTATACATATAACTTGTATTATTTTTGGCAGGTTACTAAAACTTATTGCCTTATTGGCTCTCTTTAGTAATGGTCTGCAAGTAATAAATGTCCAATATGAAATGGCTTTAACCCGCTGGTCACCGATGGTCTTAAAAGTTAGCAGGCAAAACGTAAAAAAATATCTACTAAAAGTGTGAAACTATTTTTAAGTTTCTATAAACTAGGTAAAAATTTTGAGAAGGAAAAAAAATATTTTAAAGATACATCTTTGAATTTTGTAAAAAATGTATCATTACGAAGGCTTCATGAGCAAAGGACCCATTCAGCTTTCTACTCACTGTTACCCATAAGTAAACAAACGAAGCCGAAATTCCCACACTGTCTGGCAGCGATCGGAAATGGGTTAAGAGTGCACTTTACGCTGCGGCCAAGTCAGGGCGGTCCACGTAATGGCTCTTAGATTGTTGTTTTCATTAAAAACCAACGGCTGCAAGCCAAACGGCCAGTGATTCCTGGCCTGGTGGTTGATTCGTCTGTGGTTGTGGAGGAGCAGGAGGAGGAGGAGGCTGTTCCCCTGGCTGTGGTGACCCCGACTCCTGCTCCTGCTCCCTGCTGCAGCGCCTGCTCCTGCGCCGCCTTCTGCTCCTGTTAATGTTAGGCAACGCCCAATTGCGCTGCAAGCGACAACAAAGGAAACGCCGCCTTTCGACCAGGCAACAAAAAACGGGAGGGAAGCGGATCTGGGATCTGGAATCGCGGGCATCGAGATCGAGGATCGGGGAACAAGGAACGGGAATCGGGGATGGAGGATCGGCAGGGGATAGGAGTCTATAATCTCGTTCGCTTAAGCGTCACGCATGCCACTCCCCTAAATTGATATGCCCGCCATGGCCAAACACCGGCAAACATCATCATCAGAGCGGAGGAAGTGGAAGTGGCATGGCGAGTGGCAATGGTTGTGGAAGTGGTAGAGGCGGCACTGGGCACTGCTGTTGGTATTGGTATTGGTAGTGGTGGCGGCGGCACAAGCGGAAAATCATCAAAGCGCTGTGCTACGGCGGCTTTTTTCACTTTTTTTCCTTTCATTGCGGCATTTCAAAGAAATGTTCCGACATTTCTACCAGGCGAACAGAAACGTCGACAGCCGGCGATGATGTGGTGTGCCAAAAAGTGAATGAAATCGAAAACTCAGCGCAAGAGCATACAGCACACGCACCACCGAACCACCGAACCACCTTTTATTTTGTTATTTACTTTGTTGTTGCTGTTATTTTTTGTTTTTTTTTCCCATTTTTCATTTGAGGCGTCGCGTCGCTGCCCTCAGAGTTGCCGGCATATAAAATTGGCTGTGACCCGATTAAATTCTATTCGCCGCTGGCCATTGTTCTCGGATGGTTTCACCAGTACATATTTCGGCGTTCTGCAATAGGGAAAATCGCAAAAGAAAAAAAAAGAGGGGTGGAACTCAGGCCGAAAAGACTCAAACATAACAAAATCGTGCTTCTAATGATTGTCTACTTTGGGGCAGTGTAGTTGTTCTAGGTCGGGATTCTCGGTCTTTTGGGGTAGGTTCTGCCGCCTGAAATGACTATTTAAATTTAAATTTGAATTTGGTTTTTTGTTTTTCACTTCACCACACAGGAATAAAACTATCATGTTTTGAGTTGCCTCATTCTAATTTTTTTTTTTTTTTGATTTTTAATGCTTTACACACATAGAATCATTGAATAAACATTTGAGTATGTATATAATGTTGCACATTTTAAGTGTGGTTAATTTGTGGTTATTTATTGAATATTTTTTTTAGCTTAGAAGCCGGGTCTCTTAAGTGAGACGAAAAAATCTCTCAGTGCATCGTTTTTAAACATTGTCTAAAAACCGCTTGCCTTTGCATTTTTAGTTGAATTTTTAGTCTCTGCTGAGATCGAATAACTTCAAAATGTAAAGCCAATTCTCTAATGAGACGAAAAAGTTTATCTTCCAGTGTAGTTTGAAAATATCTCTGATTTTTTTCTTGATTTCATCTTTCTCTGGTGGTTAATTTGAATTGTTGAGTATTTATATTTTCCATATTGTTTGTGTGGGTAAATTATGGTTATGTCAATATAATTATGTTTCAAGGAACAAACATTTTTTTGGTGTGCATATTTTCTTTAATCTCGAATGAAAAAATTTTATGAAAAAACCGCTTGCACTTTCTGTTTTTTTTTTTTTTTTTTTGCCTTTAATTTATTAATTTTTGTTGTCTCTGGGGTTGTTTTTAACAAGCTTTTTGTGTATTGAATATTTACGTTCAACATTTTAGTGTGTTTAGAGTGGTTAAATGTTGGTTATTTGATTAGGTATTGCAATTAGCTTAGCAGTAGCTTAGTGTCTTGTGATCAAAAATCTTTCTCCCAGTGCATTTGGCTTACAAAATGCGAAAAAGAAAAGTGCAAAGCCCATTACACTCTGATTATATTTTTTGGCGAATATTTACTTACTTCTTTCTCGGTTGAGATTGAAAATGCTTACCTAGTGGGTTTGTTATTTAACGCCAATGAACAATTTAAATGGAAAAGTGTATATGCTAAAATCGAATAGACGCTTTTGGGTGCACTGGGCTATTGACCCTACAAAGTCCCGCTTGGAAGCTTTGGGTGACTTGCCAAATTTGCTTTGTTCGAATTATAATCTAAAGACAACCATTTGCTGAAAGTAACAATTATATTGTGTAGGTGTATTCAGGCATACAAGTACCGCTTGTGTTCTGTTTGAAAGGGGAACGTGACTACTGGATGTCTCGGAAATCAGTTTTCGGAGAGGTGGGGCCATGCATCTAGCATAAGAATCTATAAGTATAATTAAATAAGTTGAAGTATATAATAAATAAAGGTGGATTAATGCGAAATCATGCGTGTTGAGAGGACTGAATGGGAAAGCGTGCATATGTGCTAAGTATGCTAGGTATGCTAGGTATGCTAGGTGTTCTATGGTTAGATTAACTCTATATTACTTCCGATAAGCAACTCTACAGATTAATGTAAGTTACAGTACCTTCGTGAACTGTTAAGTTGTGATTGGTGTTTCGTTACAGTGATGTTTTAGAGGGCCAACTTGCTGCAGGCAAGATGGTCTCTATGACAGGTAAGCTATTTTGGCGCCGAAGCCTTTAGTTTCTACAATCTTAGACACAGACAGTGAACACTGGGTATGGGGTACAGGGATAAAGGGTACAGGGGAAACGAAAAGTTCTGTGTTCCTTCGACAGGTTTTGTTTGCTTCGCTCGGCATCGTCTTACTTTTGCTAGTGGTTTTGTTGGTTTATATTACTGGTAAGCGGAGTTGTATTTAGGGTCTCTTTATTATCATTCGATTTTGTTGTATTATAATTGTAATCGTAATTATTACCGGATCATCATCATCTTCTTCATCTTCTCTTCTTCTTCTTCTGCCTGCTGTTTATCATCGAAAAGTGTTCGCATTTTTCAGTTTTTGGTATCGTTTAATTTACATTCATATAATTTACACATGCAGCAGAATATAATATGTTTTGTGATTTTTTTGTCAACTTGTATTTGTAGCGCATATTACACAATGGCGCGATACTTTAGATATAGGTATGCATATCCTTCCTCGTTCTTCATAAATTCAAATCGGTTAATAACATTTATATATATATATATTTATGTAGGTATACATGTTGCTATATAATGCTCATAAATAATTGTAGCATGTTTAATGTAAATATGTATGTTTAAAACACTTAAATTGCGTAGGTTAATTAGTTTTGCACAAAAAACCTTTAATAGGTATGCTCCATGTTCTTTTCTTCGAGTGTATCTTGTGTTCGGTGTATTTTATTTTTTGACTCATGTTCAGAAGTCCTTTAACTTGTTTGCTTTTATCAGTTTTAGTACATTTAGATATTAATGGCCTCAGCCAGCATAATTTTTTGCTGGTTTTTACCTTTTTTTTTGGTTTTCTTGTTTTTTTTCGTCATCTTTTGCTTAATAACACAAATCTTTGCCAAGTGGCTAAATAGATATATATTCTGGTTTGTAGCATATTGTATACACATCGATTTTATTTATGACTCACTTATCCGCTAAACGCCTCACTTAATCAGATACTTTGTTTTGGTTTTCCAAAAATGTATGAAAGCCTGCTCGTATTATATTCTTTTTAGTTAGCTTACTCCATAATTAATTGAATTTGACAGCAATAATTGCATTTTGCTTTGCATGCTGATCAATGCTTCAAATATTTCCCACGTTTTATTGGAGCCTGTATTGTGTTTTTGTATTTATTTGTATTTGTATATTATCGTCCGCGGTCACCAAACTCAATCCTTCAACAACAAAAAATCGAGAACGTTGAGATTTCAAGTTTGGCTTCCTGTCTGATAAGTTGGTTAGTTAGTGTTCGTCTTCTCAAGACCTCTTTATTTGCGGATCTGTCCCGCTCATTTGACCTTTAACCTTGGGGGAGGAGCTCAGGATCGAGCCGCACTGCGATCTGCGTTTGTTGAATCTCATTGTGTAGGCCTAAGTCTAAATTCCGTCCAATCGGTCAGCTCCAGTTTGCCGTTAGTATTTGTATCTGTATCTTGTATCTGTATCTGTCTGGGGTCGAAGTCAAGGTCAGGTTTAGCTGCTGGTCCGGTTAAGATGTGCGTATATACAGCCAGTTCTCGGGTCTCAAGTCTTGGGTCCTTGGGTCAGTCCTCATCTTGGTGGTCGGGTTATGTTGCTTTAGGAACTCAAACCATTTTGTATGCCTCGTTCTGGGTTCGTTGAGTCAGTAGGTCGGTCTATGGTAGGTCATATTCTCCTTATCTCCTCACTATTTTCCTCGATCCGATTGACCTGCCCCGTCGCAAGTTAAAAGCCAAATGAAGGCCAGCATCCTTTTGTCCACCTTCAGTTTTGTGGCAAACTACAGGTTAAATTCTGTCCTCGTGTGGTTCTCATTTAGATGTATTCTTCTTCTGCTTCCTCTTGCCTAATAAACAATAATTCAGATATAGGTTTTAGTTTTTGTATATCTATGTTACACCATCAAAGAAAATAGATTGGGGGACATGATGAAATGCTTGATTTTTGTGTAGCTAACCCTTCATATCGGGTACTTTGACACATTACATTTATATATTAATATATGTATATTTAATGGAAAAGTCCGTTAGACATTTATGCATTAGCTTTATAATTAGTTATATTATATTATATTATATGTAAGTTCCCTTCAGTTTTCTACGCATGGTTGTTGTTTCTTCCTCGTTAATCATTAACACTTTTTTTATGCATATGGTTATGTCGAAATATACATCAATAATTGCCTTTATATGCGATTGACTATAATACGATACATTACGTTGCTTGTTAGTACACTTATTTAATTTGTATTTTCGTCGAAGAACATTTGAATTGAAATTGTCGTAGTTGTATTTTAATAACTTTGAAAAAACGTTGCTTCAATTACTCGAAAAACAATCGAAAAACTCACTACTAAATATTTTGCTCTAAAACAATTAAGTTTAACTATTCTCATATTTTTGTTAATTTGCTTGTTTTTGTTTTTTCTACCACGTTAATAATTCTCCTCGTATTTTTCGCAAGCCCCAAGTTGTTGTTCGGACTTGCCACAGTTATTGTAATATTGATTTCTCATTTGCTTTTAGTTGTAGTGTAGTGTCGAACAAAGGAAATGTTAACAAATAAGAGTTGCGTCGAGATAATAATTCACGTTTTTGTTTTGTCGCTTAAAGTTAGCTGAAATGTATCTTATCTTTGTCGTCTTGGAATATTTCGAACTACGATAAATCATTTTCATTAGCTTAAGTTCAACTGCTACGTAAAACGGTTGGATATTATTTATTTGATATTTTTTTTTTGTAATATTTCTGTGCTAATTTGCAGCATTTGCACTTACGTCATCTTCAATCTGAGCGTATTTCGTTTGTATTTTTGGGTTTTTCTTATTTTTTTCTAATCGGGTGCCTTAATCGGTAATTGTATCTGATCACTGTAGCTTTGTCACTGTATCTTTGTGCTCGATCCTGGGGTGTTTAGTGTCCAGTGTGATGCGGTCTGTCGACGGCATATTACCGTGTGATTTATTAGATATATCTGCGTGGTCCGATTCCTGTTTGTCCGTTTGATTCGTTCAAGGTCGTGCCTGAGTGGAGTTCTGATCCCTGGAGATGTTCTTCCAGGCTGTTAAGGATGTAATTCTGGGGCCATTACATCCTTGTATTTTTTTTTGGTTTTTTCTGTTTCTTTTTTCTCTTGTGATGTTCGTAGCTTGCGTGTTGCACATACTGCTAACCGCACCGCAGCTCCCGCCCCTCCCCGTGACCCCCTCGGATCCCCCGGCTAACTCTAGCTGCCTCAAGTTGTTCGTGGGAGTACTATATAATAATACAGGTAATATTAATGCCGGCGGATCGATGGGCGGACAGGCGAAGGTGCTGCGGTGCCGTTCCTCTGACGATTACCTACTAATGCGGTAATATATATATTCGTATAATATGATATAATCAACTGCGAAGGGTAAAAGGTGTAGCCTATGTTAGGAGCGACTGATAACTGAACAATTTCTTGACTTCGCACACATACATATGGTCTGGTAAAACAATACTCGACTCGATCAAGTTCGAGTACGTGTTGTTGGTTGGCTAAGTAGATAATGACATTCACCATATTGTATATGAATAATATAATATAATATATGTATATTGTATACAAATATAATTTTAAACGTGACTATATCCTTGTATAATTAATTGTCATACACATCAATAGGTTGCTTCCTCACTAAACTTTCCCCTCCATGTTGTAAATAGAACTTTGTTGTTAGGTACAAATTTTGCATTCCTTCTCTGCGTTTTTTTGTTTTTCTCGTATATGTCTGTCTCTTGAATATGTATGTGTCTTTGAGTGGGCTTTTTCTTGCAGTGTAGATAGGTCTGAGTTGTAGTTTATCTCTGTGGTGTTAGTGTTCCTGTCTGCTGTTCTGTCTGGCTTGGCATATGTATACCGTTCAGCGATTGTTGTCGTTCGTTTGCTGGTTTTTTAAGCACATCGATTGGAGTTTAAGTCTAATGCCAACATCGATATCGATAAATGTACGAGTACGAGTAAGTAAAATGCCTCATAATTGAATTCAATGCTTAACAGCTAGACATGTATATAAGTATAAGTATGTATGTAAATATTTCTTGTATATCCATTAACACTCAGATACGCTATATGTAGGTATAATGTATATATCGTGCGTTTCTATAGTTGCTAGCGCCACACAATGCCGCGGGACCCGCATCCCCCGACTCGGACGCACTCCGTCACACGGGCTGGTGCAGATCGGGGCAGCGTGGCAAGTCCCGGAGGATCCAGAATCCATCCCCACGGCAATTGTGCTCGATGGCGCGGTGTAGACAAACGAATATGCGTAATAAATCCTTCCACTGACATTCTCGTGAAGCCTTTTTCGAACCTTCCAAGTGCTCACGCCAAATAATACCTTCGAACTGAATGCGATTTCCTAACTATAACGAACTAAGGAAAGACCCCCGAAACGCTGCAACAATCATTAACCTGATCCTAACCCATTCCGATCCGATCCAATACGATCTAATCCCGGATCGGAGTGGCTCACTTCTTCGCCTGCTTCGTCGGCTTGGCTGGCGTCCTCGGCTCCGCGGCCTTGGTGTCCTTGGCCTGCTTCGCCTGCTCCTCCCTCTCCCGCTCCTTCTCCTTTTTGGCCGCCTTGGAGCTGCTGGTGGGCACCTCCTCCTCGGCGGCCTCCTGCGCCTTGTCCTCCTTGAGCGGCTCCTTGGTTGCGGTGGTTGCTGTGGTGGTGTTGCTTCCGGTGTTGCCACCGCTAATCACGGGATCCTTGTCCAGCTCCCGCTTCTCGCCGGAGGTGTTCGCCGGCAGAGCCTTCAGGATGGCGTGCACCTCCTCGGCCACCGCCATCAGGACGAACTCGAACTGCTGCCGCGTGGCCACCACTCCCGCCCGCTGGTCGCGCAGGTGCTCCAAGGTGGCCGCGATGTCGATCTCCCGCGCTCCCTTGTTCATCCGCTCGAGGACCAGGTCCAACAGGATGTAGGCACCCGTTCTTCCGGCGCCGGCACTTCCGTGCACCACAATCGGGCAGGAGCGTCGTCCGCGGTACGATTTGTTCACCTTCCTGAGGAGCATAAAAAAAGTAACAAAATTAAATCATAAGATAAAAATATTTTTGCAATTTTGTCCATATTTTAAACTATTTTTGCAACAAAGTATAGTTGTGAAAAACAGAGAAGACAATCTATTTGATTGAATGCAATTTAATTGTAATTTAATTATTTTCTAATTGCTCTCAAATTAAATTTCATAAAAATGGGAAGACTATAGCATATAACTATCATATGAACAATCGACGAAAATATATAGTAGAAACTTAATAGAAAAATTGACATAGCTTTGATGTTGTTTAAACATTATGTTGTTGGTTCGATATATTATATTTGATGACTCCCAGGTTTTATAAGCTTGCTTTCTTGTCTTGAATATTTTATTTTATAGAGTTACTTACCGCCTGAAGTCGAGCAGAGCCTTTGCCTGGGCGGGAACACCCATGTGGGGCCAGGAGAGGAAGTGGAACTGGGTGACCGTTCTGGTTTCGCTGGTGCGCAGATTCTTCAGGTAGAAAGAACGTACGAGGTAATCGTCACACCAAATGTGTTCGCTAACTAGGTGAACCTGAAATGGAAATTATTTCTATAATATTTAGCATTTAAGAACCCCCTGGAAACTTACCTCATAGATGTGATAGACCTCGGCACCTTCTTCCGGCCAATAGCGCGCACAGGCCACCTCGCCATTCTCCTGCAGGCGGCAGAGAGCCACGATGACGACGGCTCCCTGCTCCCAGATCATCTGCCAGAAGTGAGCCAAAGTTGAGGGCAGAGGACCCTGGGCGGCCACATAAGCTGGTGCTCGAGGATCGTGATCGGTCTGGAAAGGTTCACATTATATTCGATATATTTCCTTCTCTTAAAAGGAATCTCTACTCACAATCGTTGATGCGTTTACATAGTCGAGTCCCTCGGCGTTTGCCAGGTGGTTCAGCACCACTCGCGAATGGTCGTAGGGCAAGGGAGCTCCGGGTCGGTTCAGACCCGCGCACTGCGGCTGGGAAGCGGCCTCCCGAGCACTTGGCTCCGCCTCATAGCGGCACAGAGCCTCCCATTCCCGCTGCAGGCGTCCCTTGTTCCGCAAGTGGTCCTCCATGTAAGACTGCAAGAAAGTTTTTAAAAATAATTAATTCCATACAAGCTATGGTATTAAAGAACTAAGACAGCCAACATCCACATAAAATAGACGAAAAGGATAAGTAGATTCCTTCCCGTTTAAAATTAAGTAAATAAAACGATAGTTTCCTGCTCTTTAATAAAATATGTATCTTAAGAATCATTAGCTTTGGTATTATTATTACTAATTATTTTAAAATTGATTTTATGGATAGAAGTGTTAATACAATAAAATTTATTTATTTGTAGATATTCTATTTATGTTCCACCACTCTATATCCTATATAAAGTTGTTTGGATTACTCACCAGCACCATGTGGCCGGTTGAGATGTCCATGTTCGTCAACGCCGGCTCCTCGCTCCAGGACGAGGTGCTCGATCGCGAGGAGGGCGGCCGGCCCTCGTTCTCCTTGCTCAGCGATGTAATCCTGCCGCTTTGCGCCGGTTCGTTTGACCCTCCGCCGGCGGCGCCGCTGCCCGAATTGCCACCGCTGCCGCCGCCACCTCCTCCTCCTCCTGATTTGCCGGCCATCCTGGCGCGGCAGAGCTCCTGGTAGTCCTTGCTGCAGGTCTCCGCACCGGCGATGCCCGACTGCAGGCCGCCCAGCTTGTCCCGCTTGCGGTCGTGCCGCTTGATCAGGATCAGGGTGACGAAGATCACGATCACGGCGGCCGCTCCCGCGCCGGCGAACATGTAGGCCATGATGTGGGTCACATCGGGCCCCTGCTCGGCCAGCTCGATCCGCGAGGAGGAGACACTCGGGTCCTGCAGGTCCTTGATCACGTCGCCCACGCCGGCGTGCAGCACGTAGAACCCGACGCGCCGCTGGATGTTGTTCTTCACGCCGCGGTTCTCGTTGATTATCCGTGCCACATCGCCGGCCGTCTTGCGCTCGGGGTTATTCGAGTTCACCCGGAAGCTCACTTCGTGTTGTTGAACGCTGCATGAGATTGGAATAGAAAATAAAACCTTTAATAATATATAACTAAACCAAGCGAGGTTCGAGGTTATATACCTCTAAGAGCTTGCAGTTTTTATGACCTAACTCCTTTCCTAATTTCCGAAAAATGGGTTTGCCAAAAAGTGAGAAAAAACCCTGGACTTCTAAGGCCATAACTTTTTTGATTATGATCCAATATTTAAGTAGCATAATTCTATAAAATTGTAGTTTTATTCTCTAACAAACTGCATCATTAGTTTATTTAATATTTTTGGGTCAAATTTTTGCAGTTTTTATGACTAACCCTTTTTCTGATTTCCAAAAAAATGGATTTGCCAACATAGGACAAAAATTCACTACTTTCCAAGTACTTTTCTGATTTTAATCCGATTTTAATGTGTCATGCGCCTAAAAGTTTGTATTTTAATTCTCTAACGAACGAATAATTATATCCAATATACTAAAACCAATTAAAACTTATTAACACTCACGTTAAATAAGAAAAGTATCCCTGCATGTGTAGTATTTGCTCCAGCTCCTTCATGATGCGCTGCCCATCGTTCCAACTGTCAATTCTGCAACGAATGAAATATATTAAATTAATAAATTAAGTAATTATTAAGTAATTATTAGTTAGCTAGTAAAAAAAGGACTCACGGGTTCTTGACGAACACATGCACGTATTCAGTGTCTACGGTGTGCGGCGCATGATCCTCGGCCGAGTGCTGCTGCTTCATCACCTTCTTCTTCTTGTGCGCGTCGTCCTCGGCGTTGCCCTTGATGTGGGCGGGCAGGACCTCCTTGTTGCCGTTCTCCTCCAGTCGGCGAGCCTTCTCCGTCTCCAGTTGGTTGCTCAGCTCCGAGGAGCCCGGGGATGGGGGTCCCAGAAGAGGACCCGGCTTCTTCACATCCAGACGCTCGTGGCGGGCGAAGCCCAGCATGTTGGCCAGAAGGGACTGCTTCACGCTCTCCGGCTCGTCGGCCTGCATCCCATCGAGATCCTGGGCATCCTGCGGCATCAGGAGCAGCCCGCCTTCGGTGTAGACGCGCTGGCTCTTCGACTGCCTTGGGAAGCTGTTGGAGGCCAGCATGGCCTCCTCCTCGAGGGGAGTGAGTGAGTTGCGCAGCAGTCCCGACTCGAAAGCCAGTTCCCGCTGCTGCAGGTCCGCGTCATAGGGATCCGGCTGCCTGAAGGCCGCAGGACGTCGCTTGGCCAGCTCGGGAGTGGTTTCTAGATCGGATTCCGCGTGGTGGAAGTTCAAAGGCGGCTCCTGCACCAATCCCTGCTCATCGGCCAGTTCGCGGAAGAAGGATCGCTTGGGCTGCACCTCCTCCACTTGCTCAGCACCCAAGGATCCTCCCGATCCGCGACTCCTCGTCCGCTTGAAGGGCGCAAAGTTGTCCGGGAAGTAGAGCTCACTGGACTCGTTCACCTCTTCGGGTGGCACGTAGACCGGCTGCTTGGCCTGCTCCTGCTGCTCCTTGAGCTGCCGCTCCCGCTGCTGCTGCTGCTCCACCATCGCCTCCAGCTGGTCCATGGCGTTCTGCTGATTCCGCTGGTAGGGCTGCGGATCCGGCTCGGAGGCTGCCAGGATCTGGTAGAGCTCCTGGCGATTCCGCTCCGCGTTCTGCTCCCCGGCCGCCATCTGCTGCTCCCGCTCGATCCGCTGGCGCTCGGTGTCCAGAAAGGTATCCATGATGCTCGGCGCGTCCAGTTGGTCGCTCTGCCCGTGGTTGTCCATCTTCCCGAAGTGCTCCAACTCCGAAGGATCGTGCCTCAGCCGCCGGCGGTCCTGCAGCATCCGGTTCAGGTACATATCCTCCACATCCGCCTCCGCATCCGCAATCGCATCCTGCCGCACCTGCTTCTTCCTCAGGGCGGGATAGAACTGCGCCGGCTGCTCGTAGTAGTCGAGCTCGGCTTCCGGTTCCGGCGGCGTGAATCGCACGTAGGCCATCGCACTGGCCGGATCCCCGAACTCCGGCGGAGCAGGCGCCAGGTTGGCGCACAGGTTCGGTGGCAGCTGCTGCTGCCGCTGGAGCGAGAAGAGGGATCCCTGGATGCGGCATTGGACGTACGGGTGGTCCCAGCCTAGGCCGGCGCCCTGGAGCTCCTCCAGCATGGTGGCCAGCACACGGGACTGCTCCTCGGAGAGAGGTGTCCTTTAAGTATGGAGAAACAAGAATGTTAAGTGGGATTTTATTTGGGGATCTACTGTGGGGTCATTACTTCTCAATGTCCTCAACGTCGACACCGGTGGTTGGGATGCACTTGCCGAATATGTTGTCTGCAATTTGGATTTAAAATAAAATAAAGCGAGTTAGTTGGAGTTAAGCCAGTGGTATTCAAAGTTTTCCTTCCTTGTATTTATCTTGAGCAACTGCTGGTTTTTTTACTCTCTGCTTAAAAGTACCATTTACTTTGTTTATTGGTTTTTATGTTCTTTTAAACTTTTTTGCCAAAGAAAGTTTACTGAGAAACTCAAACTTATTTCCCCTTTAAATTGTTAGTTGAAAACTGTTCAAAAATGTTGGGTTATTAAAAAAAAACATTTTCTCCTAAGGAAAATAAACTTTATATTTGAATAGGAAAACCATAATTTCGAATGAACCATAATATTTCGATCAGCACGGTTTAAATGTCCTTTAATCCTGACTTCTCAATAACAATTTTTCCATATTATCTGTCTATATAGTATCATTGTCTGCCCTCTTATATGGTCATCCTGCACTCCTTTAATTGCCTTTGCCGAATATTCACGGGTAATTGCGAGCTCTCTCACTTTTTTGCGCTATTGTTATTATAAGTCCCGATATTAATAGGGCATGTAAATGCATTAATGCCGGCCATCTTACAATGGTTTTTCATAAAGTAGAGTAGAGTGTCCTCTTCCCCGAATTTCTGCCATCAGCACCTTTTGTTTTCATTGTGATTTACGACCATTTAAATGCATATCCTTGTGGCTTGTCTCGGCGTAATTTGCATAATGTAAATGCTTCTCATGCGGACGGAACCGTGACTGCGGCGACTGAAACTGCAGTGGCAAGTCTGGGTTGTGCATACGAGTATGTGTGGGTGGGAGAAACGCCCCCCTACACGCCCCTTTTGAGGTCAACCATTTCAGTGCAATTTTCGCCATTTTTCGCAGCGTTTTCCCAGCTGGCGTTGCAGCTGCTTTTCCAATTGTTCCTGCCTCCGTTTTCAGGCTCCCTTTTCCTTCTCAGCTCGTTGTGCTTACATAAGTAATTGAGTGTGTTCTCGATAATGCACTGCCAGTCGACACCCATCTGGAGTCCACTTCCCCCACTTCACCCTCCTCTCCTCCTAGTTTTGTCCCACTTTGTTTCGGCGTGAACTCTGCCCGGGATTGAAGAGCCCTGCAAATACGAATTATATGCCAGGGGCCAGAGTTCGGATCCAGCTTCTCCTTCTCCGGCTTCTGAGTTTTTGGTTTCCCTGCTCCGTTGTGTCGAGTCACACAACTCCGTGTCCTCTGACCCACAAAATGGTTTTGTCTCGAGATGCATTTCGGCAGCAAAAGTGGGTAATGGCGGCGGAAATCGACAGTGAAAGCTTTTCTTTTGGCTTAGATTCGGATTCGGAGTGCTTAAAGCAATTAAAGTCAGGATGGCTTTCTATTTATTCTACAGAGTATATTTCGAAACATTTTCAGTGCAAATAATAGTTTATTAAGGGCTTCAGGCTTTTTGAACTACAAACCAGGAGCTAGAAGTTTTCCCAGACTTAATTTTCAGTAAATAAGTTTCTGTAGTCATAATTAGTTTTACCTCAACTAAACTAATATCAACAAAATTTACATTTTCGAATAGGTTTTATGGGGCTTCCTGGTGTTCAAATAAAAACCCAAAATGTTTGTTAACTTTTGATTATCATTAACTTTTGCTTATTCAGCTATTCAAATAAAAAGCCAAAATTAAATTTAAATATGAATTTCAAATAAAAGTTTTGCAACTAGTTTTTAGCTGAATATTTAAACTCATTATTATCGAACTAAAAACTGAAACTTTTCCTCATTCTGCATGCTTAAGCCCTAAAATATAGTTTTATTTTTTGACAACCCATTAGCAAAGTTAATGCCCTTGGAGAACTTTCCCTGACGGATTATTAAACCCCCTTCGAATGAAAAACTAATGAAGTAAACGTTCACTTCCATTTAGCGTACTTAAAGCCACGAATTCAGGGGGGAGGACTTAGGCTTTTGCTGCGAAACTATCCTGCTAATCCCGTTTGCTGGCGGGCAAATTGAATTTCCACGAACTTGGGCCGCCTTTGTTTTCTCTGTTTCTGTTGTTTGCAAACAACCCGCCGATGGCCACAATCTGGGCCTTAAGTCCGTCTTAACTGGGTGTCGCCGTCTTATCGCTTATCTACTCACCATCGTAGCAGACCTCGGAGTGCGGTATGCATAGCGTCCTAACAAACTGGCAGCCTGCAAGAAAATAAAAAAAGCGTGAGAGGGGGAAAGTCTTTGGTTAGTACATGAAAGAGTTGTTTAACCGACGCCATTATGAGCGGGTAAGTGGTGGAAAGCCGAGCAGGCGGCTTTCAGTTGAGACATAATGATGTGGTAAGAGCCAAATCAGCATTACGTCGCTAAGCAGACTCTCGACACCCCAATCCCGAAAGAGCCAAAAAAAAAAAAAAAAAAAAAAAAAAAAGGAAGGAAGCTAGCTTCGGCAAGCCGAAGCTTATATACCTTGCAGTCATCAAATAGAACATCAAATAGAACATCGAAGCTACGACGACTTTTCTATTAGTTTTCCATATTTCTGACTATTGTTCATATGGCCGCTATATGATATAGTTGTCCGATTTTGATGAAATTTTATTTCCTATTCAAGAGTCGTTAGAAAACTCTATATTCAAAAAAATCATGATTTTCTTATAAGAAATAACGATGTTATCATTTTATTTCTGTTAATTCTATATAGATTTTTCGATCTTTCCTATGGCAACTATATGATATAGTTGTCCGATTTTTATGAAATTTTTTTATAAATCAAGGCTAGTTAAAAAACTTGATACTCAAAAAATCATGCTCGTGGGATAAAAAACAACGATGCTATCAATTTATTTCCATTAATTCTATATATATTTTTCGATCTCTCCTATGGCAGCTATATGATAGAGTTATCCGATTTTGATAAAATTTAAACCGGAATTCAATAGTAGTTAGAAAACGTCATCTGGAAGAAATCAAGTCGATCTGATCAAAAACAACGGAGTGAGAATTTTTTATTTCATTCTCTCGTATTGGAGCTATCCGATATAGTCGGCCGATCCGGCTCGTTCCGACTTATATACTGCGTGCAATAACTACACACCTTTTGGGAAAGTTTCAGCAAGATAGCTTTAAAACTGAGAGACTAGTTTGCATAGAAACAGACAGACGGACAGACGGACCGACGGACCGACGGACAGACGGACAGACGTACATACATTTTTCGATTCAGATGGTGATGCTGATCAAGAATATATATACTTTATGGGGTCTAAGGTGTCTCCTTCACTGCGTTGCAAACTTCTGACTGAAATTATAATACCCTTTTGCTCTGCAAGGGTATAAAAAAAAAGAAAAAAAGAAAGAGGAGAGCCCCATCGTCATCTTGTGAATTCTCTGCTATTTTTCCTGGCGGTGTCATGTGTCGCTTGCCTGACTCTTGGCTAAATAAACGCTTTTTATGAGCATGTCGCACATGGCCAACACACACACACCCGCACACACTCTCACACATACGGAGACAACTACAAATTCCTGCCCCGAAGGATGCCCGAATATATCCTCGTTGGCCGTTAGTCAAATGTCTGTTAGCGTTTCTGTTTCTCCGTGTGTGTGACGTCAACAAGGAGGCCCGCATCGCAATGGGGAATTTGCCAGTGAAAAGTTACCCCTTCCCCCTCCACTTTCCACTTTCCTCTTTTGCAGAGCATCGTGTGTAACGCACGTCCTGCGAGTCCTGTGCTGCGAGTCCTGCCACCCACGCCCAAAATGGCGTCACTTTGGAACTTTGTTGTCAACAGTTTTCGTGGTCTTTGCCTGGCTTTAACTTTGGCCTGTGACAGCCGAAAAGAGCGACGACGACGACGCTTCGACATTCGTTGGCCATTAATTAAGCCAAAGTAATTTCATTTTGCTGCCACAAAACCTCCGCTGCCACCATGCCGCAAATGCCGCATCTCGGGCTGTTTTGTTTTTAATTGCTGAATAATTGCAGCCCGGGCGAAAAGGGCAGCGAATATTAATCTCAGCGGACCAAGGGTCCCGGTCCATTGGCGATAAGAAGTTAAGGAGATTAAGTAACTCAGTTAGAAAAGAGTTTGCTTGAAGAGGGACAAGAATTTAGTGACAAATTTATCAGACGAAAGGGAAAAAGTAGCAGTGCGTTTCTGCAATATATAATGAACTAAAGTCGTGTAAAAACTGCTAAAAGAATTAAAGAGCATTTTAATGTTGAAAGCGAAAATAAAATACATAGAAAATGAAGATTCTATCTCATCCTGATAAAAGTTATAAAAGTAAAAAAGTAAAAAACCCATTTAATTCGCACCCAAAAACCTCTTTCGTTTTTCACTCAGACACTTGCCATTCAAGTCGACTATAAAGTTCTTAATGACTCTTGGCTTAAGTGCGATAAACTTGATTTTTATTCTCCGTGTAGTTAGTCGTTAGTCGAGTGGCTACATTGTTTGGCCATATGGAGTCCCTGCCATCGCCTTTGTGCTCTCGGCATTGTCGAGTCGACAGATTGAAGTGCACTCCGTGAGCAGAGCAAGCACCATAAACGCTCACTTTGTCTCCTTTTGGCCGAGAGTCCTGTTTCTCTGGGAAAGCGGAAAAGTGGGAAAAGAGTCGATAACTGTGGCGACAGAGGCCGTCTGTCTATTTATCAATAGGCCAACAGAGACGTGACCTGAATGCCGAACGACCAGCGATATTAGAAGACCGAGCGCGAAAATAGAAACTAATTAAATGAGATGGCCAGGCAATTTTGCCGCAAGTGAACGTTCTAATTGTGATGGCTATTCCTAGCTATTTTCCTGGTTTTCCTGTTTTCCCTGGTTTCCCTGCTTTTCCTGGTTTCCCTGTTTGCAATAAGAGCTTGAAGAGACCAATCAACCCGGGGGATCAGAGCTCCGCAGTCTGGCCTCATAAATATGCGAGCTCATGGCCAGGTAAGCTGCATTGTTTTTCCGATTTTCCCTGTCTTCCCTTCCTGTTTTTCACCTCCTTTTTTTCCTCCCACTGATAAGGCTACGCGGCGTATGCGCAACGTTACGTGCCGTTTTCATAGGCCATTTTAACGCCCTTGTTGAACCATGCAAATGCTCGCCGACCATCGAGTGCGGCAATAAAAATAGGAGGCATCCTGCGACTAAAAGCTTTTACGCCAACAAAATCCCCTTCGAACAGGGAAAGTGTCTCTCTTCCCTTTCTTTTTTTTTTGCATTGACTCGTTTTTTTAGTTGCCACTGAGATGCAACTATTATTTATGGGGACTTCGATTTACTACGCAGCGCACTGAGAGGCGGAGACCTCGACCGCAAGGAGGAAATGGCAGGACTCGTCCTGCATTCATCGTGATGGCCAATCAACAAATCAAAACCTCTGATGGCAAGGGAGGACAGGGGGCAATCGTCCTTTTGTGCGGGCCCTGAATTGATTGATAAGTCGCCTGTCGATTCGATTCGAACCGAACGCAACTTGATTGCAAATTCCCAGTAGGGAAATCTTGGACAGCCTAAATTATGCCACAGGACGACGACAGAACGACGGTGGCTGTGGCTGTGGCAACTGGAGAGGCAACAATTTAATAAATTTGCCGCCCCAAGGCGAAATTGAAAATTCCGAGCGCATTCAGCCCCATGTTGTTGCGGTTGCTGTGGCAGCAGCCTCAGTGCCTCAGTAGAACAGAACGGAACGGAACAGAGGATGCCCCCGCATTTTGATTGATGTCCACCGGCAAACCGCACATAGTTAAGAGGAGCGGGAGGAAAACCCCCTCCCCCTCCTTGGAATTTTTCGCCTGGCAAGGGCTGTTTACTTATGTGACTCTCCGGTTGCCGGTGAGGTTTTCCCAGGTCCTTCAGGTCCTCTCTGCTTCCTTTTGGGTCAAGGCGTTTAAAATGAAAAAGAAAGATTTTCATTTCATAACGACATTTTTTCTCCTGTCATCTGGCCACGACGCAGGCACAAATACAGAGTCATCTCGGACACACGGACAGAGGGCACAGGACACGTGTGGCGGAAGGACAACGTGTGGCATGTGGCATGTGCAACTTGCGGGGGCGAGCGTTGAGAGCCCGGCGACGTCTTTAATGACAATAACGAATGTCCGCACTCTGATTACGTGCCGCATTCACAATCGCCCCGAGCAGATAAAGTCGGAGTTTTAACCCGGACATAAAAGTGTGCCAACATTAATTTTTGGTTGTGAAAAGGATTTTCAAATTTTATAATTTTTAGGCGTACTTGTTAGAAATCTTTTTCCGAAAATTGATGTAAAAACTCTGCCAAAAGGGTTTCCATTTTTCTAGGAAATTAATATGTGCAAACATACAAGCACACCCTCTAAACAAAATATATTTTATTATTCTTCATTCTCAAAAACCTCGAGCTGCTTAAAATTATTATTCTGTGGAATACAATGAGCTCAATTAGAAGAAAACAAATTCTCGTTTGAATATTAAACATCAACCTGCAACCTTTTATCCTCATTCGTGTGGTACAATAACCAATTGCCAAGCAGTGCTTACTATAGCACAATTGCCAGATCAGGCAGGATGTTGTGAAACACGAAAACACGAAGGCGAGGCATATTTTTCTTGGCCAGGCTGGAGAGATGCGTTAAAGCCGCGCCGGGGGCCACAATACCCGCGTTGACAGCGAGTGTCAATGCTGGGCGAACCAGGCGAGCAAGGCGAACAACTGTCAGGCAGGCGGCACAAAGAAAATAAATAATAACAAAGGACATTAATCATGACAACGACAAGGCAAAGGACTTTTTCCCAGGCGGGGATTGTGGAGGGGAAAGGAGGGAGGGGGAGATACTGGCAGGGCCAATGGCAAAGCAAACATGATGCAAGTGTTCCACACAGCTCGTTAAAGGGCAGCATAACAAGTACACAAAAGCCAGGACTCAGGACACAGAAGGCAGGACTTTGGGGACAGGACGAAAGAGAGCCATGGTGTGTGGCGCCTGCTTATGCATTAAAGTCGCTCCTGCCTACTTGACTTGCTAAGCGTTTAATGCCATCGCACACATGCGCCGCGCTAAGCAAACAGAATAACAAACAAATAAAAAGCTCGCAGGATGCATTGCTCCTCCGACTTTCCCTGCTTTTACCCTCCTGCTTTTGGCCTCCTGCTTTCGGCCTGGCTTAGTTGCAGCTGGCAGCTGCAAAAGTTGTCGCTGCTCGGCAGCTTTATTAAGTGTAAATAAGCGGCGGCATTTCACAGCAGCTCCGGGTCCTGCAGCCAGGCTCCCACGCTAGTGGGGCATTCTTCTTGGCAGGACGAGCCACACCACAGCACACCACACCCCACCACACACCACACACACATACGGAAAAAATTAAGTGTTTTCTACACGAAACAAGGAACTTGGCAGCTCAAAGAGAGGAGAATCCTCTCCGCAAAAAACAAGCATTACTTTTAATCATTCAAAAGACTAACAGCGTGATAGTGAAAGTTGCAGTACAAAAGTTGCCAGTAATGTATATATTTCAAAAGTTATTTAAATATTTATATTTGTTGTCTACTTAATGCGGTTCAAATGTGAAATGTTTTCTGAAAACAGAAAGTAATTAAATCTTACTTTGGATGTTTTTTTAGTTTAGTAACTGTTGGAATGAATAATCCTTTTTAAGACTTTCAACCTTTTTTTCTCTCTGCATTTTCCTTCAACATGTTGCTGGCAGTGAGTCGTTTTTCATTTTCTCCCCAACGCCGCCGGCTCCTTGATTTATGCGAACTCATTTTATTCATAAATTTTAAACACGTTTGACGTCGCTGGTTGGAGGCTATGGAAATTGGGTGGCGGGAGGAGGGCTTTCCCCACTGGTATGCCAACTGTCTCTGTCTTCCTTTTCTTTTTCTTTTTCGTTTTTTTGGGTGGAGGGGGTGGTGCTCCGTTGATTTATCTAGCCACATTTCTAAACAAATATTTTTGGCCCCTTCCGGGCAGCCGACGCCAGTGACCCAAGCAAATTTGGCACGCAATTAGGCAAGTTGGTTCTGAATTTCTCGGCCACTCGGAAGCGAACGGCCAGCATAAATACAAAGTTTTTATGGCAGCCACTTTGACGCCTCATCCTCATCCTATGTCAGAATAGGACTAATAAATTGAGTGCCACTTCTGACCAGGCCGAAACCCGTAGCCAGAAAAGATAAAGTGCTGCAAGCTCCGTTCTGTGGGGCAACAAAAATGTTTATTTGTTTTCGGTTCATCCAACACGAACCTCCGGGATGTCAACACTGTTCAAATATGTGTCAAGTACCTGTCGAAAAACTGTTTGTTTATAAGATAAGCAAGATCTAAAGGACTCTGGTGGAAATATGAAACAGATGCCAAGGAAATATTGGCAAGTGTAAGGAGCAGTTCTCGATGACTCCTCAAAGTATGCAAGCGTTTGAAAATAGTCGACACATTTTGTGTTTGTAAATACTCGAAATGTACTTGTTCAATTGAAACTCTGTCAACTTGGCTGTATTTCAATTTTATTCTGTGACACTCACATATCAATGGCATAGGAAAACGGAAAAGGAATAGCTCTATAGCGCTCGTGGGTTCTTCAAAAAAAATAATTTGTAAGCTAAGCACATTGCCAAATACCACCTCAAGTTATGCAATACAATTTTAGATGATTTTAAATGATTATAAGAGACACAGAATTGGAGTCTTACTCTTGAGTAATTATTCAATTTACTTATCGGTTTTCCTGACTGTTTAAATGACCAATTTCCCATTGCAGTGTCCAGTGCATGTCTAACGAACTTGTCTCATTACCAAGACTCTCTGTTTCAGCCAGGTTTAAATTTCAGTTAGAAAGAAGAAGGATGAGCTGGGAACTCGATTTCAAATTAAAACTAAAAGTGGGATTGGCTGGCATTTACTTGTTTCTGTCTTTGCATGTTAAACCTGGGTTTTCGGTACATAAAAGAGAACGTTCTGTTGCTCTGCAAAAACGAAGTAAGGACTGCACATCAATTTTGCATTTCATTCATGAAGTCCTTTGAATGCGAACCTTGCCTTTTTCGGATTCTCCCCGCCATGGCAGCACTTTGTGTGCGATTTATTAGAAATTCCGTTTCCAAAGTGACCTGAAATGGACTGCATTCTTCCCTGGCCAAAACCGAAATGGAAACGAGCAGCCTGCGAGGGGTTTTGGCCCACAATCGAATACGCATTTGGAGCTGAATCGAAATCAAAATTCCAAATATGATGACTGATTGCTAACCCCAGGCGAACAAACGGGTGCAGGTTGCTAGGCAGCCAGGTTGCCAGGTTGCCAGGTTGCCAGGTTGCCAGGTTGCCGTCATCCTGTCAGTCTCCTCCAGCGGCTTTCGGCAAATTGCAAGTCAGCAAATGCATCCTCGATTCATCCGAAGAGCACCGCCCCTTCATTTGCCATGGATTTATGCCAGGTTTGCTGGATCCAACCCAGATCAATTTAATGCAAATCCCATGCAATTGGCTTTAAGAGCACACCGAATAAAATAAATTGAAATTGAACGCCCACAATCCGTTGAGTTTGCCGTGGGCGTGGCCGATTTGCGATTCGATCAAATTGATTTAATTAAATGCAAATAAGTCGAAGTCGAAGTCATCGTCGCCACTTTGCGCCCCAGCGAACTTAATGTGCAATTACTTTTCCAATTTGCCATAAAAGAATACACACAAATCTTGATTGCTTATTACTTGGGCCACATTTTTCACCATTTCCCCATTTCCCGGCCTACAGGGGCACCCTCCTCCCCTCATTTTCCTCCTGTTCCTCCGTGTTCTTTCTCGCCTCTTTGGTTTTCATTAATGTTTAGGCAGCTTTTAATTTGCGTTCATTAATGGGGCGGCGGGGGAAAATCGAAGGAGGGGCGGGGAAACCCTGCTGATGGCCCCCGAAAACAGGATTCGCTCATGAATTTTCATTAATTTGCGCTGCGGCTGTTTGTGTTGCTATTGTGCATGAAAAATTCATTAGATTTTTTGCATAAATTATGACCCAACAAAGTTAAGCGAAGATGGGAGGTAGAGCACCACGGAAAACAAGTGAAAATTATTCCGCAAACTTTTCCAGCTACATTTTTGGCTGACAAAATCGGCCAGTTTAATCGTTGAACCGAACGCAAACTTAGGTCAAATATTTGAAGCCCCGAAAGTTTCCACCTGACAGCCCCGAAGGACCAATTAAAGTTGTTCCAACACAGGAGACCCCAAAATGTCAAATTAAATATGACCTACTTTTTGGTCAGTTTATTAATTTAGATTGGCGGAAAAAGGAGTTTTTCAAAATTGCATTTTGGTTAACACAAAATGATAATTTTGATTTCACTGGTGGAAAAAAATATCTAACTTCCATAAGTTTTAAGGATAGAGCCAAAGATTATATTATGCTTAATTATATATTAGGTTTGAGCAGTTACATATTAATTATTATACAATTATTTGGATACAAATGTTACAAAAGAAATTAGCTCCTGGGATCGGCAAGCCTAATTATTGGCTTGGGAATTTCCTTGAAAAGTCCGCTACCTTTGGATTTGACTGAGTCGTTGACACTTCGTTTTTCAATGGGCATTTGACTTTCCATAATTGGAATTGATTTGATTTTTTTGGATTTGGATGAGTTCTCAGTTCGAGGAGCTACCAAACCACCGACCATTGTAAGGCGACGTTGGATGCGAGAAGATGGTTTTGGAGAAGATTTTCTAGGATTTACAGGGTTTGTTTTTAGGGATTCTTCTTCTGGAATTTGCTCTTCCGAATTCGTGGCGTACTCCCGATTTTTGAGATACGAGGGCGAAACTTTCACGATTTTTTTAGGCATTTGAAAGGGTACTAAGGACTTCGTGGAATCCTCCTCATCTTCAATAGCTTCCGAACTGGATTCATAGCTGCTCTCGGTTCCGTCATCAGTATCGGAAAACAGAACAGCACAGCATTCGGAAAAAGAAGAATCATCCTCATCGCTGGTGGAATCAGAATCATTAGAGTCCGATTCACCTTGCTCCTCTTCGTCGCTCTTATCGCTATCCTCGATTTTTGAACTGAGATACTCTTGCAAAAGTTTTCGCTGCTCCTTAATCGACAAGCTCATCAGTTTGGACTTGTCGAAGAGCTGGTTGGCCAAATCCTCCACACAGGATGGACTCAACTCCTTTGCCTTCTTGCCAGCTTTCTGGAGTTTCTGCAGATCCTTGGACATTTTGTAAGATTTTGTACAGTAATTTGGTAAGTGGCACAAATATTTTTCTGTTTTTTTACCAGAAAACTAGGTTCTTACTGAACGACTGCCTGAGAAATAATGAGCTATTCAGATTGAAAATCAACTAAGTTTCAAGAACTGCCTGCTTGGGTTCCTTGCTACATTATCAAGTAAATTATCAGCAAATAAACCTTAAAAAAATATATTTATTTTACCCCTTCACTTTCTGAAGAGTGTGGTTTGGTGTGTACTGTAATTTTCCCCACGTAATGGAGAGTTATTTGATTTTTGACCCTAATTTGTTTGACCCACCATCGGAATCAATTACGGTGGCGCCGCAAGTGTGCCTGCCACGCAGGTGGGGCAATTTATTTGTGCGGTCTCCGGCAGATAAATCAAATCATTAGCTGCGAGGTCATTCGAGCGGCAGCGAGGGTCACTGGGTGGGAAAGGGAAAGGGTGGGTGGTGGGTGGTTTCTGGGTTGGTTGGGTGTGTTAATGCCAAATTAGAGACGCCCAATGGAGCGTGATTACAGCAGGCCAAACATCGCAATGGCGACGCATAAATACGCATTTGGGGGAGAAATGGGGAATACGTGGGGAGTTCTATATGTGGGCGGGAGAAGCGCTTATTTGCGTATGCGTGGCACATAAAAATCGAGTTCTTATTAAATTTCCGCACGCCTACACATGTCCTGTGTGCTCCTCCTGCTCCTCCTCCTAAATGGTGGGATAACCACCACCCCGGTCTTAACCCATGTCGGCTGTTGGCAGTTGGGAGCAGCTGTCGGGGTCCCTGTTTCCCGGCATTTGCTCAATGAATTTTGCATGTTTTCTGCCTTTTTCCCATGTACGCATGTTTTTTACACTTGCCGCAGGCCAAGAAGCACTTTCTCGACTCTGGTTTCCTATTTGCTTGGCCCTCTGTGTTGCACCTTCGAGGCGAAGGCCGAGTAAACAATATTAACATTAAATTAACATTTATTTGATTTTGCCAAAGGTTTCCCCCGACCCCACTTTCCCACTTTCCCCCGCCTTTTTGTCAAATAAATACATTTGCATACATTACGCAACATATGAGCTCTCTCCTGGTAGTTTTTGGCCCACATTAAAATGGCCTAATGGTCCGCTGCCAAGGGCGGGCGAATAAAAAGCCACAAAATAGGAACAAAGCAGGGAATTGGGAACTTCAAAAGGCAAGCCGAAACAAAGTGGCAACAAAGTAATTGCAGGGATTTGCCTTGCGGCCATCGCGATGGGAAAATGTTAAGGGAAACTCTATGTGGGGAAAATAATACGCAAGAAGCAAGGAGCAAGGAGCAGGGGGTTTCCCGGGCAGCAGGACTAGCAACCAGTTGCCGCGCCATTTTCTCGTTTTGTTTTTCATCGCATTTCCTTTTCTCTCCTCTGGTTTTTTTAATGTGCCAAAATGTATAACTGTAACTGCTGTGCATGGGTTGTCGTTTGAACAATTTTACGCATATTTGCACTCAAATATAACATCTCCCCGGAATATATATATGTACACATATAGATTCTGGGGCCCACGCCCTGATATTTACGATGGCACGTTAATTTTTATGACATTTTTTCGCTGCCGATTCGGTTGCCCCTTTAAGCACCCGTCGCCAGACAGCGATTTCGATCCCATTATGTCGGCTTTATGTGGGGATATACATCTCAAAAGGGCCCACAAGTGCTCGCTAATAAACCTATTAAATTTGGCGATAAATGTTCGAGGGAAGCCTGGAAAAGCTTCACAAATTTAAAGCCATTTCTGGACATAAGAAGCTTATGGTCCAGAGCAATTCCAATTTGCCTGGCAAGTTCTTAGCATTTTGATGCGAGTGTAATGTCGTGAAGACCTATTCAAAGTACGTAAATAGAAAATTGTGCTAATAAATTTAAATCTTTCTTCTCTTTGTTCTATTCTGTTGTGATTTCCAAGAAAGCTTCGTTTAGGGCTTCTATTTTATTGTTGGATTTCCTTTGTTGCTCTCTATTTTTATGTACCTGCATCTTAGCAATGATTACGGTTATTATTCATTAGCCACGCTTTTCTCAGCTCGCCAGCTGGTGTTTTCCCTCGCTGTCCCTCGCTGATTATCTGCAATTTTTCTGACTATCAAGAGAGGGATTGGGAGTGGGAAATGGGGAGGAGTGTCTGGCCATGGTTCAGTGGCCATTCAATATCTTTTTATCCGCTCGATTGCTCATCTCTGAACTGCGACCTCTTTGTGTCTTCAAGATGGATCCCTGCAATTGGAGTTCAGGTGGGCGGAGCCCTCATCCCACGTGTGTGTGTGCTCATTGTTTCGCTTTTATCTCTTAATTACATCTTCATCTGGCCATTGAAAGCCTTCGGCTCGGAAAGTTTAATTAACTGGCCAGGAGCTCCTGTTGGCCACTCTGAAGCATCGATGAGCGGCAGATGCGAGTGCTTCGATTCGATATACTCGTACGTCTACTGGACATTATAGCCCCCAGTGCTCAGTTTTGTGTATTGAATTGCCACTAAAATCCACTAATATGACAGAACACCATATAGAGTGTGCAAGCAATGGCCGCAAATTCATTAATTTCAGGAATGCTTCGGAGTGCAGATAAAGCTATCAAATAGCCCACATGCCACAGCCAAAAACCAGGCCGAAATGTTATTTTATGCGGCTTGCCGTTCGCACTAAATTATCGAAATTTTTGGTATATGTACTTTTGTGCCTTGTTTTCCATGCCAATAAATTATGGCTTTACATACTATTTTCTCATGTTCAATTTAAAACGTTTTTGGTTAAATTTCAGCATTTATTAAAAGGTTAAGTTTATATGAAAGTACATTACTGTTTAGTATAAAAAATCTTGATAAAATTCTTCTATTATTTTTTGGGTCTTCCCTTAATTGAATTCCAGTAAAATTTAGTTAAGTGCCATGCCACACAAAGAGCAGTCAATGCATGAGCACCAAGCAATTTGTTTTCATTTTCTGTCTCAATTTTCAACAACCAATTTCCAGCTGAATCCCTAATCTCCGCCGACCGAATGCAGCCAACTGTTTTCCACTTAGCACGACTTAATCCCCTAAACGGAAACTCAAACTGAAAACTGGGATAAATCTGCCACTTCTCCGGCGGCGAGGACAATGGCAAATGAGGGGAAGCAGCAGTTACTGTGCCACTCGCATTCTAACTATATAGTATATGTATGTGCTCTATAGCTATATAGTAGTAGTAGTAGTGGAAAGTGGAAAGTGCGTTGTGGGCCTGCCGGCAGTAATTGCGGCGCTTAAAACGACAGACGAGTTTAGGGTTTAGCTGCAGATGCATTTAACTGCATTTTTACTGGCGTTTTCCAGCTTTCAGTTTTCGTTCTGTTGGCTTTCCCCGCCATTTCCCCCAAATCGAGCGTGCCGAAAAAGAGAAGCACAAAATACGTAACTCTTGAAAAGTTCGCATTCAGTCGAGCGCAAGGATACCGCCTCCACCGAAAGGAAAGGAAGCCTTCTTCGACTGAAGGCATTATATTCGGTTCACTGTTCCGATACTCGATTATGTCGGCAATATGTTAACGCTAACAAAGCCCCCGCCCGATTCGCGTCCTCGCAGGCAGACAGCAATTTGTTCCAAGTGACTTGAGCGTGGCGCAAATTAAGTGCATTTTCATTAGTTGCAAGTTGTTTGCTATTACTTGGACCCCGGGCCATTTGAGAAATTAAATTGCCAAGGAGTCGAAGTCGGGGGAGTGGCTCTCTAGCACTGCTCCGAGTTGGCAAACAGCAATTATTTTTCCGGCTCACATTCGCCCTCAACCTTGGCGGCCAAAAGGGATAGCCTTCCGACCATCCAACTATCCACTGGATGGACTATCATCATCTGCCCCACTCAACGCAGTCATCCAACCTTTATGAATTTCGGCCATGTGCAAAGTTATTTGCCAAACCAAAAGTGCAGTAGTGGGGGTAACAAAAAAAAAGAACGGAGAACCTTGCTCCACTTAAAACTGGATGGCTGGGGGATCGCCGAAATATTTGTGGCATGGAGTGCGGAAAAATACCGACAGCCACAGGATGTCAACAGGAGATTTTCGGGTTTAAGCCTGGAGGCAGAAAAATGCATTAGTCTTTCCACCTGTCCAACCAAAAAAGTCCGTAGTCATGTTTTTGTTTCATAGACTTTGGTTGTTTGGCAACTTTTCAGCAGGCGAAGTTTGACAAAGGCAAAAAGTGAGGGAAACACACTAGTTTACGATTTAGATGTAGCTTTAAGGCTTAGAATTTTACAGGGAAATGGGAACACCAATAAATGCTAACAATTTGTAAGCCCATAATTCCTCCTGCATAGAACATATAGACCAATCTGCACAGCACTAATTCAATGTAGATTCCAGGGGAGAAATGCAATCCATTCTTTTTGGAGCGAAACCATTGCACTCCTCTAATTCCAAATACACATCGACATCCATATAGCTTTTGCACAATTGCGGTTTGTGCGCCAAATCAACCGCAGAGCATGATGTAAAGCGGCAGCCAGAGGTTGGCCGCATTCCATTTGGCCGAAAATGAAAAATATAACGGGCTCACCAGGGCGTATACGCAATACGTAACAAGTTCGTCCAGGTTTCTGGTTTCTACATTGAAACTGCATTAGCACTGCGTCCATTCGAAAAGTTTTCAATGCCCGTCGTTCGTTTGGTTTCATTTCAACGTCCAACTAATTAATAATGCATTCGCAGCCGATTCGAAAATGTGAAAATGCGCGAAAAATGTAAAATCCAATTTCGATGCAATGCAAAAAGGGCCAAGTTTTGCAAGCTTTGCATTTGGCCTGCAACTGGATCTGAATCTGAATCTGGCTCTGCTTGAGATTGAACTGAATCTCATTAAGTGCTGCAAAATATGAAAACTATCTGGCGGGGCGGAAAGCTCTTTGCGACGAGTGCAAATATTTGTTTTTCAAATGAAATGAATAAATGCGGACAAAGTTGTTGGCTGGGAGTGGCTGCGCCGTCAGTTTGTCAGTTTAATGAAGTTGTTTTTGCCAGTTCGCCGTACTGATCCGCCTCGTTGGCCGACACGCCAACAAAGGTCAGTGTGTTAGACTGTTGCATGCAACAGGGAGTCCTCGAAGGGAAGAGAGGCGTGTGGCACCTCCTCCAGTTGCAGCACCAACAGCAACAGCAGCAGCTGCTGTTAATTAAATTTTATTGTGCAGCCATCAAAAGTTGTCCACCACAAAAGGGAGGGGTAAGGATGGGGGATGCAGGATGGAGTGGCAGGATGGAGTGGCAGGGACACCGTGAAATATGGCCACCAAGGAGCAGCAGGAGCATCAGCTGCTGCTAATGATGATGTTGCTTGTTGCCAGTTTGGTTGTTGCTTGTTGCTACTTGGTTGTTGCCACTCGCCTGGCTGCTAATTTATACACCACACTTGTACACACACACACACACACATACACACGGAATCCCAGCAACAACAATGTGGACGAGCAGTCAACTGCAAAGCCAGGACATTTATCTGTTTATGTATTTGTATTCAAACGGGCGAGAGTGTGCGTGTGTGCACCTGCAGCAGCAGCAGAAGCAGCAATCAATAAATCCCAGGACCCAGCTCCTGTTGATTCTTGCGCAAGCCTCTGCATAAATGCATGGGCGGAGCTCCCTGGTTAACTTTGCATGTGGGCCCTGATGTCTGACGTGCAACGAGAGCTGCAAATTTGCATGGCCAACAGGCAGCAGGCAGCACATAGCACACACAGCAGCCAACAGGAGGCAGCAACCAAACCAAGCCGAACAACAAAGGCAGCAACTAGTTGTTGCCATGGCAGCTATCCATGGGATGCTCGGCAGGATGCCATCCTCCCATCCTGGCATCCTGCCCCACCCACTTGCCACGGCCATGAATACGAGAGCAACTTTCGCAGCGAGATGAACACGATAAGCTGCAAAATGGAAAATGGTTAGCTCAAGTTCTGGCAAAACCAAGCTGACAGCTTGCGGTGGATAATTTATGCTCGCTCGCCATAATTGCGAAAATGTAATTCTTTTAAATACGAAATGAATTGGCTGCAGAGAAAATATTACTTCAATCAGATTATGGCAAGGAAATCCGTCCGCAAAGACATTTCATGGAAATGCTGAATAGAGATTGAGATAAATTTCGTAGAAATAGTAATATGATTGCTTTTTAATAAGTCCTATCAGAGAGATAGCCGCAAACCTATGAGTTGATTTAAATAATTCACCAGCAAAAGTAAACAAAAGCTCGCCAACATATTTGTTGAATTGCAAATTTATAACTCCTTTTAAATATTCATGGGAAATAAATGTTCTTTTTGATCGAATGTGCGAATACGCTTTGAATATTTTATCAGGTCAAATATGGGTAGAAAAATAGTAATTTAGAGAAGTGTGAATTGTTTGCAAAATGCATATTGCAATGAAAGTTTTTGACGGAAATAATATTTAACTTGTATGCATATTATACTTTCCCAGGAGAGTTTTCACTTTAAAATATAGGTTCTTTTCAGTTCCTTTACTTAATCAAATTTCAGACAGCCAAAAATCAATGCCTCTCGTTCTTTATTTACACGAACCGAAACAACCTCAACCTCAACCCGTAATTGGTGCAAACGATGTACCTTCGAAAATCGAGGCCTGTTGCACATGATATACGTAGTTTCGCCTGGCAACTGTAACTCGTTTAGCCTGCTTTCGGTTCAGTTCCGGCCGTAAAGGCCATTTCCTGGCCAAATCGGGCAGATAACTGCAATGCTGCCCTGTTGCACTACGGATTCCTCGCACTGGCCAATTGGATTATGCTCGGTGCGAGCTAAACTAGTTAAAAACATATTTGCACAATCCCAGAGCTCCGGACCTCCGAACCTCTGTACCTCTGGACATGGGCCATCTTGTCGTCGGGGGAGCGGGTTAAAAGCCATGTTCCTCGCCTGCGTGTGGATGTCTGGCTTTGTGCGTCAAAGTTTTAATTAAACGGGTTTATGTTTTCGCCCGCAACACACAAAAAGTTAACACACGAGGCGTGCCAGTCGCCCAGGGAAATCGAAGGAAACTGGGGACTAATAATGCATGTGGCTCTGCCTTTTATCGGTTTCGTTTTAGCTTGTACCAGTTAAATATAGATCTTTGAATTTTGTTTGCTTAATTGCAAAGTGTAGGCTTTTTTCTGTATTTTGAATAAAAAAAAAAAAGGTTGCTTGCTTTTAACAGCATATAAGTTTTTAATAAATTAGATTAAACAATAAGATAAATGAAGTTTAATCAATAAGATTAATACCTATGACTTTAAAAGGATATCTGCACGACTGCTCAGTTTTCCACCTTTGTGATATGTATTATTACTTCATATATACTTTTATATATTTATATATTTTTTATATATAATGTAAATATTTTCATTTACACTTACCAACATTGCCCTCCGCTTGAGCAAGATCTCCATGCGTGGTGAGCAGCAGGACCAGCAGGAGGACTCCGAATTGCAGTAGCTTGGGCGGACGACTCAGGGCGTCCAGGCTGCAGCAGAGTAGGCCGCCGCCCCCCGCCCCGCAGCCGCGCACCTCGCGCCGTCGAGCGCCCTCGCTGATCAACAGGCGGCCGCGGATGTTCGGCAGCGCCGCCGGCGGCAACTTCCGCTGGTGATGCAGTAGCTCGTGCTGGCGAGGATTCCTCGATTGCAGCTGCAGCTGCAGGTGCGGCTGCTGCAAAGTGGGGTGGCTGTCCTGCTCCTTCCCCTGCTCCTGATGCTCCTGCTGGTGCCGATCCTGCTGCCTCGGCTGCTCCCTCTGCTGCTGGTGGTCGAATGGAGTCGGTCGCTGCTCAGCCAAGGACTGCTGGCATGCTCCTCCCGCCGGTGGATCCTGGCCCTTGGCCACGCGTCGTGCTCTCTGGTGCTTCGGCTCTTCAGTTGTGGTGCATGGATCTTGCTGCCGTTGTTGTACATTGCTTGCCATGATAATCGGCACACCTGCAATGAGCAAAAATAATGGGTAAAAATAATGGCTGGCTAAAAATAATTGCGATGTTATCTTATCACGATAGATGAATTGCATTAACTGAATTAGCACCTAAATATAGCTTGAAAAGCCACCACAAACTAACTAACGAAATGCACTCCAATAACAATATTTCCCAATAACATTATGGTAATTTAAAAGCCATTTCAAAATATATTCAAGCTCAAAAATCAAATTAAATGCAGTTATTTTTATTTTTATCCTTGAAACCATTCTCAGAAACATTGTTTTGCCAAGTTCCCATTTTTCAATTAGCTTCTTTTGAGAGCACGAAGCCCGCACTTTGGTCGCCCACATCCCCTTGTAAATCCTCGCACAAATTTATGCTGGAATTTGCTCTAATAACCTGCTGCCCCGCCCACTCGAAGTGGGCGGTGTAAGCCAAGTACAGCCAACGTATTTTCGGTTGCTCCTCATTGTTGTTACCGGAAATTAGCAATGTATATTCCGGGGGCGCTGCCTCGGTTGCCTCTTGAGGGAAATTGCATTTTATTGTGCCTGGGACAACTTTTCGCTCTTCGCTTTTCCGGCATTTCCATATTTCATATTTTCACACAATGCCACCGGGCACCTCAAAGAAAAGCCTTAGAGGGTGGGGAAGGGAAAGGGGGGAAATCTGGGTGTTTCGGAGGGCTTGAGTGGCTGGAATCTTTGTGTTCGGAGCACATTTGTCGCGCTGCAGTTTCCGGTTTTTTTAGTTTCTCCACTTTTGTGTGGCCTCCGGTGACTCCGGCCACCGAATGCTTAGCGAATACTTCTTGCTCTTTATATGGTAATAAATGTCAGGGCTCGGCTTTGCCAAACAGAACAGCCTGCCGGCAGGGGAAATTGATTTTCTTTGCCGCTTGACTGGCTCGACGTGCCGATGGCCAGGTGGACGGGGATCTGGATTCCCAGTTCTGGGTTCTGGGTTCTGGATACCGTCTGGGTCATTTGGCGATAAGCGCCTCAGCCTCGCTCAAGGTTGAAAGATTTCCGATAGCTCATTTCATCTGAAGGGCGGAGCCGAAACGCCTACCAAATGGGATTCCAGCCCATCGACAGCGAGGAAAAGATGTGGCAGATTAAGCCCAACAAAAAAGAAACGTCAAATTATCGAGCGAAACAAGATAGCAAATCAAACAGCCTGTCAACTGCAAGCAAATAGGAATTGATATGTTTCCCAAAAGAAAAACTTAGTATTTATAAGGCAAATTATTTCATAACCATATACTTAAACTCTAATTACCAAACCATCAATCAATAAATCCCTCTATATTATGAAATCACATTCTTAATTTTGCTGACTAACTGATATCAACGAAAATCAAGTGCAGGCACAACCCAATCAATAAGGAAAAGTTGTTGGGGAAGGAACCCAAAGTTTCCATCTTAATGTTAACTAGTTTCGCATGCCAGAACTGCTGACTCACTTATAATAATAAAATTAAGCCAAACAAGCATCAATCAGGGAAATTCATTAGCAGGAAAAGAAATAGAAATAGGAATTTGTGTAAGCCCATGCCGAGCACAATATAAATGTCTTGGCTAACATCTCAATTACGGAAACATCTTTAGTTGTTACATGTCTGGGACATGGTAATATGATTTCAATCATTTCTCTCTCGAAACTTGCATGATTAATGTCTGGCAGATTCTTGCCCCCGGCAAGTGTCTTCTAATGGACTTTATTGCCTTGACACAACCCGACTGCTCCTTCGTTTTTCATGCCAAACTAGAAAGCCAAGTCTAAGCCCCAATAAGTTGGATAGGCCCAGATGACACCGCAGCATATGGGCGGGATAATTAATCATGGAACGAACGTGCCAGGACAGCCAAAAAGTTTTCTCCTTGAGAGCAAGGACTGCTAACAAAACTCAACCCAAGTGAAACACATTAAATCGAATCGGGCGAAAAGTTAAAAGCACGACTCTTTATGAGCCCGATGCGAATTCATGGCTGGCAAAAGGGAATATCTGATTAGTTGGCCTCTCGAATTCAATTAGGGTGGCAGGACACAACTTGCGGTGGCAGCCGGATGCATCATCCTTGGCCTCCTGGGCCGTCGTCCATTTCATCGGCCTCCTGCCGCTTCATTTGCCTGCGCTGAATAATTTATGCAACTCAATTAGGCGACGACCTGGCGATAAAGTTTAATAATTGCAGGTGTTCTCCTCCCCTTTTGCTCGCACTTTAATTAAAAGAACCGAGCAATTAAAAACGCATCATCAGGCAGAACACAACGAATGGCGGAAAAACTCGGGGCGATTGTAACCGAGTTCCCCGACTAGCAAGTACCTTGTCCTTAATTTAATTTATAATTTCTCATAATTTCAAAAGGGAAGCAATAAGTTTTTCAACTCGGGGGAATGGGAAACTTTTAGTGGTCTACCGCTTGTAAACTTTGTTTTAGAAAGTAAAGTTAGAAAGAGTGTGAACATTTTGAAAAAAAAAAATCTGAACCTGAAACAGAAAACCAGATTTCAATTCACCCCCCGAAAACAGAAAAAACACCAACTCGCAATGTAAATGTAATTTCCGCAGAGAGGAGGCAGCGCTAATGGGGCGTGGCACTTTTTTAATATTGTTAACAGCAAAGCGTTTCGGCCTTCCATATAAACAAGGTTCGGCCTGGGGAAATCCGGAGACGAAAAACCGCAGGTGGAACCAGTGGAAACCGCGTTTGCTACACGCAATCCGTGTTCGCGGGTCTCCTCCGCTTTAAACCACCGACAACCGCGACCACGACTACAATTAAAATGCAGGAAAAGAGCTCCAGATGAGCCTTTGTGCAGTATCCCGCCCCTGCATCCTCCTCCTCTATCGTTCCCAGTGCTTTTCCGCTTTTCCCGCGGCGACACGAGACTTATTTGCACATTGAAATATATTTCCCCCCACGAAAAGCCGCTGCACTTTCCAGTTCCCCGGCGCTTTTCAATTGGCTTTGTCAGCCAAATATTTCTGTGACTGGCACGTCGCTGCCATGGATTTTCCATCATCAATTTCAATTGAATTTGTTTGGCGCTACCGCGAAACTTTGATAACCCCAATAAAGTGCGAGTTTCGCAGGCAGATGTCATTTTCGTTTTTGAAAAATTATAGCTATTTTTCAACGCAGAGCTGCAAACTTTTTTAATCAGTTTACGCTGGCACCGAAAATATCGATATCGATAGAAGAGGTGTTTCAAAGGCCTGCTCTGCACGTCCAAACTCATGTTTTCTTATCCGGCAGTTGAGTGTGACTGGCCTAAAAGCAATTTATTGCATCCTTTGACTTTGAGCAGACACTCATTGCATTATGAACTTTCCGAAAGCAGCAATTAATGTTGTTTATTACGCTTCCTGAGCAGCAGCTGAAAGAAGTTAAATTGTTTGCCAAGAGCTCTTGGGAGCGCAAAAAAATATTTCTTGAGAGATTAAATAATGAAAAACTATTAAAACAAAACAGCGGGCCGCGAGAGTTTTTACATAAATGCAAAATGTCTTCTGAAAAATAATTTAATAACCCGATTAAAGCTCACTTAAAACTCAAATACATTTTCAATTATTAAGTGCAATAAATATCGAAAATTGCACATAGCCCTGATAAGTTCACAATGGCACAGTGTTGAGCATGTCCACTCTGTCCAACGAAAAGCGCACGGCTTGCAACACTATCGAAGTTTCTCGCATTTCCGGTCTTTTCAAAGAGTCACCTCACGTGAGTTGGATTAACTGAGAATAATATACAAGACTTTTGCTCGCAAATCCCTCGTTTGTGCTTTATTAATAGCGATGAATAAAATGCAAGAAATGGCAAAGGCTAACCAAAATGGATCCAAAATATCTAAGGAGTTCGCGGCGGAAATGGAGAAGGAAGTCGCCATTGAAATCCTCGCCAAGGATGATGTTGCCGAGGGAGGCTCTACTGGAGGGGGAAGCTCTGCTGCAGAGGGAATCTCAGCTGGAGAGGGAAGCTCTGCTGGAGAGGGAAGCTCTGCTGGAGAGGAAGGCTCTGCTGGAGAGGGAGGCAAGGACTGCCAAAAGGGAGAAATGAAGAAGCAAAAATTTCCTAAGGGAGACAAAGTAGCCAAGGACGAAGCTGACAACGTGAGCTCGACAGGAGGAGAAGAAGCACCTTCTGCCTCAACTGACAAGGAGTCCAAAAGCAAGGCTATAATTGACATCGAGGATCACTATAGGGAAGAGACAACGAAGAACCAAAAGTTTTCGAAGGAGGGCAAAATAAAACAGGAAGTCGCCGCAAGCATCTTCGCTAAGGATCAAGGAGAAGAAATAGGCTCGGCAGAAGAGGAGAAAGCACTTTCTGGCGCAAATGCTGAGGAGCCCGCTAGCAAGTCCATCATCGATGATCTTAATATTCGGAAGTTTTCTTCAAAAGAAGACTCAAAAGGAGTAGAAGAAGCCCAGCCTGTCTCCAGTTCCCAAAAGGGGTCCGACAGCAAGCCTAAAGTCGTCGGCAAGAGATTTAAGTTTGTTTCCAAAGAAGAAGCTGCTGTAGGAGAGGTAGCACCTCCTGGCCTCAAAATCGAAGGTGAGGATCGACAGAGGGGAGCCATGAAGAAGAAGCAAAAATTACCAAAGGCAGGCAATGTAACTAAGGAGTTCGAAACGCACATGAAGAAAGAGGTCACCGCTTATATGAACGCCAAGAATGAAGCTGCCAAAGAAGGTTCTTCTGGAGGAGAGAAGGCACCTTCTGGCTTAAGCGCCAAGGAGTCCGGCAGCAAGCTCAAAATCGACGACAAGGATCGCAAGAATTCAAAGAAGCTTATCCGGATATTGCCGGCCAAAAAAACGCAAGATGAGCAATCCACCGCTGAAAGTACGAGCGATGATGAGTCTTCCGACGAATCTCCCGACCTTAAGGGCAAGCGGGACGATCTGAATTCGTTAGAAAACTTTCGTGCCTGCGAGAATCACAAGCACTGTCGCGGGGAGAAGAAGGCACGCCGCGTCCTCATGAAACTGGACCTCCGGCGCGTGGAGGACGTGGCCCGCTTGACCATCAAGCGGAGCAAGAACCTTATGCTGTACATCGATAACCCCGAGGTGTACCAGGTGCAGCACACGAAGACGATGATCTGCTTCGGCCAGCTCCGCATGGAGGAAGTCAATAGCTTGGCCACCAAGGCGGCGGAGGCCACCACTCGCTTCCGAGTGCCGCCAACTGGAGCTGGCAAGGGCAACAAGGACAAGGTTGAGGAAGCCGGTGCTGTGTCTTCTCTGGCCGACGAAGACGACAATGGGGAAGTGGACGAGGCGGCCGCCAAGAAGGTGAAAGAGAGGGACATCGACTTGGTCCAGATGCAGGCCGGATGCTCGCGCGACAAGGCCATCAAGGCTTTGCTGAAGACCGACAACGATGTGGTCAACGCCATCATGGAGCTAACCATCGCTTGAGACGCCAATTGAAACATGATAAACAAATTTCTAAAACACTAAAGTAACAAGTAACAAGCAAAAACTTTAACAAATAAGGAGTTTCTTCAAGAAGGAATCCCTTTCAGAGTCATGATTTTTCTTTTTATTTCTACAAATTAGGATTGTAACGATTAGCTAAACGAAACGTTTACTTGGTTTTCCATCGTACACATACATTTTCTATCGCAGATACATATTTCAGAGAAAAACCAACAAGCAACTTGTTTACAGGCACAGCAACTTCCGGGGAACGGAAAACAATTGCATGTAAAATTCAATTGCCATATTGATATTGCCAGTGGACTTTTATTTACATACAAAAAAAATATTTTTTTGCGGTGAGAACTGTTTTTTTAGGAATCGAGCGGAAGTGCTCTATTGAAGCATCTATAACAAAGTTTACCTGTCAATTTTAAGGCATCCCATCGTTTACTTTAACGGGCCAATGAATTGATACTTTCGTTGTTTAATTTTGACACAGGGTGAAAGACTTTCTTAGGGGCAAGAACCGTATAAAGTTCGTATAAGTAAACCCGAGCTATTTTCCTTTTATTTGCTCTTCCATCAGCGCTAGACCTTGCCAATTTTCCTTTCAGGTACTGTCATTCTTGGCCATTTTCCTTGGTGGCGGAAATTTAATCGCTTCTCTCTTTGTGCCGCTGACGCTGCACTTTTGTTTATTCTTCACTTAGTTTCAGCCGCTTGGCAAAGTCTCGCAGTAACTCGGCTCCTGGATTTTTTGCTGGCAAATTTTTTGACGACGCCATGATTGCGTTTTTAGCTTTTCAGGTGGCGGAGACAGGTGACGTACCTACATAGCTGCCGGTGACGTGGCTTCATAAGCCCTGCTCGACGGTAGGAATTCACTCAATTAAAATGGCTTGACTTCGTCCCCGAAGGACTGGACTGGGAGCGGCAGGACAATAAGGGAAGCCACTTAATAAATAGCCGGCTCTAACTTAATTTTATTTAATTTGCAGCTGTCGTCAGCAGCCGTAAAAAAGGCTTTAGTTTTGCATTGTGGTGCGTTCAGCAGTCCGTGTGGCTGGGCACGTGCTCGCTTTTCCGCCGGAAAAGTGGAAATGGAAACTTTGTAGCGACGCCCTCGCATTTTTTGTAGTTCCATTTGCTGCCAGTGGAAAATGCTCGCGCGTGTCTTCAACGAGTGGAAAGTTTTTGGGACTCCACGCGGTGCTCCATTTCCCCGGCAACTTTCTCCGCCGGAAATTGATTAAGTTGGTTCGTCTTTAATCAGCGGAATTGAAGATGCTGCCGAAATACAAATCAGTTGACAGTCGGCTGCCGTGCTGCGCAATTTACTATCCAATTCAAATGGTACTTCCCAGCACTTTCTGCCTGGAGTACGGCTGTTCCATCTCGTTGCTGACCAAGTCCCGGAAAATACGGCAACAACTTCGAAAGTTGTAAACTGCTTAATGGTCGCATTTAAGTCTAGGATTCATCAAATGCGAAGGGAGATTTTCTCGAGATAAGCTGCTTGTTGCTACACATTCAAATGTTTAATACTGTTGTGCATTTAGTTTTTTCATTTGAAAAAAGAATTTAAAATTGTTGCTGTTGAATGTATATATGTATATCTAAACTAATCTTTTTAAGTAACAATAGAATTTATTACTTTAGATTATTAACTGCCTATAAATTACTTAACCTTATAAGCTTCTATTACACCAATTGTCCAACGCTTTTCAATAGTTTTAAAAGTACCTTTTATTTTAAACACTGCTTTAAAAGAATTCCATTGTATCCAGTTGCTGAACAGAACTCAGTTGATTTCTTTTTGTGTAGGCTTAAGGACTTCCTTTATCTGAGTGCCACCTTCTGTTCCTGTTTTACAAGAATTTTCTTCGGCATAAAATGGCCTTGCCTTGGTTTTCCCGGCTTTTCCTTGCCGCTTATAAACTTTCCCTTTTTGGTTTTGCGGCCAGCATTTGGCCTACTGCCCATTCGCTTGAGAAGTTTTCCTTTTCGTGGTTGTTCATTCACTTTCAAGTTGATTTGGGTTTCACATTTCGGTGCGCATTTCTTGACCAAAATCTGCAAGATTTGTCTTCGGCATTGTCCTTCCGCCTGTCTGACCATGTTACCCAGTTCCAGCCGGAGCTCAAGGACCCGAGGATGTGGATGGGGTCACCCCCTCGGGTGAGTTCAGTCGGCCCCTCTGGCACAGTTCATCACTCGGTGGAGAGGCTCCTGGGCTGTGGAGCTAATCATGACGCCGATGATGTGGCTGCTCTTCGAGTTTTCCTCTCCAAAGCGACTTTCCATATCCATCTCTACCCACCGGGGTTCAATATCGAGTGCTGTGCTGGCTTTGGAACCAGAAAAACATTTTGGCTGGAGTGTTTGCCAGCTTTGCCATTCGATTTGAGGCCGGTGTTTGGTTTCGGATGGGGAAAAGCAGGAAAAGCTGGAGAAGCGGGTTCAAGACCCGCCAGGTGTGTTTGTGTTTGCCTGCACTTTAGAGCTCTTTGGGGCTCCTTGGGGCTCTATTATTGTGAGTATCGAGCACCTGGCCTCCGAAACGGAAGGCAGGGAAAAGCTGGGAAAGCGCGTGAGCGAATGCGAAGGACACTCGACGCGTGGGAGTGACTTCCTGGCAGGTGATTTAAGGCTCGACAGGCTCACATTTCCCGGCCTTTGTGTAATTGATGCACGGCATCAGGACGATCCGACCCGCCCAAAGGATAACAAATCGCTTTCATCCTGACTCCATTTCCGCCCGGGCACTATGTGTACAATGTACACAATTCGCCATCTACAAATACGCGATTCATAATTCCTTTTTTGGCCAGCCCAGCGTGAAAGGGATTTCCGTCGCCTCTTCAAAAGCGAAAAAAGAAAGGACCCTCCGCCCAAAAAGCAATTAGATAAACTCGCCAGCTGGATTCGGCAATTGAAAGTGGGCGAAAGTGGAAAATTGAGGGGGCCAGCTGAGAATGGCAGGACAATTACGAGAGTGAAAGGATTGGATAATTCAAACATTTTGTCGGGTTAGGGGAAACCCGAACGGAATGGAATTACTCTGCTAAGTGGCATGAATTATGACATAATTCTTAAGCGAATAAATGATTGTTACGTGTCCCCAGAGATTATTTCAGTACCCTCTTCAGAAAAACTAGGGATTGTTTTATTTTTTAATCGAAAAATGTGTTTCGTAAAATTTTAATCTGTAATCTGTGTAGTTTTATTTGTTTTGGTTACTTTCTGGTACATAAAATATAATTGCTTTTCTGTATCCTATTTTCATCTTACCCAAATTACTTTTGTAAATCACACATCCATCTTTATTATTTGCAGCTGTCCTTGTTGGTTTTATAACTTCAAGGACCGGATTTAATTGTTGCAAACATCTAAATAATTGTTTTGCTTTGTGGCAGGCAGGTAGTCAGCATCAGATAAGTTATTTAGGAGTTTCATCCTCTCTTTTTAGAATGTAAGGCAAATTGCTTTCCTTTGCCAAATTGTTTCGCAGTTCAACCCGAAAACTTTTGGCATTTTACAGTTTGCTCTTGTCCCTTTTGCAGCCCCATTTCAGCAATTATAAGCTGCCTGGGGAATGTTCAAGGAATTTGGTAAGAGGAAAGTGCAGAGGACCCTGGTTGTAAACTGAGTTCTTAGGAACCCTCGTTAGGGAAAGCTGCTTATGTTACGGGGGAAACTCTTACGTTTTCCCCGAGAATTTTACTGCATGCAGAAGATTTTCGCAGTTAATAAGCATTTCCGTTCGCTGGAATTTATGCGCAATATTTTATTCAGATTGCGTTTCATAAATGCAGCTGGTGAAAGGAGAGCAAAGGCCACGGATAATGAACCAGTCGGCAGCATTGGGTAGAGAACTTCCAGCGAACCGATAATGTTGTTAAAGTGCATACGAGGGAAAGGAAAAAAGAAATGATGGAGAAAGGGAAAGGGAAAGCGGGGAAAATGGGGCTGCGAAATCAATTTCGGGAAAAACAAATTGCGCAGCTTGTACTCGAAGCTCAGTGAAAATAATACTGTTGCATTTTCCGATTTTATGATGTTCGCTTTTCCTGCTGGCGTGCGCTTATCTATCCACCCTTTTAATGGGTCGGCTATCTTTAATGGGAAACTGATAGCAGCAGCAGCCTTTTCCACTCTAGATAAATCATGTTTCCCTAATTGAGTGACTTTTTATCACGTTTCCCGACACCTGATATGAAAACTCACTGCTCACTTCCCTTTCGCTGAACAATTTTGTAATAATTTGTGAAATTCCAATGATTTCGCGGCAATTGTCATTAAAATAAACGAACATTTCGCAACCAGATTCATTTGCATTTTATAATTGAATTTATGTAACCAATATGCCTGTCTTCACTCGAATTAAATCACACTGAGTTTAATTCGAATTTCGAATCAAGTTTCTGCCCGAGTGGACAGCGATTGGCATTGCCTACTTTTCTGGGCACTTTTCGCTCTCGATCAGCTTTATTTATTTTCCTTGTCCGCTGCCTGTCGGATTTGCTTAAACGCACTTAATTGGGAGCCTTCGACCTGTGATATTTCAACTGCCCGGATGGCAATGGAAAGTGATGTTTACTCTTGCAAAGAACACACAATATCAATTTGATTTCAGTTGGCTGAATTGACAAATTGGATTGTGTCAATATTAATAAAGCGCTAAAATGCAGTTTTTGTGTCTAAAAACCCAATGCCAATTTACATTTGCATTGCACGAAAGTAAGTAGGACGAGAAAAATAAGTTTATTTATATAACTTGTAACTGCAACTAAATTTTCAGCATGAAATTTAACTACAGTCTATATTTTGTCTTTAATAGTTCGTAGGTACAACTCTCTAAAAATGTCTTATAAAAAACATTTACATGTTTAGCTGCTTTTAAAATAATGACCAAGGCTTTTACTGTAATCTGTACATTCATATAGTATACATATGGTATAGTCCATATAGTACTCAAACATAACTTAACTTTTATTAAACGAAAAAGTTTTCGAATTTAAAATTTAAAAAATCCAAAAAAATTATTTCAAATGTTTTTAGCTTGTGTAAGGAAATGTAACCGTTTCTCTTTTATTTCCATCTTATTTGATCGAAGTAAATTTAAATAAAAATAAAATGTAGTACCAGTATGATTACTACCATTTACTTCCAGACCTGCATTTCAGTTCGGCGAATAAAATTTTCGCTTTCAAGTTAAATCCCCGTGCCCATTCCCATTACCATTCGCTAGGAAAGAACTCAGAACTCACCACAAGAAGTGCCGACGGCTGGCAGCGAGGCAGGATGCCATATGTTAGGCTTACGCGCTTATCGCACCAGCAACAGGGACAGGAGCAGCTGAAGGACCCTCCGCCGCACTTGGGCCACTCGGTCCGCGGGCGCTGAAGTAGCTGGCGCAGAACACTGGATGGGACTTCACCGCCTACTTGTTGTAGGCGGGCACTTTTCTTATTTAACCGCTCAACACTTGGCCCAGCGTTCGCTGCGCTCCGCTCCCCAGGTTTAACTGACAGCCATCGCCGCTTTCAGCTGCCCGCGGAGCGTTCTCGAGCATCAGGTAGTGCACGGCAACAGCAGCCGAATGGAAACCACCGACCAACGAATGGAGACGACTCCGCACGAGCTGCCTTCCAGCTGCCCTTCCAGCTGGCTGGGGAAATGGTGAAAGCTCGCAGCTTTCGCTGTTGCTTCGCCAGCTGCTGCCGCCCGCCTTTCCCACTTTCCCATTTTCCGACTTTTCCGACTTGCCGCCTCTTCCCCCACAGCTGCTCCTCCTGTTGCGCTGGCAGCGCGTCGCCCACGCAAAAAGCTTTTCCGCGCACATCGAGGAGCTTTCCCTGAAGGCGGCGCCTACGTTTCGAGGGATTTCGATTCGGATACGGGTGGCAGGATTCCGAGTCGCGGTCGGGAGCCTCGGAAAACTCGCGAAACTCTCTCGTCCTGGCCATTTCCCTTGGCCCCCAAGGCGTTTGCCTGCCAAAAATAGCAACAGCGCGAAAGTTCCCAACGCCTCTGCTACCCAAACACGCTGAACAGTAGGACCTCTTCAAGTTTAAACAGCAAGCACTACAAGTTTATTAAGACTTTTTCTTAAATCAGAAACGCGAGTTTTTATTTTAAAAAAATGCAAAATGTATTAGTTTTTTCGCCACAATTAAAATTAACTGTAAAGATGTAAAATGCATGTATTTTAATAAACTTGGTTGTGTTGTTAATAAATTATATTATGTAAATAAATTTTGTTTTATAAAAATATCCCCATGTTAAGAGGAGAAACTGAGCCTCAAAGTTGATCAAGCAAACTGTGCAACTAATAATGTTCGTCTCTGGAGGTGAATGCGCAGCAGCAGAAAAGGACAGCACTTTCATCAAGCAAGTTGTCTCGAACTGAATTTCAAACACCAGGCGAACATAACCATTAAGCAGGTGTAAACCGATCAGCTGATCAGCTTAAACAAGGTTTATTTAGTGACGGTCGCGTGACAACTAATTCTTGTAACACCAACAACAACCACATGCAAATTTATCAAATACTCGTGAGCGGCGTGCCATTTTCGTGACACGCACAAAGAATCAACGTGGTTTCCCATCTCTAGCTTGATTCCTAATTTAAAGCAACGGTACCTTCCAGCGAGATAACTTTCTGATTGGTGGAAACAAGGAGGGGAAGTTATCCAAGGACAGCTGTCTTTAAAAAGAACAGTTATTTAAGTTAGCTCAAATTTACCAGCTACAACCTGCTATAAGTTATGTTTGCCTGGTGTCTGAAATTTATTCCCAAAGCAAAATCGGCTGGCTTCAAGACACCAAATACCAGGAAAACAGAAATTCGATGTAGGTGACTGCGCAGCAGCGCTCTTGTGTATAAAAAGGAAAACACTTTGCGCTTTGCGAAAAAATGAACCGAAATTGAATTAATTTTTGTTTTTGGTCACTGGTAATTTTTTTTTAATTTTTAAAACAGTTAAAAAAAAAAAATAAACTGTTTAAAATATTCTCCAAATCGCATTTTAACCTGCAACTACAAAATTTTTGCTGTTAAGCTCAATTTTTTTGTTGCCTTCTTAACGAAATCTCACTGTGCCTGCCAAATTTCCTTTCAATTTCGTTTGGCATTGCTTTCCACTTTGGGTGCGTGGGCTACTTTCTACTTTCTGTCTGCTTAACAAAGTGCCAAGTCAGTTTTTGAGCTCAGCTCACGACCAACCGCAACTGCTCCCCGAAACTGTGTCGACACATTTATAACTTGATATCGCAGCCAGGGCTATTTTTAGCGGTGGGTGGAGCCAGGGCCGCCACTGCCAGCATTGATTTTCCCCACTGTTTTCCTCTTTTCCTGCCCCCCTTTTTCCCCACCTTCGCTTTTCCGGGCTTTTTCGGATTGTTGCCTGACGCAGCGCCTTTTATGAATGAACTTGGCTCACATAAGCATTTGTTATAACTCCCGCCCCGAAAAAGAAGGGGGCGTTGCACCCTTCTGTGAAAACATGTTTCTGGGGGCTTAGGGTTGCCTAATAAACGCGTTTTCAATGTCACCAAAACGCTTGCAATCTCATTAAGTAAATGGATTGCCTTGTCGTAGACGACATAGTTGAGGTTTTGTAATATAGACATTTGTCCATATGACGCCATTGTATGCCATTGTATGCCATCGTATCATATCGTTTTGTATTTTATCCTTTGCCTGATGTCATGGATGAGTGTGCTCGTCGTCGTCCTCTGTCTGTGTTTGTGCAAGGATATAGTGCTCGACTGGGGCTCTGTGCTCCGCTGGCGTATGGAATTATGATTAATATTTGCTCAGTTTAAAATTAATTGCGCTCTGCTATTGCCGTGACAGCTGTTACCAACGCACACCCACCAATCCTTTGGCTTGGCGCTCTTTCAGCCATTTGTAATCCCATGGACGAGTGCCGGAGGTCAGGTTATCGGGGGGTTAACAGGAACACGGTTAAGATAGCAGGATATTGCCTGAATGATTACGTAGGGCGACGAAGGACCAGCTAATTAAACGATGTTACGCTAATGTATTTATACAAAAAGGTGGAGCTAATCCGCGTTTCCTTTGATGATGCTCCACGATTGCGGAAGGGGCTCATTTGCAATTAAAAGCGACGTAAATAGATTCCCAATGCTAATTTAATTCGTTTCATAATTTCCTGTTATTGTATAGAGATCTCACAAGGAGCAAGTGAGGCCAAGTTAAAGCCAACTTAATTCACTTTCAGCCACCATCAATCTTTGTTACGCCAACAGAACGGAAACTTGTTTGCTTTTTTGTTCGGCAAGGGCAGCCTGAAAAAATATTTGTGCAATTGCTAGACTTTGCTTTTAGTGGTCATCAAAATATAATGTTATATTCATGCATGTTTAACTGCTGCGACTTCTGGGCGAATCGTATCTGCTCTTCCGTTGGCATTGTATTAAACCAAAGTGGCGTCGTAAGATGGCAACCGTATTTGGTATCAGTGGCAAATGGCCGCGCGTTTTTATGGGAGCTGTTATGAAGGGCCATTTTATATGCCGACTTGTTTATGTTTACGCGAAAATATTTTCGTTTCATTTTTAGTAGGGGCTCCGTAAGCTGCCACGCCCCCTCGCCTCGCCTTCGCCCCCATGGGAAGCACCGCTTCCGGCTGTTGACGCAACTCTTAATCAAACAGTGGGCTTTGTGCGACATTTATAGATATAGGTGTCCTGAGTCCGGCGTAGGCTAAATTTAACGCACTTGTGGCTGAACCCTGAACCTCGAACTCATCTTTTTCGTTCTAGAATGCTGCATATGCCGTCGGCCATGTCAACATCATTCAATCAATCGCAATGAAGTCGACACAAAGCCCACGCCCAGCAGGTGCCCGCTGTTGATGAATGAGCCAGTGGATCCTGCGAGTCCTGTTTCGAGAATGACGACTATGGCAATGGCAGTGGCAGGGGCACCTCTGAGGTCCGTGCTCGAAATACAATCGAGTCACATGTCCTGCCGCCTGAGGACGACAACAACAAGTGGTGGCTGCCCTGCCCAGCCATGCATTCAATCCGAGAACAAACAAAGTCGTATGGGGATTGCACGGTAATCATAAGGCGCGATAAAGCGGGCTCGCTATGTCGAGAGTGCAAATCCATATATGGGTCACTATATCTCACTGACATTGTTATGGCATCGGAATTAATATACGTGTAATGTTTTTGTTTTCGCATGGAAATGGTAAACTTGGATCAATATCTCTGACGCGCTTAATAACATTGTTATATTTCCGCCATCATAAATAGCATTTTAATAAGCTCTTTTGGACTAATATCACGTATACGTATATCACGTATACGTTGTAAACTTATTATTGTAACACTGAACAGGAAACAATCAACCCAAAGATAAGTTTTATAATAGTTATTTACGTTATATGGAATTATATCTAAAAATGCTTAATTTTTTCTTCAACTGGCATTTTTCCTTTCCTATTAATATTTTATCTTTTACTTCGCCGAGGCAATTGAAAATATTGGAACATCACTCAAGAAACCATTAAATTGCGCACTTGGCAATCGATTAAGCCGGCTGACGCCTTGACGTTTTATCAATACCCCGAGGAAGCACTTAATTAAATATTTAGAGCGGCCTCCATTGAGGAATTTGCAATCGAGCAGCACGCGCCATTAATAGAATCCCAGTGCACTCCCATTTCCCCCTCCACTCCTTTTCCCTTTTCCCACTTTTCAGGGCAGGTGGCAAAGGGGTGCACGCACCTGTTGCCAAAAGGTCAAATCACTTAGCCAACTACTGGCGGCTGGTAATCCAACGCCGTGCACCACATACTACACACTACCATTAAACTAAACAAAGGGGACTCACCTCAGTTTGACATTTATGGCGTGGCTCATGTATTTGTTTACTTCATATTCAGCGCAAACGAACGAAGACATGCAAATTGATGTGCGATGATTATAGGTTTTTATATTAGTTGGTTTTTTATTTATTTTCTTTTGGCTTGTGTGCTTTCAGTTCCCGTCGATGCTCCCCTCTTGCCGCTTGTTGCCGTCGCCGTTGCCGTTGCTCCTAGATCGTAGAAACTTTAATTAATTCGGTGCCATGAACAAGTTATATACACATAGAGGCTTCGGTGGCAGCACTTCTTTTTGACGCAAACAACGTCAGCGACTGACGACAGCAGCCTGAAGCCGAAAGCCAGGAGCCAAGCCATTCGAAGACGTTAAAGAGAGTTTTTGGCCAGAAAAGAGAGAGCCAGCGAGCTTCCCAGAGCACCGGCTACATTCTGATTGTGTGGGTGTCTTGCTGGTGTCTGAGTGTGTCCAAGTGTGTGTGTGTGTGGGTGTGTGGGTGTGTGGGTGGGTGTCTGGTTGCAGGTGTTCGCAGGCGCACGGATGACGTACGATTATTTGCGGGCTCTGGCGTCTAATTGCCGCCTCGCTGTTGATATTGGCCCACATGTTTCAATTTCTTGGCCACCCGAAAATAAAGAGGAAAACATTGTGTGACCCAGGCCCAAAAGGGCGTTAGCAAGAGGGAGAGTTGAGTTTAGTTGGGAAACTGGACATTTAACTACGCAATAGGCCAGGAAACTGGCTCGCGAAAATAGGCCCCAAGTCCTTTTGTTTTTTGTGGCTTGTGCTGGCCTTAAGTCCCCTTGTTCTTGGTCTAATTGTGGGCGCGAGCACTGAACAGAAATAGCCAGGAAAGGCCAAGGGAAGCGGCGGAAAAGCGGGGAAAATGACTGGTCGCAGAAAACATTAGCAGCATATGGCTGGCTGACATTTTGTGTAGCATACTTCTAGGCTGTCACTTAAAATGTTCTTTCACACTCACACTGCCGCACGTTCGCACACACACATACACCCACTTCGCACACACACACACACATGCTCACACTTAATGAAGTTCAGTGTCAAATTTTCGTTTCGCTTTCAGCCACAAAAATAAAACACACACAATTGTTCACGAGCTTTTCGGTGGCCATGTTTTCTTCGCTTTGCTTTCCTCTTTTTTTACGGTTGAAAAGTATTAAATAATAGAATAATAACAACGACTAGCGCCTCCTTACTGTGCTTAATATATATTTCTAGTTGATTTTCCGTGCTGCCTAAATACTTGCTGCTGCTCTTTTCTGGCTTTTCGCTCGCGTTGACCGTCAGCCGAAGGACTGCCTGTCCTACTGAAGCGCCAATCCTCGGCAGCTCTGCCTCGCAGTCGCTCTCGTCGTCGTTCGCTCGGAGTTCCTCCTCCCGCCCGCCTGCCCCTCCGCACAGTCCGCACTGTACAGTGCGCCCTCACCCACACAGCCGCGCTCACGCACTCACAAGCAGTCGAAAATTCCTACGCATTTCACTTACGGCTCGTCGGTGTGAGTGTTTGAGTGTGTGAGAGTGCGAAAGTGTGAGTGTGTGTGCTTGTGTGCTGTAGGTTAGGCACACGCACTATTAAAAGATAAAGCTCCTGAAGCTTTCAAATATGCTTTCACTGGCCCACAGATGCGGACGAAATTAAGGCACTCTAGATACTATCTATCAGATATTTGGGTGTTATACATTTCCACATTCATTTCAAGGGATCTTAAAAGGCTAACAAATATTATTCTGTTAAAAAAAAAACAATAATAATACTATATAAAAATAAATCTATCTATATAAATCAATCTAAATACCTGCACCTAATTCAAGTCTAAAGAACAATCTAGAAGAGTGCAAAGAACTAGTAATAGGCAATCAAATATCTACAGGGTATTTGGGTAGCTTTTTGCACAACAAATAAACCCCTGGAATCGAAGGGTTATCTCCACCGAAAGCTGCCCTAGAGCAACAACAATGGCCGGGTCGGAGCCGCAATGATACCGCCCATCCCTGCAGCCATTTGACGTAGGTTGACAGCTGTTTGCGCTGGGCAAACTTTATGGCTATTGATTTTGCTCCGAATCCTGAATTCCGAGCCTGGACGCAACAGTTTGAAAGTCGCAGCTTTCACTTTCGTGTCCCGAAGCCCCGAAACCGAGCGATGTTCCACCTAAGCTGAACGGACTGCGTACCGCCCACTGCGCCTGTCCGTTGTCTCTGTGTTAGTGTGTCAGAGCGGCGCCTGCGCTGGCTCTTCATGCGGAAAAGCTCTGTCACAACAACAGCCTGTTGCCCCACGTAGGCGGCACCCGGAGAACCATTCGAACCAACCCATCTACTAGCCCACCACCCACGGCATCCACTTCCAAGTGGCGCCAATGCACTGGAAGAGGTTCTCCCAGGAGAATCCCTTCCCCCCAAAAAAGAAAACCCTTTCCCTCTCCCAAAAACCCAGACAATGACCGCCGTGCACATGCCGAGGCATAGCGGTTGGCCCTGCAAATTAATTTGATCACTTGGCTAAAAAGCGAGCTGCATGCTAATGCTGCTTTAATGAGTTTTGCTTCCGCCTGAAACGAGGGATTATGACTGTTGGTTGGCGAAAGCGGCTTAAACCGTTGAGCTTTGCACTTTTTTGTTGGCCCACAGGCCAAGTGGCAAAGGGTTAGTGCTGTGGCTGTTGCAACAGGTTGCCATTGGCATCCGGTGCTTGAAAAACTGCCCCCGGCAGCCATTATTATTCAGGGGACGAGAGGCCATTTTGAATGGCAAGCAGGAATGTAGGCAATAAAAAAGGGCTCACACAAAGTGCTGCATACTTGTCGGCTTAAAAAGCTTGAAATGGGAAACCATTCGAGTGGCTAAGCTTCTGGAAAATATTTTATAATATTGAGGGTTTTTATAGCTACAAATAACTGAAGTTGAAATAAATTATATCCATAATTAATAAACAAAATCTCCAAACTAAACCCTTATTAACCCTAAATTAAAGTCATCATTTACTTTTACATTTCATGTAAATCTTTATTTATTCCATTCATTGAATTCGTGTAAATTTTGTTGGTATTCATACTTATTATTCTGTCATAGTTGCAGGCCTTATCTTTTCAATTTGTTAGCAAGTGTCTAACTATAATAAGTGGCGGCAAAGTTGCATTCAAAATTCCATTAGTATTTCATTCAGTTCTCAGCTAGTTTCTGAGTGGTTTTGAATATGTACTCGTGTCACTGTTTTTCTCAACAGTTTTCAAGTCAATTTCATAAGATAAACAATTTCGTTTCATGCCATAGATATAGTTCATGATTCATGGCTTCAAACAAATGTCACAACTAAAGGCGAAAGTGGACAAACAAAAGTCAATGAAGTTTCATAAGTTTTTCGATTCTTTATTTTTTATATTAACTATAAATTTTGTTTCTTAGTTTTACGCTCGCTGTAAATACAATTTCTAGTTCGATGTCGAGCTTAGCATGAGTTAGCCTTTTGCTTTTGTGGTATGGGTATGGTATGGGTTTGTTTTCTCGTTTGCAATGCGGGATGTGTGCTATGGACAGGGCCAAATCAGATGGTTATCATTAGAGCCTACTTAAAATTTGGTTAAACGCTAATTTACACAAGATACAACTAAGTAATTAGAATTAGGCTTAAAAAAACAGACATTAGCACTGTACTTAGGACTAAGGTGATGTGTGTTTGTGATTTAGTCGAGTTTCTGTGGTTGCAGTTGTGACGGATTCAAGTGGGTGACTGAGTAACTGAGTGAATGAGGACTGTGGGCATCATCATCATCGATAAGGCAAGTTTAACAGACGGCAATTGGTAACAACAAATGTTCTTCTTTTTCTTCGGCTCGTGACGGTTGCTGCTCAATGCTCAATCTCTCTATTTACAACGATTTTTAGCTTGAGTAATGCTTAGAGTTTTTTTTTGGTTACAAGTCTAAGTCAAAGGCACTGATTCTCTACTCGGCTCTCAATTTAAATTCTGTAAGTCTGTGTTCTGAGTGTTTCTTTTTTTTTGTTTTTGAGGACGTGGCGGGGGGCGAGGTGCAACGAGTTCGCGGCACTTGCAACAACTGTCACCGATTTTTAGCTGAGCGTGTGTGTCTAAGTGTGCACATAAAAAATAATAATACATCATAATTACTAAAATGTAATTGAAATACGAGTGGTTTACATTAATTTCGATGCGCTACATTTACATTTATTTAGTTTGTTTTATTTAGTTTATTCACTAGTACATTTAGTACATAAAATGTGCATGAGTGTCGTGTGAGTGTTTCTGGGTGATTTTCTCTCGATTTTTGCTCTATTTCGTAACTGATTTGTAATATTCGTTTTTTCTAGTGATTGGATTCATTCGATCGATCTATAGTTTTGTTCTTTAATTTAATGGTTCGCTTATGTTGTAACTATGAGTATGAGATGAGTTGAAAGCAGATTTTGCAAATGAGTTTTCTATATATTTATTCGCTTGCGCTAGTGTGTGAGTATGTGTGTACAATGGTTGTGTGTATGGGTATGTGTATGTGTATGGATGTGCTTGGTTTGTTTGGTTCAATAATTTAATATAATTTAAATGTTTTTGTATTTAGTTTTGCGCTGCTGTTTCGTCTTCGTCGTCCGGCGCCAGTTTAAACAATAATTTACGTTAGAGTTCGCTTACTTATTGATTACTAGATAAAGCATTCGATATAACATAAACTTGCGTAGATAGTTGGATAGTTCGTAGGAGATAGCCGACCTTAATATATAATAGCAGAGCAGTTACAATAATTTCTCTTTATCGTTCTTAGTCCGAACTCGCCGCGCCAGTTGCAATTTAATTTATACATCGAAAAGGGGCGGGCAAGTGCACTCTTAGCCTAACATTCATTTAGCATAGCTTATAGCAAATCATAATACGTTATATGCATATGTGTATATAGTAATGTGTTCTGTATTTAACACGAGTGTTCCGTGTACTCTGCCCGTACACGCGGCGCACAAAAAAACAATTTCGACAAAAAATAAATGAAAATAATAACATAAAGGAGATATAATATGTTTTTTGAGGGGGTGGGGCGGAAAAGGGAGATTTGAGTTTTACAAAAACTAAGATTCTACTCGTACAATATATCATAATCGGTATACAGTATATATAAACGATATCGTTAGTGTAGCGTATGTATGTATGGTAATAATTATCATTATAACATAGAGTTCAGTTTCGAGAGTTCTGCTAGACTCTCGCTTTGCTTAATTTCCTTCAGAAACTACTTTCGTTTCGCTTTCCAACCAGCCTGTCTTCGCCTCGATGGCGAGTCCTTCGATCGTTCGTTGTTCGTCCTTTGGAGCCTAGGGCGTCTTCAGCAGCAGGATGTCTTTCTTGCGCGTGCGACTGGCGCTGGCATTGAGCCGCTGGTAGAAGTAGTTCCTGCCGATCTTGCGCTGCAGCTTGTAGGACTTGCCCGCCAGGAACCTGGTGATGTCTAGCACGTACTCGTGCACGTCCTCGTGGTCCTCGAGCAAATGTATCGATATCACATCGATTTTGACTTTGTCGAAGGGCAGCGTCTGCAAGATCTGCAAGGTAGAAAAGTAACTCTAGTTAGTGAAAGTGTTTAGAGTTGTTCATACAATGGAAACATACCTCCAGCTCATGCCCCTGAACGCCCAGACTGAGCAGATCGTATTCGGTGCGCTCACATGCCAGCATGATTGTGTAGAGCGGAAAGCATTTGACACGCGAGTTGAACCATGAGGTCTCCTCGTCGTGCAGACTGTTGATGCGCACATCCTCGTTGTGTATGGTGATCTGCAAAGAAAGCGGAGAGAATTAGCCACTGATGGATGAGATGGAGCTAGGATTTCACGGCAGCTATAACCAAACTTGCTTGCATTGCAATTATCTTCATGTGGGTATTAGTTTTCAATGCTTTTCCTTAGCTGTGATTTGTAGTTATGTGGCATCAACTCACCTCTTTGGGATACGTGGTGGGCGAAACGCAGGCGTGCACCACCTGCATGCGCGCCCGCTGGGCGTTCTGCTTGCGCAACGTGAAGTACCAACGCGGCTCCGGCTCCACCAGCACGCCCATCCAGTTGAGCTGCTCGCTCAGCCAGGGCGCCGTAATCAGATGGGCCAGCGGACCGCTCAGCGACTGGATCACCGCTCCGTTCATCTTGCCGCCCACCAGATCCGCAACATAGTGGGCCAGCTGATCGGCTCCGCTGCCGCTGCTGTTGCTACTGCCGCCGCTTCCGAACGAGGAGACGCGTGGCGAGTTGGGCGGCGAGGGTACGCCCCCGTGGACGACGCCGCACCCACGACCTTGGCGGACGCCTTGCCCAGGTACTTGCCCATGTGGATCTGGCGCAGGAATGCAATGAGTGCGGGATCGTCTTGGGCAACCCCATTCAGCTCGTAGTCGCGCGACATATTCAGCCGAAACTGCTGATGGCGAATCTCTGCAAGGAGAAGAAATCAGTTGAGAGATCAGTTGCAAGTTGGACTTGGCGTGGTGGCGGTAATTGGGTTTAATTAAAAGTTGTTGCACCACTGGAGGCATGCCGTGTGTGGTGGTGGCTAAGACTCTGCCACGCTTCGTTGCCAATTGGAGCGCACTGACCACTGACAGCATTTGCATTGCCAATTCAGAGCGCTCAAATGGAGGGGAAGTCTGATGAGCAGTGAATCTAGGGTTATGCCAATCCATAACTAAGAACCCAAACTAAGAGAAGAGAATATTCTTATTGTATGTTCCTAATTCATTTAAATAGAGCACATTCGGACTTTGATAAGTAGAGTTCCAAGCGAATAACTCTTCCGTTGAAAAAGTATAGTACTTTGCCGAATTTTAGGCAAAATGCCATGTCAGTTGGGCATAAATTCAGTGGCTAAAAGTGAGAAATAGAGGAACAGGAGACCCCATCGAAGGTCGCGAGAAGGAAACAGCCACTTGGCAGCGACGACGACGACGACCTCGCCTTGAAACGCGGCAGCTCGACTTTTGTCCGCTGTGCCGGCCCATAAAGTATAATGAGCGCACGGCCTTTGATATTTAGCACATGACCCCACATCATTCCATCCCTCCGCCGAACGATTTTCCCCCGCTCTTTGACTCAACTTATAGCCCAACAGCCGGCCCAACCTGTCCATAAAGCTTGGCAGCAACAAAAAGCCAACGATTTGCCGTAGTTTGGTTTTAGTTGCCACACTCCACACATTCAGACACACTTGGCTTTTAGCTTTTATTTGCTTTTCACACTTTCCTTGTGCCAATTTCCACTTTTTGTTTCGTTTTACCTAGCCTCCGGCAAAGCGAATCGTAAAAGCCAGAAGAAATTAAAATATATCAAATGTACTTGCAGCAATTTGTGGCAGCTTACGAGGCGCTTAGCCGTTCCACTTGGCAGGCAAAGGTTGCCCAAAGGCCAAGGCTTGACGACCAAATTTTAGGTTTTTTAGGAGGGAGATAAGAAAATACTTAGGGAAAAGATCAGAGTTTAACTGCATAAACCTAATAAAAAAAAGTGGCAATGCCCTAAAAGTAAAGCAACTGAAAAATTCATTGAAAAATCAGGCGATTCTTTTTTAAATATATTTCCCAGAATATTCAGAAATTTAAATTATGAGACTAGTGGTCTCAAATAAATTTTAAAAACTAGAAATGCGATGTGGGCGGAAAGCGTGGCAAACACTAGTCAAATCGATCTGCCATTCCGGCTACTTATACGTCATTATTTTTCGCTTCGGTTCGTCAGACGAATTCGAATCTTTATGGCCTCACCCAGAAACCAAGTCGTTATACAAATATATTTTTATATTTTTCCCTCGCCCATTCAGCGCAAATGTGCCATGCAAATTTTGAGGCGAAAAAAAAAAACAAAACACAGCTAAAACTTTTATGTTTCGGTCACAAAATGGCCATAAAGTTTATTATAATGCATATACGAGCAGATAGACGGATGGCCAGAAAGCCGGGCCAAAAACAGTTGCCGGCCATTTAGACAAGCCACAATAATTTAGCCGAGCGAGAAGAGGAGACATTTTTCTGTAATTTCCCAAACGACAGGCCCCGAAGGCCAAGTGAAAACTTGCACTAATTAACACCGAAAGCAGGTGACTAAATCCACCAAACCAAACCGAAACCGAAGCTAACCGATCGTAATAGGGAAAGTGCTCAGTTGGGGGAAATTTATGCGGCCATTAGTTGTGGAAATCTGATAGCGGATTGATGTAACGTCTCGCATTACAGCGAGCGATTAGAAGTCAAATGAATTATTTGATCATTCGTCTACCAGCATGGAAAGTAATGTACCAACGATAATGATCCCCTGATTCCCCCTGGAATGGAATGGGCAGCTGTGCAATAAAACCTTAAAGCCCTAAACCGTTAAATGCGAGCACATGTAAATCCGATATATATAAACCGAAAATCGAGAATAAAAGAACGGAATGGCATGGACAAAAAAAAAAATCTGCCCTCGGGCGCAGCAATTTCGGTGTCAAAAGCTGACATTTCTAATTTGCACAGGGGTCGTCGTCGTTCAGTTCAGTTCAGTTTAGTTGAATTCAGTTCAGGGTGGGCAAGACAAATGACGGGGCAGGACCGGTCCCGAAAATTATATTCAATGGCGGCGGACATTTTACCCACAAGGAATCCACAACGGTTGGCCGAGGAGCAACGTTTAATTGCGGTTAAGCGGCGGCCAACTTTAAGTTGCCTGCCTGGTTGATGGTTCCTCGTTGCTGGTTGCCCGGCTTGGCTTTCCTCCTCGTCCTGAGGCGGCGCAGCGGCTTATTCAGATTATTTTATTCAGGGGTAGCGAAAGACGAACTTGCCCCGCCACCAGTGCACGCCCTATTCAATAATTCAACAAAGGCGGGCAGGGCAGTCAAGTAAAAGGAGGGCGAAAAGTGGGGAAGGGCGCAAAGTAAGACCCACAACTTTATGCATTTTCAATTGCGGGTAAAAGTTTTACAAAAAAAAATAGTGTACACTCAAAGGCAAAAAAGGTAAAAACTATAAATTAAAAGAAAATTAAATAATAATAATAATCATGATAAAAACAATCAAGAATATTTTTTTTATCAGATATTTAAAATATCTAAAATCTATTATGATACAAAAATTAAATAAAGAAGAAATAATAGGACAGCTTTTTGAGATATTATAGTTTTTATTGCTTTTAAGAAATATTTAATGTGTTATTCCGCTTGAAACTTTATAGTCGAGTGTACTGCCTATTGCCCAAAACGTTATCGTTGTAGTTTGTTTGTATTTGTTTTTTTGTATTTTGTTTTTAGTTGTTTTGTTTTGAGGGCACTGCGACGTGGCTGTCGTCGGGCAATGTTACCCTTGTTGTGTAATATCCACGTCCTAGAATCGGGATCTGGAATTGCGTGCCCGCCCCGTGTTCCCACAGCCATTGCCTAGTTGTTCAGTTGTTCAGTTGTTCAGCTATTGATTTGTGCAGCGGGGAATCGGTTTTGGTTTTGGTTCTTGTCTGGCTGTTGTAATTGCCTGTTCGGCGCTATTCAAAATGGCCTGTTTCCATGTTGATAACGACGAGTGTTCCAGCCTGTCTCGCATGTGGTAACAAAATAAGCAGCGCGAGCGCTGATTTATTTAGCAAATGGAGTGAGTGGAATGGGCCTAATCTAAGTGGGTCGGATCTTAATCACCGCCTGCAAAGCCCATTTAGCCGTGGCGAAATGAAAAGGCCAATGCAGGGCAAACTTCTGCATCACGTGATCAGGTGTGAAATGCATTAAGTGGGTGGAGAAACCGGGGAAAAGCGGCAGAATGCAATGCAGAAGGCAGAACAATAAAGTGACTAGAGAAACAACACCTGCACTCTGGGGGAATTTAAAAATTAATGAAGAAACAGAAATATTCCAATAAACTTTGACCTTATGAGAGAGCACTACCAAAAGTTATTGATCATAAATATAGACACATGAGATCCAGTAACCGCTTCAATTAGGAAATGATACATGGCGTCGTAGCACTCGATGTGATATATGACCCCGTTGAAACGTGCCAAGAAACTTTTGGCATAATAAATGACCCCGTTTTAATGTGCTAAACGTTCCCTTAACCATTTATCAACCCTGATTGAAATATCTCTCGACGAAATCCCGATAAAGCAGACTGGCACACACAATTCGAGGGCAATTTTTCAGCTCCCGCTGTTGTTGTTTTTCTTATTAACCTTATCGCCGGGCAATTTCCCAAGGAGAACCCACACGACGCCTAAGAAATGGCGCAATTGCAATTGGCGGGGAGGGTTGCTAAACCCGAGACCCACATGCGGGTGGTGGCATTAAGGAAAAAAGGAAAAGAAAAGGAGGGAAAATAAGTACAAGAAGTGGTTCGTAGTCATCGCAGTGGCGCATGCTGTGATAATGCCATTTGAGCTTTGCTTTTCAAATTGAGCACTCGCTGCGCTTTCAACGGAGCCGAGCTATGATGATCATCTCCGCCAGAGCCACTCTAACCACACTAACCACATGTGCCACATGAACCACTTGCACCACAGACCATGCCACTCCGCTGGGGGTGGATTTTCCCCTCGGGTTTGGGTTTGGGTTTGGGGGCCATGCAACAATGTTGGCCACTGCACACGAAAATTATGAATCACAAGGCAAACTAAGTCGGCGGTGGGAGGAGGACCCGAATGACATCCGGTGGTTAGCAGGGGAGGATTCTAGTGCACACAGAAAAAATAGAGCCAACAAGTCTAGTTTCTTTACTCAAAAATATTGAACCGATACAAAGTAAAGATCTATTGTTTTTGATCTGATAATGATATTTTTGTTTTGTATTTTCAAAAAAAAAAAAAAAAAATTTCTTACATATTATCAAACTTTTCTAACTTTGTTTAAGGTGTAGGATTAATGTCTAAAAAATAATCCAGAGTAGTTAAAACTGCTTAGAAGCAGTCAGAATTAAGAGGGGCTTGTCAAGAGCGCTTAGAACCTTACTATAAACACGCTGCGTGCTTAACGGGAATTAAGTCATTAGTGGTAGTAGTAGTGTGTGTGGGTGTGTGTGTGTACAATGGAGTTCAAGTTGTAAATTTCAATTAAAGCTGCAATTTGCAAATTGTCACCAATGAAGGCCAGACGACACTGACGACGACATCGTGTAATCACCGCAAGTGCGAAGATAATGCCTTCCTAACATGATTAATGCTTTGACCTTTGGGGGCGTGTTCGATACGCCAAGCAAACATGGTGGAAGTACACAGAGAAAAAGGGGTAAGGGAAATAAATATATGATTATTTGTATATTATTCAATCGTAAATGGGTACACTATTTGAATGGAGCAATCCCCTTCCTTCTGCAACATCGAAAACCAAATAGAATAAAAGTTATGTTCTAATTCCACAAATGGGCTAATATGGAATGATGGTGCTTTCTGTGCTCTTCTTTTTTTTCGGCTGCGGACTTCTGTCAAAGGTGAGGGGCTAATGACACTGCACCTGGCCACCTGAACCTTCCACTCCCCCTCGAACCTCGAACAGAGTCACGAGCCATGTCAACAACAACAAGTGAAATGCGGCAACGTCGCCAAAGGCGCGGCACATGGCGTGTGAAGATGGCAACAGTAGTTACCAGTTACCAGTTACCAATCAGATAAAAAGTGAACGGTGAAACAGTGAAAGCCAGCTAATCGATGACTAAGTAATCGCATGGCGTCGATAAGTAGGCTATGCTTGGATTATGGCACAAATCAATGCAATCCGAGGGTGGAATAAACAAAATGGGGTGACGAATGATAGACGGAAATACATTTTATTGGATTTGAACATGTGTTCGATAGTCAATATAAATAGAAACAAGTTTACCTGTTTTGGCAATAACCAGTTTTTCAAATCACATAACTTTTTACCAAATTGGCAAGTAGTCAAATAATCGTAAAAGTTAAGATTGTAAATACCAACGAAAACTAAGAGTTCAATAGCCTCGTTGTAACATTAAAATGTAAATACTAATTATACTAATAAATAGTTTTACATTGATTGACGGGCTTTAAATAATGATTTCTCTTTATGCAAAATCATTGACCAACTTTACAAGTGGATAAACAGTAATTAGGGTTCCCCCTAAAATTATAGTTACTTAATTGCAGCTCTATAATTAACTCAAGTTATAAATTATTGCCTGAGATATTTAGAATGTGTTCATGGCCTTTCCAAAACGAGATTTTCCCAGAGAAAGGATCACTTCCCCCGATTACAAAACGCCGCCAAACATCAAATGCGATGTTCTCTCCCCAGGAGAATAACTTGGAAGTGCTTTGGTTGTTGCAACAATCGAGTCTGGAACGTGACTGTTACAACAAATCAAGGGATTGGATTGTGGGGGACCATCATCGCCACATCGCCACAATCATCGCGATGAGAAGTGCAGAAGAAATGCAGAGAAATGGAAACAAAATGCGGTCGAGGCTGAATTTGTAACAAGAAGAGCGTAGGCAAGCAGAAAAAAAATGATTGTGAGAGTCGGCATTTGGTGTTTGGTATTTGGGTTCTGTAAAGTCATGGTCAGAGGTTTATCAGCTTGGGAAATTCCGGGGGGAGCACTGGAGTTGGAGTTGGCTACCTCCGGTGAGCCAGCCACATTCCAAGCCGAAATTCAGAAAAAATTTGTCACTTTAATAAGCGCATTTCGGTTCGCTTTGGTTCTGTCAAGTGCATGATTCGAAGAAATTTCCGACCGACGACTCAAAGCTTCAACTTCTCAATCTCAACCTCAACCTCAAACTCAACCTTTGTCCCGCCGCACGGAACGTGTTAAATTTATATCCACTCCGCTTTTGTATTGGACATAAGACGGAGAATGGGCAGGAGAAGGAATGCCTAATTTATGATTATTTTTGTTTATGAATCCGTTCGCTCGTATAAACCTAATAGAGCCATCAATGAGCCATAAAAATGGGGCTGTCCAGCAGCAGCCAAAGCAGCAGCAACGTCAGCCGACAAGTGACACGCCCAACTTGGAGATATCGAACCTTCCCCGAACCCATTCCATTCCAATCCAATCGAATCGAATCGCATCGCATCGCATTGGAAAGAAACCCAGCCCCGTCTAGTCGACGTGGCGACGAAAAACAAAAGACTCGGATATTACTGCCAATAAGATGGTGAATTATAACCCTTTGGGCACTTAACCGAGTGCATGAAATTACAAATTTATAGCAAGAAATCAGCGGCAATCATCATTTCGATTTTATACAGTTTTTAATGGCAATCAACCACAAAGGGGAAAAGGCAAAAAGTGTCGAAGTCAAGCCATGAATTTAATAACATTTTTGATGTTTAATAAACCAATTCGTAAACAGAATCCCAATTTGTATTTACCTCTTGAATCGATCAGGATGGAATATTAAAATTCCTAACCATTTAATCTAAGATTAAGAAACTGCATTAGCACAAACACTTTTCACTTGCTCAATTCGCAAATTTGCATACCATTCTTTACACATCGGGAAAAAAAGGAAGATAGGAAAAAGTTGGCGCTACGGAAGAAGTCTCTGGCAAAAAGGAAACAACTCGAAGCAAAAAAAAAAAGCGAAAATTGCCAAGACCCGAGTGGAATTTTAAAAACGTCTCTCTAGATGTGGAAGTTGATTTTTACAGCTGCAACAACAATGGACTGACATTGATTTTTTGGGTCTGGCTGGTTGTGTTTACACTTAGTAGCCCTTAGTCACTCACTCCGTGGGCATATGAATCACTCAATAATACCTCGGCGCCAGCGCCAGTGCACTATGGGAAAAAGTCGATTTTTTTGGCATTAATTAATAACTTGAGAACTAATCAACATTTTATTGATCTGTTTTTTGATTCCAGTTAATAATAAAATAAGGAATGTATTTTAAGAAAATGGGGTGTGGCCTCGCCTATTTTTTAGATTTAAAAATTTTTTTTAATGAATAATATTAAAAAAAAAAATTTTTTTTTTTTTTTGGAATAAAATTGTTAAACAAAACAATTAAAAAAAAGTTCGTTGTCCTAACTTTTTTTAATAATTATATAGATTTTTTTGCATTTTGCGGAACACTTTTTTAGAGCCTGTAACAAAAAAGTATAAAACTTTGATTTTAGTTAATATGTTTATGTTTTTCAGACTTTTTTCCATGGTCCACCTGGTTCTTAGCGTTTTTTATAGAAAAAATGTTTTCGAGCTTAGCCAAGTGTCATGTCTTCTCTCAAGCTGTGTTAAATTTCTATTGCTAGGTTAGCACCTTAAAAGTTCAATTTTGAAGAAACGTGCAAAAAGTTGCAAAAATGATTAGTTTTGCGATATTAGGGATACATTTGGTAATAACTTTGCGTTTTTACCTTTTTGCAACGTTGTGCCATTTATAAGTTATACACCACGGAACACAAACAAACTTGTAAGTTTTAAGCTAAAAAGATACACATATAAAACAGATCACAGTTGGACAACAAGTCATAATAATCAAAACATGTAATCTAAGATACATTTATAAATACCTTTGCTACGATTTGCCAAAATCAGAAATAATAAATCAATTTGTTGCTCCACAAAAATAAACAATGAAAGTTTGCAAAGATTTTTCACTAATTTAAGCACACAAAAAAGTCAATCGAACATCTGACTTTGTTCGTTTATCAACATTATAGTGTTGTTAGTAAAAAATCTTAGATAACGGTTCTTGGCTAATTAGGGTATGTAAATTCAAAAAATATATTTTATTTTTGAAAATAATTTGTAAAATAATTTGATTTTATGCCAAAAAAATCGACTTTTTTCCCATAGTGCAGTGCCGGCGATCCGTCGTCAGCGGGCTCACATCATATGCAAAACAATTTCCCTTGTAAAATACTTTCCGCTTTCATTGAGCGCCACCGCAGAAAAAAAACAAAAAAAAGCAATACGAATTAAGCAAATTTACGAGTATTTCGTACTTTCGTACTAGACCAGCGACGAGATCGCGACGAAAATTTACACAGGCATTCTCCTCCATTCGTCTGGCTGTAATTCGGTCCCGACGACAACACAATATTTTAGCGAATTAAAAGAAATTGCCTCATCCGACAGCTGTCCGTGATCCGGACAATAATGTGGATAGATGGCCAAGCTAACTAAGCTAGCCGAGGCCCCAAAGCGCCACCGAGTGCGTCATCTCTCGGATCTAGATAAGTCACAAGGTTCGCTATGCTATATAGATCATTCAAGGGAAGGCTTTGTGGAAACGATAGAGACCTGGGATCGTTTTAGATCAAGTACTTTCTTATCATTTGGCACTTTATAATGTACACAGTGTTATCTTGGTTTGACTAAATATTTGAAAAAATTCTTTCCTTATCGGTATGTCTACAAATAAAAATTTAACAAATTCTAAGCTGACTATTTTACTTAATTTCATATAATTTGATACCTTTTGTGAACACAGAAATATCTTTGTTATTATTATTTTAAATATTCTCAGAGTGATTTACCTACTTTCCTAAACAAATTTCATCAGAATTCTTTCACAGCCTGAACAATTATTTCCCTATTGTTAGCTAACAGCCATTTAAACACTTCTAGTTAGACAACTAGCCGCGATGGCTCCTCAAGCGATGGCAAATGCGCTCGTACCAGGCAATTAGATATTCCTTTGACGTTGGGGCGGCTGTCTTTGAAACGGAGGGGCAGGAGATCGGGAGGCAGGAGGGGCAGGCAGCACGTGTCTGGGCTGCCTCATCATCGATGGCAACGTTTTGGGGCAATGACAACGGCAACGGCAACGCAAACAGCAGCGACAGCTGCGATGTTGCCTGTTGCCAAGCGATTATTGCCGACAGGAAGCGCCACTGCGCCAGCCAGCCAACGCTGCAAACACGCCCACGCCAAAAAGATATTGGCAAAAAAAAAAAAAAACGAGAATGCAGACCTTAAAACAAACTCCAGAGGGGAACGGCAAAGGAGGAAAAAAAAAGCAGCGATCTATGACAAAAGATGCGCTGCTGGCCAGTTTAGATGACGCGTAAACTAATCTTAAAAGTGTGCCCATTACCGGGAAAGGACAACCTTTCTGCTTCGAACAGAGGAAGGAGGAAAGAGGATTCAGGAGAGGGAACGGATCTGCAGCCAAGGCAAACACAGCCTACATCCGGTGAAAAAAATTGTGTTTGGGCTCGATATTGGGTTTTTGGGCAGGGAAAAAACAGATGACATATGCCAAAGATATCAAATTTAAATAAGTAAACACTGGACAGGATAGAGGATATATGGTAAGTATGGTAAGCAGGACTCACCTGTCGTGTCCATGTAAACTATTAAGGTGGCGAACACTGTCGCGAAGGAGAGCAGGCACAAGGCGATGGGCAATAGCTGGCGATAGGGCGAGGGGTTCAGTCGCGGATCGAGCTTCTTGGCCTTGCAGGATCCCGATCCTCCGGAGGCACCACCTCCTCCACCACCGCCACCTCCCCCCGCACAACCCGCTGCCGTGAGGTGATGATGATGGTGGTGATGGTGGTGCTGCTGCTGGTGCTGATGGTGTTGCCTGTGCGGATGCTGGATCTGCTGCGGCGACGTTCTCGCCCGGGACTCCATGCCATTGCTGGATTTCTGGCAGCAGTGCAGCTGCTGCTGCAACGCCTGTGGCAGCCGGGTGGGCGTGGAAAGGGGCGAGGACACTGTGCTAACCGACGGCGAGCTGATCACGCTGCTCAGATCACTCTGGTCACCACCTCCTCCTCCATCCTGGTGGTGGTGCCTCGCCGTCGTTGTCGCTGTCGTTCCGCTTTTGTGGCGCTGCTGCACGTGATCCGTCTCATCGATGCCACAGTCTTTGGTTGGTTGCCGGATCTCCCGCTCCGCCTCCTTCTGCTGCTCCTGCTGGCCAAAGTTCACCTCGTCGATATCCTCGCACTCGATGTCATCGTCGTCGTCCACCGCCGCGTAGTTTGTCCGCACGGGCAGTGTCTTCTTGGTCTCCGGACTGATGGCGGGATTGGATGAACTGGAACTGGTGGCGACCTGCTGGTGGACTCCGCTCAGGGTTCCCGCCGATCCGCCGCCCGCACAGCTCCTGCTCAGGGTGAACTTCTTGGGCGTGGCCTTCGGATGCCGCCTGCTCTGTGCCGTCGCCCGCTGCTGGTGATGATTGGTACTACTGCTTGTGATCGTGGTGGTGTTCTGGCTCTCCTCCTGCTCCGCCTGGTGCAGCTGCTCCACCGCCAGCGCTGGATGCGCCGAGAACACTTTCTGTGACATGACTCCTCCGTGGATTCCGATCTCGGTGATGGCCTCCTGGTTAAGATCGCTCGCTCCTACAGCCTGCGCATCCTGGAAAGAACGAAGGAGAAGAATCCAATTAGTGCCGGAGCAACGAAAACTAATTTCACAAAGTGCATTGAACTGGGGCAGCATCTTCACATCTCCACAGCATCCTTACAGCCAGCTCTCCATATGTCTGGCAATCTTTTGTCTGCTCCTTCGCTCCTGCTGCTGTCTGAACTCATTTTCATTTTTATGAATAGGCAAAAATACGGTCCGAAAAAATTGAAAACGAAATAAGCGGGGAGAACCCAATCCCACAAACCCGGACTCGAACTCGAACTCAAATTCAAACCCAAGAGCAAAAGTCGCTCCAAGACGGAGGCTTCGAAGAAATTGAATACAAAAACTCCACCACCTGTCAAAAATCGAGCGACTGCCAGACAAAAGCCGGGTGCGAAAGAGACGGCAGCCAGACGTTTAGTGCGAGCGAGAGGGAAGCGCGGCGGCGGTTGATTGCCAAAGAATTTCAACAACAACGCGAGGTATTTTGTGAACCAAATTAAAAAAGACACAGAACGAACGAGAGTGAGTGAGCGAGTCTTGTGTGCTTGGGCACCGGAGGGGTGAAAATGCATTGCAGCGAGGCATGAGAATTATAAATGGAAAAGCATTGAAGACGAGACCCAGGAGGAGAAGGCGATCGAGCAGAGCAGTAGAAGCAGCAGCAGCAGGGCCTCAAAGAAGGCGAAGAGCCTCCTCAGTTGTGGCACTGAAGTGCCAGCCGTTTTCAGTACTAAACTAAGTACCAACAGCTTGGAAATGTGTCATTTAATTAAAAGAAATCGTTCGGAAATTTAAAAAAAAAACAAAAAAACTATATGAAAGATTTCGCATTTAAAATAATCTTTCTAATATACCTTTAAAAACATTTAAATAGTACATCCAAAGTTGAACAAATGGGGATAAAAATTCAAACTCCCAGTGGAAACTCTTCTTCGTTAAATTATTTATATTTTTCGAAATTTTCCAAAGTAGTTGCTATCACTTTGACCGCCACTGTATGGGTGTAGTGCGGTGTACTTGTGCGCCTGCGCAACAGACGCGCGAACCAGAGAAGCCATGCTCGGCTCAAACGGGAGCGAGTGAAACGGCAAGCTGTGCGAGTGGAATCGAGTTCATCAACTGGCAGTGGAAACAGCAGATGTTTTTCCAATGTTTAGCGGCTGTTGCTTGCTGCTCTTGGCTCTTATTCATTTCTGCCCATTCCCTCTGCACGTTGCCCTGCCCCCAAAAAAAGGTATGCACAAATTAACAGGAGATTTGTAATGGACCAAGCCACAGACAGGGATTGCAATGAGGTCTACAAAGCATACAGATCTCAACGTTTGTTCATATAGCCTTTTCAGATTATTCTATACTATTAACAGAGAGTCTTGCAGCGCAATTTAATTATGTATTATCAATATTAATATGGTTCTAATATCCTGAGAGAAACATCCCGTAAATACCCCTAAATTAAATAAATCCAATATATTATTTTAGAGTATTTCATCATCTATTTGGATTTGATAAAGCTGCCATTCATGTAGGGCCTTCTCCTGTGGTTTTTGCTTTATGAACCATAACATCTTCTGATTCGGCCGTGTAGTACTTTTTGCCTTGCCTCGTAAAGCTCCTTTGTGCTAAGGGCAAGGCTGCCATCCATCCAGCAGAATCGGAATAAGAATCAGAACCAGACCGCTCTGACCAGCGGCGCAGTCGTGGTTGCATTGACTTATGTGAATGCCGCCGCGAGGCATTCGCGCATTCATTATCCATTACGCGTGCGCCCAGTTCTTGGTTCCCGGGATCCCCGTTCTCAAGTCGAATTCCCCCTCGATTCCCCTTGGAGAGTGGAATATGTTTTGTATGTTTTGATTTGCTGGAATTTATTGAAACATATCCCAGCGAAGCCCGGTCTGCGGAACCTGTGATTAAATGCCCTGCTGTTGCTGTTGGATGCTTGCATTTAATGATACTCTTCGTTGGTTAAACGATATGGTTCCTGGAATGCTCCCAGCTTAAATGGGTCCATCTGAAAGATAAGTCGAGCATCTGCAGGTGGCAGTTGCAAGTGGGCAGTTTGAGAGCCATTAAATCTCTGTTGGAGTATTTCAGTTCGACAACCAGCAGTAAGAAGTATTTTGTTTGAGGTAGTGCTCGATTCACTCGACTTTTTCCCACAACTATCAGCTTTTTTATCCTATTCTACACACTTTCGGCCAAATGATTTTCACGCTATTGAACAATTAAGATGCATTTTCACAGCTCTGAAAGAAACTTCAAGTTTATGGACGCGTTTAATGGGCTTTTAATTCAGCAATTAGTTGGCTTTCGTCTTTGATTTGCAGTGCGTAAATAAATCGCCATGAAATCGAATTGAAACGGTGCGAACAACTTTGAAGTCGGCTAGAAAGAAAAAGGGCCGTAGATACATAGTATCTTGTGGATACTGCTGGCATTCGGTTGGTCGGTTGGTCGGTCTGGCGTGTGATTTACGGCTTGTCGCAGCGCATGAAATCGATCGATTTCAGAGAGCCACCAGCCACCAGGAGAACAAAAAACCAAATAGAAAAAATCAGAGGGAGCCGACAGCGCACGAATGTATCTATGCATCTTCATAGCTATATCTATAGATGTATCCGTATCTGTATCCGTATATCTATCAATAGCTGTGTGCGCGCTTTTGCCGGCGTCGCTTTCATTGATGCTGCCCTTTTTTGTGTCTGCTGGCTGTCTGGGAAATCGACGACTTGGCAACAGCATCCACAGCTGGCCACATATACAAATATATATTCTGTGACATAGGCACCTCCCAGTTGGCGCCATTCGAGAGGTCACCGAGATTCAAGTGGGATGGGTTAAACGATTTGGAAGACGCTGGCGATTTAGGCCCTGCAATCTTGGCCATTTGGCGTTGTGCAACATATTTTGCGGTCCCAGTTCCGAGAATCGCCAAGCCAAGCTGAACAAACAACAAAATCAAGGGGGGAAAAGGCGAGGAAAAGGAAAGGTGAGCCGAGGTGGGACAAGGTGGCAACTACACCGAGAAAAATTAAAACGATATGGATTTTAATAAAATATTTCAAGTGCTAGTTAATAAGAGAGTATAATCTTGAGTGATATTCGTTTTTTAGGCCTGAATGGACATTAGGTTTTTTGCCACATTTTTTCTCTGTGTATGGAGCAACAGCAGCAGAAGAAGAACCAGCGAGCGAACATGCCACAATAATGTTTCGCGGTTAATGATCGTGCGATGCGGGAGGTACGTATAAATGTAACACAAAGCCAAACCAGAAAGAGAGGGCGAACGGCACAAGACATTTTGATAAAACATTTACAAACGCACTCAAGCAGAACTCCATCATCCCGGCCGCAGAGAACAACACTACCAACACAGTTAGAAGGTAGGTATACGATGGTATAACCGCCAAAGAAAACCGAACCACCAGCAAAATTCTACAAAAAACACGAAAAACCCCAAGAACAACAGAGAGACAAGAAGCGTTGACGATGGGCAGCCAAGTAAGAAAAAGGCAGGCAGCTCGTAGAATTATTCTGCTACGCTTTTAACCATATGGTTTATTTATACAACAACAACAACAGCAATAACAAAAGCAACAGCAACTGGGGAATAAGAAGTGGAAGGCAGGCCACTCGCCAACATTGGTAACAACAAAGTGGCAGACACTAAAAATGCAATTCTAAAAAGCCAGCAATAACAACTCGGCGAACGTTGCACATAGGAATTCTTCGTTTTATACACTTGGCATTAGGGGACGAGAAGATCGAGACGGGATTCCTTTTAAAAAACACGAGAGGTGATGCAGGAGGATGGAGGTCAAGTTTTCTGAGGTAACTGAGTGTAATGATATGTGAAGTTCTTTAAGGAAAGATATTCCTTGGTAAAGTTTTCTTAAAGAAGTTCGCTTAAATTACTTGATCAACTATCTACCTCGAACACCTTTTCCTTAATTTTCCCTAAATAAACCCTAAAAATGCACACTCCCACTTGTCTGCTTAAAGACCTTCATAAATTACAGCCCCATTCCTGTCAGATAAACTCACAAACGCCTTAAGTGACCCTCCTTTTTGCTGGCCGGCAAGGCGGTTCCCTAAAAAGTTGTTGAAATTTTCCAATTGCTGCAATTGTTTCAGCCAGGATCTTCCCTTTTCCACGATGGCTACTTAGAAATGAGCTACACCGGTGGACAGCTCCGCCACGCTGAACGCGCTAATGAAAAAATTGCTCTCGCCAGGTAAGGCAAGAAGGTATTTCGGAAATTTATTGGTAGCACACAGAAATGTGAAACAAAAAAACATACGAAATGTGTAGCATATGCTGCAGACTTCGGCAACTGGTAACTGGTAACACGGACTTGGGACTTGGGTCTGGGGTTTTGGGTTTTGGGTTCTGAGACACGGGACCTGGGACCTGTGTGGTCGTCGAGGCGGCGTTGACTTATCTTGGCTTGTTTATCGGCCAGCGTCGTCGTCGTCGTCGTTTTAATTGTTTGTGCCCGAGGCGTCGGTTTGTAGGAGTTTTGCCAGCCCAAGTTGGCCGACAGCAGCAGCAGCTACAACGGTTATTTCAGCAAGTCGTTCTAGTAAATTAGCACATAAAAATGCGGCTGGAAAGTTGCCAAATAAAAAGCGGCAGCAGCAGTTGAGGAATCTAGGGTAAGTTGGGAATGGCAAATGGGTTCCATTGCAGCCGCTGCTATTTTATTGCATTCGCCTTTGCATGTTGGGAATTTATTACCAAAAAGCCAGCAGGGGGCCAAAAGAACCGGGATGGCTTCGACTGGCTTCTTGGCAGTTGCTTCGGTTCCTGGTTCCCGGACAGATGGCGTGTGCCAGGACTAAAGGACTAAAGAGGTGCCCTGCAGGACTCCCTGAAAAATGCAATTCATCGCATTGCATGCGACAACTGGCGGGGCACTTTGATTTCGCCCCTCCTTAAGGAGTTTCATCAGGGTTCCCCACAACGCGAAACCCCAAAACCCAGGAAGCCGAAAAGCGCTTAT